AACTAATAGAGAGCCAATAGATCCTTCTTTTATCATTAATGAAGATGCTGCACCAAACTGGAAAGAAGAACATATAAGAACTTGCATTACCAAGAGAGCTAACTTGATGCTTATGCAAAATGTCACTCTTTCACGATGTTCAGCTATAGCACTAACTTAGTCATTCAATAGAAGAAAATAAAAATTCAATCCTGTAATGGCATGCAGGTCATTCCATAACAACATGCATCAATCTACGCTAAAGGCTCGAGTAGCTCGCTTCTTATCAGCAACAAAATCTAAGCGTTAGAAATCACCAATACAAGTAGGAGGCCATTATCCACCAGGAACTTGCAGATAGCTGTCCTTCGGAGTGTACTAACATTCCCGTCCAATTATTTCACTTTCCTCAAGAATCCAACACCATACCGAGAACTCCCAACCCTTAAATATCAACGTTTTCAGAATAATGGATGCTGTATTAAATTGGCCTTAAGAGCTACTGAGATCACAAAAGGGTTCAACTTCTACTTCTAAGGGAACAAATTTCATGCTATCGATACAGAATTGGACTCGGCCGAGCACAATTCAACAGTTTCAGCCAGAAAAAACATAACAGAACCTGCTGTCTCCGAGCTTCCATCCCTTCCATCAATATAAAGAAGAGCAAAATTCACTACACTCGGCGCACCTTCTTGTTAAGATAGTCGACGTTGAGAGCGAGATCGTTGAGCTGGATCGTCCCCTCCCGCAGCTGGACATCGAGCTGGTCCAAATCGATGTCCCCCAAGATGAGCTGCCCCAGCTTCTTCTTCAACAGGAACTTGCAGACCCTCTTCACGGCCCACTGCGAGAACATGGCCTCCGCCGATTTCGCTATTTTCCACGGCAACATCATCGCCCCTCGACCTTCCCTCCCTTCCCCCTTCCCCCTTCGATTCCGGCGCCCGGAAGGACGGACGGGGAAGCTCCTCGATTCAGGGGCTTCGCGGGCGAAAGGCTAGGGTTTCGAAGGAGGCTGCGATGGAAGGACGAGAAGCAGAAGAGGCCTCCATGCAGAGCGCGAATCGAGAGCGATGGTGGCGGCTCGATCGCTTTCTTGAATCGCGCGAGGACGAAGAGGGATGGATGGAATTGGCAGCAGACGATTTGATCGATTTTTGTTATCGTTGCTGTTGTTGTTGCTGCTGTTGGTCGATGTTTTGATTTGATGGATTTTTTTGGGGGTGTTGATGGGTTTCCGTGTCGGGTTCCGACTCCTGAAGTTTGGGCCCCCCTTACAATGATTTTGTACACGTTATTAGATTACGTTTAAATACATGTCCATTTTAATTATATCCCCAGTCGTTTTCTTTTCTTTAGGAGCCATTTGATGTATAATTTCTCGAATTTGTATCCCTAGTCCTTAGATCCTTGATGTTTTGATCGGCTTTACCTCACCAACAATGGATGTTTTCACTTTAGAAGGCTACAACGCCTTATTTAACGATCCATCGGCCGGTCTACCTTCTCACCCCTCGTCCCTTCTAATGATATTTTTCTTCCGGTGGGAGGACTAGAATATCCTCTTATTTTAACATCTCGAAATCCGAATGACACATTTAGATTCAATCCATTTCAACTATATCTCTAGTCATTTTCTTTTCTTTGCGAGACATTCGATGTGTAATTTTCGAATTTATCATCCTCCAAACGAATGAAACACCCTTATTAACCATTTTCAATCTAAAAAAAATAAAAATTAAGTTATATTTTGTTGCTAAAGCTTTTTCTAATATTTATTGCTAAAAACTACCTGCGGATCAGTTTTTTATTTAGCACGCGTAATTGGCCCAGTACTTAAAAAAGAAGTTTTCCGATTTTCAATGCACTAGATACACTATAACTCTCAAGTGGGATTAAGGGGTTATGCACGAAAAGAAAGCGAGGTTGTTAAGGGAAGTGAGTGGCCAAAGGCGTGGTATAATTTCGTCCATTGTCTCTAAATCGAAATGATATATATAATAAATTAATTGGGTGCACGACTAAATTTCAAGAGCCTCGTTAAAAAGGGTAGTCTTAGGACACAGACCAAATAGATTCTATCCCTCGAGAGTCGCATTGAGGATTCTATTTTCGACCGTGATTTTCAATTTCTTCTTTTTGTCTAGTTTTACGTGGGATTTGCCAATTGGAATACTCAATTCTTTTGGGATCTTGGCGGCTAACTAAATTATAATTTTCCTCCAAAAAAGTGAAAAAAAAAAAAAAAAAAAAAAAAAAAGGCATTTGGAGGGGAGACGTGCGCCAAATGAGTCAAAAGGGGCATCTTCATTGCTTTGCTTTAAGAGCAGGGATGCAGCATTGACAAGAAGATTCCTACAGGACAAGAAAGGGGGAGTCCACATATAAAAAGCCAATTGGTGGTCGGTGTACCGCTCACGACACAATTTATTAGTTATTTAAATGGATCATAGACAAATCTGCGTTTCTTTCTTGCTTTACGTTTTATATATACATATATACGTATCATATGTTTCTATGTATATAGCATAGTGAAATGCCAGCTACAAAATCAGATGAGGGCCCACCTTTGACTTCTATCTTTTCTTTTCCATCCATGACATTCGTAGCTGATGTATGACCATTACACTGTCATACGGTCATGCAAGCATTTCTTTCTCTATATATTAAAAGACTAGTCCATTTGGTCGTGATTAGAGTCCGGCAGATTTATAAACTTTTAGGGGTCAATGTCAAAAAAATGTTCCCCGCTCTTTAAAAAAAAAAAAAAAATTTAAAAAAAAAAGGAAAAAAAAAAAAAACTAACAAATCATTTATTAAATAAACTTACAATGAATTAACAATTTTATCGCCCCAAAATCTAAAAGCAGATTATTACATACTTTTAACATTTGCAAGCGGGCATGTAATTTTGTTAGTAGAGTGCAAATATTTACATATTTAATTCGTAGCGTGGATCGACAATTAAAACTTACAACAGACGAAATTTAAGAAACGTCCTTTAGAATTGGGCCTTAATCCTTTTTCTTGACGGGAGCAACTTCTCCTCATCGAAGACCAACACCTCCAATTTTTGGGTAGCTCTTCCGTCACGGATTTTTGCGGCCATTTTAAGTGCTGGGGTTCGAACCAGGGACCCAAGTCACGCGACTCCCGATCTCGTCCAAAATAACCGGCGGACGATCAATATCAAAGTCGAACAAGATAACGATGGCCGGAATAATCTAATATCGCAACCACATACGCTGTCGGAAACAACATTTTCTACGTAACTTAAATTCGCACAGATCTCGTGTCACCATGGCCGGCTAGCCTCCTTCTCGAAACATATCAACATCGAGTCTTCTCTTCAACTTCGATAGCCTCGCTTGAGATACTGGGCCAACTTTTCTTCTGCCATCAAAGGCCAGCGAGATGCTATGTTGTTGCTGGGCTTATGGAACAGTCTTCATTTGGGGTAAAATGCAAATTAGCATTTTCAGCCGAGCTCTACTTACCCGAAAAAAGGTTTGAATTGTCCTTCTTTTTATCGTTCACGAAAAGATTAGTACCCTCGACACATGACATCTCCATCCACTCAAGTCAATCGCGACAAGCCCAGTATTAGTCAATATTAACTTGAAAAGCTACTGATATTGATGGACTCTCTTGGCTCTATCATAATCTTCGTAGCATTTTTCTTTCTGTTTTTCTCAACTCAGGTTGTTTCTCTCCTTATCAGAATCATATTGACGATGTTTTCCCGCCTGCATTGGTATATCACCAATGAAAAACGGTGATCATTAAAATTTGGGACGACGTGATAATAATATCAAACTAAACTGGCTACAAAAAAATGTCTAGCATAATTGTTCCAAAAATATTATGATCTCCTAAACTAATTATTTATCACGTAGACCATTTCGTGCACTTTGAATTGCACCATCTATAGAGTCATTCCATTGCAGCATCACTTTAGCAATCAACAGCCTTTCTAATAGAACATGAGGTAGGGGGATAATGACAGAACAAACATTTAGATTTCGTATAAATATTAAATAATGCAATCACAATTGAATTTAGGTTCTTATTACATCTTGATTGGATACCACTCGCACATATTTCTAGCCAATAAGAATAGAACCTACACGTGCTGAAATAACCATCTTTGCGCACATACATGAACTTTTTGCTAATTTGTGTGTTTTTACCATTACTATCTTCATTATGTTGTTTTGCTTGCCAAAGATTGTGTCCTCCGTTAAAATCTCCTAGATTTTGCCTTTATTATTTTCTTTATCGAGTTTAAAAGACGCACGCCTGTTTCGAACTTTTTAGTTATGCCAGGACGAATCTGGCCTCCTATCTCCATGCGAAAAGATTTAATTAATCGGGCGAAAAAAGACAAAATGCGTAGAAGAAATATTTTCAATGTGTTTACCTCTTATCCAAAGAGAAATTTCCGAAAGTTGAAAATGAGATTCCCCAATTACAGTGTAGATAATTTTTCTCGAGTTAAATTCGAGTTACAAAAATCATATCCTAACATATCATTGCAAAATCTTATATTCACATGGAACGCGAAAATGTCAAAGAAAAGTCAAGAAATCCCCCACGCTTACGCTTGATTCGCACATTTTCTTATCTAACCTCTATTTCAGTGACAGAGAAGGATGGTGATGGAAGAGCAATGGGAATTGGGAAGGCTGTCGGCTGGAAGGCCAGTGAACGCCTAAATTTCACCAAAACTTGGCATTGAAATCAACAAACCGGTGCGCACAACTTGTACTTACCTCGAAGCTAACCCCCAATCCTCCTCAGCTCATTCGCGAAAGACGAGCAACATTCCATCCCCCAACCCCAACCCCACACCCGTGCCAAACGCCACCAGATCCAAAGCGATCCGATCCAGGACGCCAGGCCACCATTCCAATTCCCCCCTTCCTAGCGATCGGTGCCCGCTTCAATTGTACCCATCAACGAATTCCCAAGATAAAAACAAAAGATAAAGGTATCTCGAGAAGGCACGTAAGCACGTATTGGATCAAAGCAAGAAATGCAAGTATCGATAGAGACTGCAGAAAGAGACGAATCCCGAAGTACATCTCCAGAAAAATCTGCCAAGAGCGAGAGAGCTAAAGACGAATCGTGTGGACGTGAGTAACAAAAGCATGGGTTTGGTTTGGTTTTTGGTACGTGTCGGTCTACCGCTATACTGAAACGAGAACAACTTGGGAAGCACTAAAGAAGACTGTACAATCTTTTTACCAACGAAGGAAGCAATCGAGCAGCGAGTTCCCCCCCCTCTTCTCTAATCCGTACCATCACCGCCAGTCACTTCAGCGTTTCCTCCACCGCACCCACGTTGATGGGAATCCACTCGTAACGGCCTTCGAGCGGCACGTCATTGACGACGTCGTAATTGTACCTGCCGAATTTGAAGAAGAAGCCCCAAAAAAACACCCAAAAACAAAAAAAAGAGAGAGAAAAAGAAAAAAGAAGGAATAAAATAAAGAGGGGTTTGTTAAGTTCGTTTCGAGTAATGAAACCTCCGCTCGAAAGCTAAAATGCGCACTGCTTATCCTGCGCATACTCACTTGTCCGCGAACCGCCTCTGCTGTTCCCTCTCCATGGCGGACAGATACGCCTCGATCTCGGCCGCGCACGCCGACCTCACCTTCGCCGCCTCCGCGCCGGCTGCCGGAGCCGGCGGCGGTTGCGTCTCCGGTCTTCTGGGGGCATCGAGCGACGCCGGCGCTTCTCTCCTGTGAGGTGTGGAACGAGAGAGGATTTCAGTTCCGGCCATGCGCATCGAAGAGATTCGTACCCCCCCATGGAAGCAAAAGAACAGGGAAAAAAGAAACAGTGGAAAATCTAAACCTGAGGTTGCCGTCGCTGCACGTCTTGTCCTCGGTTTCAATTTTCAAATCCTCGGCCTGCAACGGAATGTTCGCAGATTTTTCAAAACGGTGTCTGTGCAGTCGTTGGGACGCAGATAAAATCACACTCGCTGGCCACGCAATCCAGCGAAGCAGAGTTTCACTATCACGACGATGGAAGAACCGGAAACGAAATGGAGTTTCGAAAATTATTCGGTGAGATTGTGTTCGCTAGATCGCTGATGGAAACTATATTCTCCTCGTATTTTGAAGCGGATTTAAGAGAAATATGACAAAGGTTCCCTCACAGAAGGCCGGAATCCGCAAATTCTGGGCGAGAAACAAAATCTAATCCCGCGTGATTCAAGGAAGGAGACGGTACTTCCTCTTGGATCAGATACGCATTTGCTTTCCTTTTGAGGAACGATAACGAAAACCTACTCCCACACCGTTATCGCTCGGCGAGAAAAAAACAGGACGACCTTTTCGGAATTCAAAAGGTCCCGGAGTTACCTCGGAAGCTAAGAATCTCTTCCTCTTGTTCGGGTTTTCACCGGATTTGACGGCGGTGCGGAGGTGGTCGCACCGGAAGCAGGAGGGACGGTCGCCGGTGGGTATGGAAGGGAGGCCGCTCGCGACGGCGGGAGTCGGAGAAGGCGGTGCCGGCGGTTCTCCGGAGACGACGAGCGGCATGGTTCGCTTGGACGTACTTTTGGTGGGCGTGGGAGGAGCAGAGTCCGTTGCAATTCTCTCGTACTTTCTCGCAAGATCTGCCATTTCTCTCTCTCTCTCTCTCGTTTTGCTATTTTGGGTTATGTGGGGAAGAAAGGCTCTCGATGCGTGCAGGGTTTTGAGGATTAAGGCGAGAGGTGGATGACCATCGTCCAATTGATCGGCTAGGTTCAATTGGTTAATCAAGTTTTTTATTTGAAATTTATTCAACCTGGTAAGTAATAAAGATGGATAATTACCACGTCCGACCGTAAAAAATTTATTTACGTATTCCACATGTCGCCCATTTATAGGGTGGAAAACGGAGTGGAAAAAAATTGGTCCAACCGATAGAAAGTTTTATCTCTTTCTTTGAGCTAAATCGTGCTGATAAAGTAAAAATTCTTTGGGTTTTCGAGTGATTAGTTTGCTTAAACTTAAAAGGGATGACACGGAGGCTCTCCTATGCCAATTTTGCTAAATTCGAACTTAGAGTGTTCCGTAAAATGAGACTCAAAAAAGATTATGCAAATATCGAAGTATCCAATTAAATCTTGGTACTTATCAATTAGTAGCCACTCGTGTTTCGATTAGGTAAATCTTTCGAGGCTTTATATTTTGTTCTATCAAAGAAAATATATCTTAAGCTTATCACGACGAATAAATTTCAAATGTTACATGTTGGGGCATTCTAAGAATACGATTTCTTTAAAAAAAAAAGAAGGCAATTTCTTTTATAGCCAATTTTTCCTCTATTTTTTTCAGGCTTGATATTTTCTCACAAAGTAATGGAAGTTACCAAACGATGTTCAAACATTATCAATTTTTTTTTTGCTAGAATAGACATTATCAATTAGTCATGAAGAAAATTGTACACAAAAAGTACCACGGTGGAAAAGCCAGCTTACCATTCTTTTCCGTCGTTAATATAGAAATTGGAAAAGATCCAATGGAACTAAAAAGTACATTTCATCGAAGAGACAATGCTTGTACCATACTTTTTTTTTGGCACAGAATCCATTTTGGTCTTTCCACCGTGCTATACCAAATTCTTCGAATTGCGTAGAATGCCACCGTGGGGTGGGAGCACCTACGATAGGCAATCTCTTGCAACAACAGCCACGGTGACATCGTTCTCGCCGAGGCGGCTGCGGTCGGAGTTTTGGAGGTCGCTTCCATAGCAGTTGCTACTGAATTTGGGCGAGAAAACTCTTTCCACTGAGATCCACGAGACCAGCGGCCAGAGGAGTGCGACCATTGCGGGTGGTCGCCTTTGGACGAAAACCTCCTGCATGGGTCTCAGCTCTTCAACCCGAGAAAGTTTCTGGACCGCGGGCCGCTTGATAACGGCAACCACTACCACCACAACGGCGGTGCTCGCCTCTATCACGGACAACAAAGGACTCACCAACAAAAATTTGCACAAGACACCGATCTTATTGAGCTCGAAAGTACCGTCACATTCCATTGACATGTCGAATCTATCACCTCGACAAAGTTAATAAAACAGTACAATAAATTTCGCCCTCGCAGGCTTGCACATTCAAATCCAAACGAAACGAAACAAGTAAAAGTTTAAAAAAAAATGACATAGAAAAGCACACAAAAGCGACAAGCTACCATCCAATCGTCCAGCATACGGCCGAAATTAGACAACGACAACTTTTCACTCGTTCAAGAACTTCACCAATCTCTTCATCAGATCCACGGCGTTCTCGCAGCTCGGATTCATCAGATGGAACACGTGATCCTCGCCCTTCGTCTCCACCACCCCCACGCTCCCTCTCCACCCGCTCTTCTTCAGCACCTCCTCGTAGTACCACCCTCTGCTCCTCAGCCCGTCCTTCTCCGCCACGAACACCAGAACCTTGCCGCATCCCAAACGCCCCAGACCCGGGTCAGCTGCCGGGTTTATGATCGGGTCGTCGGCCCCGCTGATCGTCGGGCACGTCATCTTCAAGAACCCAACCGTCCAAGCCCGCCTCCCGGCCTCCGTCGACTCCGTCCCCACCGGCTCGCTCCCCCAGAAGAACGGGTGCACCAGCGCAATCCCCGCAAACGCCAGGCCGTCCAGTTTGTCGGACCCGATCCTCAACCCCATGTGGTGCGCTATGTTAGCCCCCGCGCTGTCGCCGGCGAGGAACACCCTCTTCAAGTCGGCGTGCTCGTTGAGCCACTCGTCGGGGCCGTCCCCGGCCGCGTGGGAGGCCACCCACTTGAGGGCGGCCCAGGAGTCATCGTAGGCCGCGGGGAGAGGGTCCTCGGGCGCTCGGCGATACTCGACGGAGACGACGACGACGCCGGCCTCGGAGGCGACGGCGTTCAGGTAGTTGTGGTACGTCGGGGAGCTGGCGGTCTCGATGCAGAAGCCACCGCCGTGGAAGTAGACGAGGAGGGGGAGCTTCTCGGGGCGGCCGGAGGGGAGGTAGAGCCTGGCGGACACGGCGGGGTCGGACGAGATGGCGACGTCCCTGGAGGCGACGCCGGTCTGTTCGTCGTCGAGGGAGGCGGGGACGGTGGCGGTGCCGATGAGGCGCTCGATGCGGCCGTCCTCGTAGATGCGGAGGAAGGGGGAGAAGTCCTGGGATATCTCGGAGGCCATTGAAAATTTTTGAGGTTTGTTTTTCTTCGTGCGCGTGTATTTCGGGAGGAGAATGGACGAGGTACTTGTGGTGGTGGTGGTGGTGGTGGTGGTGGGACTGACTGATGAGTGTGCTTGGCGACGGAAGATGAGAGGTGATGGGGGTCCAGTCCTTTTGGTATAGCGAAATGCATGTGCGGACGAACGCCACGCCACGTCATCCAAATAATTGACCCGTGGTGAAGAATTTCGGACGCGATTGGACGGTCCGGAGATGTCGTTCCGGTTTTCGTTTTGACCCGGTACTCCGAACGGTCGAAGATTTAGGGCCAAAGGGTATCTTTGTTCGGCAAGGCATCTGTTGCCCGGCCCGCCGTGTTTTGTGTCTTCTAGAAGAGGATTTGCTGAGAATTACTTTGCCTGTTGGAATGGCTAGCTTTCTGGACCAATAAATTCTTACAGAATTTTGGAAGAAGGAAAGCTACACAGTATGCAATGAACTACGTTGTTCTTATTGCATTTTTTCTCTTAAAAAAACTTTACATCAGATGCTCTTCTTAAAGAGCTGACACACGACAGTTAACAGCATAAAAGAAAGTACTCCACTAACCCCTAAAAAACAGCAACGTGCAGAAATCACCTATTGACTTGGTAAAACACAAAGCCATGTTCTACACCACTACAAAACAGACTCCTAATAACTAGGACGCTAAACAATTGACAATTAAATAATCCACGTGACTCAACATTCCCTCCCTTAAACTGAAAGTTTGTTAACATTCAGTTTAATACAACTTCTGGACACCAAGCAGGTTTCTCAGCTTTTGAAATGCAGCCAACTTGAGGGACTTGGTAAAGATATCAGCAACTTGATCCTCACTTCTGCAATAGATGAGATCAATAACTCCTTCCTTCGTCAGATCCCTCAAGAAATGAAACTTGACATCTATGTGCTTGCTTCTTCCATGTAAAACAGGATTTTTGGAGAGCTTTATTGCTGAACTATTGTCACAATAAATCACAGTAGGTCCTTGGCTCTCAACATGAAGTTCTTCGAGAATTTTCTTCAACCAAATAGCTTGACAAGCGCATGAAGTTGCTGCAACAAATTCAGCTTCAGTGGTTGATAAAGTGACAATCGGCTGCTTCTTTGATGACCATGAAATAGCTCCCGAACCCATCATAAATACATATCCGGAAGTGCTTCTTCTATCATCTTGATCTCCGGCATAATCACTATCAGTGAAGCCCATCAAGTTTGAGCTTTCTCCCTTCTTGTAGAGCAATCCAAAGTCAGCCGTACCTTGCAAGTATCGAAAAATTCTCTTGGCAGCAAAGAGATGCATCTCAGTAGGATTCTCCATGTACCTACTTATGAGACTCACAGAATACATTATATCTGGCCTAGTTGAAGTTAAATACATCAAGCTTCCCACAATTTGCTTGTACATGGTGCTATCAACTCTCTTTCCTTCAGGATCTTTCAGTAACTTCAAACCCACCTCTGTTGGTGTGCTAGAAGAATTGCAATTCTTCATTTGGAACCTCTCTAAAATGTCTTGCACATATTTTCTTTGGGAAATGAAGACTCCACCAGCAAATTGAACAACTTCTATCCCAAGGAAATAGTGCATCTTTCCAAGATCAGACATATCGAATTCAAGCATCATAGACTGCTTAAATTTTTCAAGCATAGCACTATCATTTCCGGTATAAATCAAATCATCAACATACAGGCAAACAATAAGCATCTTCCCTCCTTCTCCAGTTTTCACAAAAAGCGTATGCTCATATGGACATTTTCGGAGACCTTCCTTCAGAAAATAGGCCTCTATACGACTATACCAAGCTCTTGGAGCTTGTTTTAGTCCGTATAACGCCTTGTTTAGTTTGTACACCTTGCGCTCACTACCAAACTTTATATAACCAGGAGGTTGATCAATAAATACCTGTTCTTCCAAGTCGCCATGTAAAAATGCCGACTTCACGTCCAACTGGAAGATAGGCCATGAATTTTGTGCCGCAAGTGCAATCACCACTCTGATTGTGTCATGTCGGGCAACTGGAGCAAAAACTTCTCTATAGTCAATGCCGAACTCTTGCTTGTAGCCTTTTGCGACTAAGCGGGCTTTGTACTTATCGACTTCACCGTTCTCCTTTAACTTCGTCTTGTACACCCATTTCACTCCAATGGTCTTTTGCCCTTTTGGAAGCTCTATCAACTCCCAAGTATTATTTCTTTCAATGGCTGCAATTTCTGCATCCATCGCCTTCTGCCATTTTGGTTCTTTAACAGCATCTTCGAAAGCTACTGGATCGCAATCTGAAAATAAGGCAAAATGAGTAAAAGGGTCTTCACTTGATCGATCTGCATTACCTCATAATCAGTCATCCATGCGGGCCTTCTTCTAACTCGTCGAGGTTGTCGTTCATCTCCTGTTTCGAGAGGATGAAATACATTCATTGATTGCTGGTTGTTGCTCATTTTCTACGGGTTACGCATTCTCCAAAGGCTGCTTGCAATTTTTCTCCATTCTTTCCATCAAAATCAGCTTGTATTTGCTGTTCAACTTTGTTTTCATTCCATAACCGAACCTCTCTTCATCAAAAATTACATCACGATCGATGATAATTTTCTTGGTGATAGGATTATACAATTTGTATGCTTTTGAATGTTCACTAACACCAAGAAAAATGCATTTTTCACCTTTGTCATCAAGCTTGGTCCTCTTCGACCGGTACGTGGGCAAACGCTATACAACCGAAAATTCGAAATGCTCGACACATGGTCTGTGCCCATTCCAAGCTTCTTCAGGCGTCATATTTTGAACAGCTAGTGTGGGGCTCCTGTTCAATACATGAATGCTCCAATTGAACTTCGGGCCAAAAACTTCTTGGAACACTGCTTCTTGCCAAAATGGTTCGTACCATGTTTACGATGGTGCGATTCTTCCTCTCTGCAACGCCATTTTGCTGTGGCGTATAAGCTGTCGTAATCTGTTTTCGAATTCCATGAGTCTCACAAAAATTTATGAATTCTTGCGAGTTATATTCTCCACCATGATCGCCGCTGAAGAGTCTTTATAAGCATGCTCGCTTCTTTTTCGACCGAGCACTTTGAAGTTCTTGAAAGCTAGAAAAGCTTCAGACTTCTCCTGCAGAAAATAGACCCAAGTTTTCCGACTATAATCATCAATGAACGTTATAAAGTAACGTTTGCCACCATTTGATGTCGGATTAATGGGTCCGCATAAATCTGAATGTATCAGTTCCAGCACCTTCTTCGCTCTACATGTTTTTCCTTTTGGAAACGGATCTCGATGTTGTTTGCCAACAACACACTCTTCACAAACTTGAGAAGGACTTTGAATTTGTGGAAGACCGGTTACCATATTCTTTTGCTGCAGCGTCTTTAGACCACCAAAACTCAGATGTCCATAGCGAAAGTGCCACAACCAGGCTTCGTCCTTCAATCTCGCAGAGCAACACCATTGATTGGTGTCATCGAGATACAGATGGAAACATCCGGTTTGTTGTCATGTTGACTTGAGCAATTAAGCCCAAGTTTTCATCTTGAATTCGACAAACTCCATCTTTGATAGAGATCTCATATCCCTTCTCTTGTAATTGACCAATGCTAAGCAAATTGGTTTTCAAATCTGGAACAAAGTAAACGTTAGAGATCACCTGAGTAGAGTTTTCTTTGGTGTGAATCTTAACGTTGCCTTTGCCCATGATAGAAATAGAAGATTTGTCGCCAAACGTAACCGTGTTACGGAACGATTCATCCAAGTCTGAAAATACAGACTTATCTCCACACATGTGATTGCTGCAGCCGGTATCTAGATACCACAAATTTCGATGAACCTCTTCTTTTGTATGACAGACCATCAAAAGCAAAACTTCTTCTGCTTTCTCTGCAAAATTTGATTTTGCACCACGGTTTTTGTTAAGATTGGTTCTACATTCAGACTTGTAATGGCCATACCTGTGACATCTATAACATTCGACATTTGACTTGTTGAAGAACTTCGATTTGTTGCCGTTTGGATAGTTGTTGTCACGGTTTTTCGCTTTCCATTTAGGATCGACAGCGTGATCCTCATTTGATTTATGATATGACTCTTTATCCTTCCATCTCCCTTTCCCACGATCAGGACCTTTTGAATGGGCTACTGCCTTTAATGCTTGTTCCTCTTTATCTTGCTGGACAAATTTTTGCTCATGAACCAGCAAAGAACTCTGCAACTCATCAATTGAAAGATCATCAATATCTTTAGATTCTTCGATAGAACAAACAACGAAATTAAATTTCGGTGTCATTGATCGAAGAATCTTCTCGATGATGGTGACGTCCTCCATCTTCTCGCCATGAATCCGCATCTTGTTAGCAATCGTCATTGTTCTCGACAAGTAATCGATAACATATTCACCGATTTTCATGCGTAAATTCTCAAATTCTATCCGAAGCCCTTGAAGTTGCACGAGCTTTGCCCTCGCGTTCCCCTGATACTTTTTCTTCATTGCATCCCAAATATGCTTGGAGGTGTCTTTGCAAAGAATTGTCTCCAAGGTTGATCGATCGATAGCTTGAAAAAGGTAGTTCTTGGCTTTGAGATCCTTCACTTCAATGCATCCAAGTCAGCCTTTTGTGTATCCGTCAACACCACTCCGGCGGTTCGCTACTCCGGAATCGACGACATGCCGGTACTCTTTCGACCGCAAGAAATTCTCCATCAGCATGCTCCAATGATCATAATGACCATCAAAGCGAGGAATGGCAAGCTGAACGAAATTATCAGTGGCCATTGAAAAAGTTGCTGCTGCGACTTTTCACAAAGATATCTCACGTTCAATCTCTCCTTTTTCAAACTCACTCTTCTCACAATTTGGCTCTGATACCAGTGTTACAGAATTTTGGAAGAAGGAAAGCTACACAGTATGCAAAGAACTACGTTGTTCTTATTGCATTTTTTCTCTTAAAAAAACTTTACATCAGATGCTCTTCTTAAAGAGCTGACACACGACAGTTAACAGTATAAAAGAAAGTACTCCACTAACCCCTAAAAAACAGCAACGTGCAGAAATCACCTATTGACTTGGTAAAACACAAAGCCATGTTCTACACCACTACAAAACAGACTCCTAATAACTAGGACGCTAAACAATTGACAATTAAATAATCCACGTGACTCAACATAAATAGGATTTCGAGATAAAACTAGAAGCCTCCAACTATAAGAGAATTTTCATATCAGTTGGGAAGAATTTAAAGCCCTGAGCTCTAGCTTTCATTACTGAATTGGCAGGGATCAATGGGGGCTGAATTCATCCGGTTCGGTCCATCCCAACTGTTGATATATATGTACATAATTAGGGTGCGCATGAATACCATTCTATGCCCGGGAGCTATTTCTGAACAGAAATGATTTTTTTTTATTCTGTGCCCGGAAACAATTTCTGAGTATTTGAAGGCGTTTGATAAACTGTCCAAAATTTCTATTCCTAGAGTAGAAAAGAACAGAAATGCGTTTGGTAACTACACAAAATTTCTGTTCCCAAATAATATTTTAATAATATTTTGAATTGTTTAATTTTTTTTTTCTTTTTGCCCATTTTCTTCTTTGGCTATGGCCGGTCGGCGCGGCCGGCCATTACGGCCAGGGCAGCGAGGGCATCACGGCCCCTCGCCGCCGCCGGCGATGGCGAGAGGTCGCCCTCGGCCGAGGATCGCCCTCACCGGCGGGGCGAGGGCTGGACCCTCGCACGCTGGGCGCAAGGCCGACCTCGCCGTCGCGGACCGACGGCGAGGCTCGGCCTCGCTCGATCTCGGGCGAGGCCGCCTCGCCCGGGCGGCGAGGGCGACCCTCGCCTTCGCCGGCGAGGGCGACCCTCGCCTCGCGGCGGCCGGCGCGAGGGCCGTGACGCCCTCGCAGGCCACTGGGGCTGTGGCCGTCGTCGACGGCCGACTCAGCCAGGGAAGAACAACTCAAAAATAAGAAAAGAAAAAAAAGAAAAAGAAGAAAAAAACTGATTCTCAAAATTGTGCAGAGAAACAAGAAGCAACTTTTTTACTTCTTGTTTCTCTTCCAAAATCGTTTCTCGGCACAAATTTTTGCAAAAATGTGCCCTGGAACAAAAAGTTTACCAACGCATTGCTCCAAATTATTTCTGGGAACAAAAGAACAGAAATTTTCACTATTTGGCACGTTACCAAACGGGCCCTTAGTTACCGAAATGGACCCAATTCCGTGGATCCCGTGAAAATGCCATTGAAATGTGTTGGTAGCATAAGATTTACCACGTACTAGCATTTTCCTTAATTAGAATCAGGTAAGTTGGTGTGCTCGGGGATGAGGCCATGGGAGGGAAACCCCCCTTCACAGTGCCTCACCTAGCTCTGCACATAGTTTTGGCTGCTTTTGCTTTTGGCAAGCAATTGGTTTGGAGGTTTTTGCTGTTAAGACCATTCTAATTTTTTAGGTGTCAGCGTTCCGTAAGAACTAATCTGAGAGACTTAACCCGGATTAGGTGTATTTCGTTTTCACGGACCGATACTTAATCCTTGATGGAGCAAGAAAACAAATCATTTTCTTATACGAATTCATGTAAGTGGGTTTTGATTTGGGGATCCATTAGGTTGGACTCGTCGTATGCATGGAACTTACACTCAGCGAAAAGGACACCCCCGAATGCGACCGAGCACAAATTGCCATTTATTTATAGAACACTAAAATGCCGACGAAATGCTTGCTATTTGTCCCTTTGTAAGAAGCTGGTTCGGAAGCATCTCCGTCATCTTTAGGAAAAGAGAAAGGAGGAGGAGGACTTGTGGTTGCACTCGTCTCTCTTTGGATGACTAAAAATGCGGTTACGCCTATGTTTCTCTTAGGTAGTACCAAATGAAACTTCATTTTCCTAGCAAGTCTGCGTCGTTATCATAATCACTGCTTATGAGTCCACATGATTCGGCGGTTCAAGTTTAATTAGACTAGTACATGAGATTGATGCAATCGACTCTCTATCATTGAGTCTATTCCTCTATCTTTTCAAACCTATTATAGCAATCTTTATAATGTAGGTAGGACGTTGGGCAAACACTATATCGCGATCGAATCCATCTTAGTTTGAACTACCCATTGCACTAACCAATTTGATTAATTAGCAATTATTCGAATGAAAAATGAATTAATCAAGTTTCCTTGATGAAGGATGCAAATCTGTCCACCAGCTCAGCAGCTTTCTCGTACCTGAGATCGCTTATGTGGAAGCAATGCTCTTCGCCAAAGTTCTCCACCAGCTCGACGCTCGTCCCTCCCCACTCGCTCCTCCGCAACTCCTCCGCGTACCTCGCCCCAACCCATCTCAGGTGATCCTTCTCCGCCACGAAGACCAGCGCCCTCTCGCACCCGACCCGGCCCAGATCCTCCGCCGCCGGCCTCAGCCTCCGGTCCTCCAGCCCGCCGTTCTCCGGGCACATGTACAGCCACATCGCGTCGTCCTCGGTCCCCCCGAAATACGGGTGCACCAGCACCATCCCCGCGAGCCTGACCCCGGGCAACCCGCCCGGCCCGACCCGGACCGCCAGGTCGTGCGCGATGTTCCCTCCGGCGCTGTCCCCGGCGACGAAGAGGCGGCCCAGATCGGCGTGGCGGTTGAGCCACGCGTCGGGCCCGGCCCCGCCCGCGTGGGCCGCGACCCACCGGAGCGCGGCCCAAGAATCGTCGTAGCAAGCCGGGATCGGGTGCTCCGGGGCCAGCCGGTACTCGACCGAGACGGCGACCGCTTCGGCCTTGGCGGCGATTGAGCTAACGTAATTATGGATGTCGGGAGTGAAGGCGGATTCGAAGGAGAACCCGCCGCCGTGGACGTAGAGCAGCACGGGGAGCTTGGACTTGGGGTCTCGGATCTCGGGGAGGAAAACGCGGGCGGACACGGGGGGTTGGGGCGAGATGACGACGTCCTTGGACCGGACCCCGGTGACGGGGTCGTCGGAGGGAGGGATCTTGCGGGTCTGGCGGAATTTCTCCACCCGGCCGTCTCTGTAGACTCGGAAGAATCGGAACTCGTGGGCTACTTCGCTGGTGTTGGTGGTGGTGCTGCTGCCAATGTTGTTGCAGCAGATTTTTCGAGGGGGATTAGTAGAGATGGAATTCGAGAGGGAATTGAAGCGGGAAGGGTTCGGATATGTTGGGTTTTGGTGGGATGGGGACGAGACGCGGTACTGTCTGAGGAGGCGGAGGAGAGAGAAGGGGCGAGAGAGGGACGCCATTGCTGTGGAAGCAGTGAAGCAGGATCGAGCTTTGGTCTGGTTTTTTTCTGCGACTGTTGAGGGATCAGTCCAATGAGCAAATGACTGGGCGGTGGGCGGGTATGCGGCCCAACAATATCGGGTCAGGGTCGTCCTGTTTCAGTGATGTTTAGACCCGATTTGCATGTCCTTTTTACAATTTTGTGCGGACTTGACCAAAAGCGATACTGTGGTGATTACAATAACACCAATGGATCCATAGATGCCGGACACATGAATTGGATACCCAGGAAACAATCTGAAAACTCAACTAGAACTCATTTTAGTTTTCCTTCGGCCATTATGGCACATCTCAGTTTGGGATCATTTTCGATCAGTGATTTCTACCATTTATAGAAATAGCAAAAGGAGCATCATATACTAACTAATTACAGTAACATCGATACTTGGTTAACGATTTCTGTCCCGCCATCACATATTTTACCCTTTCGTTTTTTTTGCCCACGACATCATAGAACCATCCTTGCGTCCCCGTTGCCATTCCGTGAGCATTTGTTACTCTTCAGTATCAATTTACGTGATTAGTTATGATTGCTTTTTAATAGACAGTACCAAATCGTATAGCCTGCCATAGAAACTAGAGAACAGATACAAGTGTAGACTACAGATAGATGGCTGGCTCATCAGATATTCGAGAGGTAGAAGATCCAACTTAGCACATTATTAGATAAACTTACAAGGATTGGTAGATATCCAATCATCTAGATTCATCACGCACAAGACATTAAAACAACCCAAACAGGGAGAATCAATTGATCCCACGGATCAAACATTACTCCAATATCATCATGGCTCAGATCAGTCAGTTGTGTTTGATGAAGGAGACGATCTTGTCCTTCAACTCCACGGCCTTGTCGTACTTGGGATCACGCAGGTGAAAGCAATGGTCTTCCCCAACATTCTCCACCAGCTCCACACTCCCTCTCCACCCGCTCTTCTTCAACTCCTCGCAGTACTCAACTCCGACCTCCCTCAGGTGATCCTTCTCCGCCACGAACACCAACACCTTCTCGCACCCAAGCCTCGCCAGATCCTCCTTCGCTGGCTTCAGCCTCGGATCCGTCAGCCCGCGGTTCGTCTGGCACGCGTACAGCCACATCTCGTCGTCGTCCGTCCCGCCAAAAAACGGGTGCACCAATACGACCCCCACCACCTTCACGCCCCGCGGCAGCCCGATCGACCCGACCTGGACGGCCAGCGTGTGCGGTATGTTCCCCCCGGCGCTGTCGCCGCCGATGAAGACCCGACCGAAGTCGGCGTGCTCGTTCAGCCACGGCTCCGCCCCATCCCCGCCGGCGTGGCCCGCCACCCACCGTAGCGCGGCCCAGGAGTCCTCGTAGCAGGCCGGTATGGGGCGAGCCGGGAAGAGCCCGTACTCGACGGAGACGGCGATGGCGCCGGCCTCCGCCGCGACCGTGCTGACGAAGTCGTGGTAGGTGCGAGAGAAGGCGGATTGCAGGCAGAACCCGCCGCCGTGGATGTAGAGGAGGAGGGGGAGCTTCCGGGCCGGGCCGGAGACGCGGGGCAGGAAGATCCGGGCGGAGACTGGCGGGTCCAGCGAGATGACGACGTCCTTGGATCGGACGCCGGTGTCGGGGTCGTCGGAGGGCGGGATCTTCTCGACCGGAGGACGGAAGAGTTCGATGCGGCCGTCCTTGTAGACTTTGAAGAGTCGGAACTCTTTGACCACCTCATTGCTCTCTGAAGCCATTTTTGGGGGGGACTGAAGGGGGTGCGACGCGAGGATCGAGTGAGATAGAGGAGAGGAAGAAGGTACTTGTAAAAATGGAGAGAGCGATGGCGGTGAAGACGTTGTGGTTTTGCTTTTCTCCGCCGTCCCCTTCGACGAGGAAAGGGCGGCGTCAGGCGTAGGTAATGTTGACCCAGAGGAACCTTCTTCGCGCGTCGGTCAAATTGCGTATGTGGAGGGTAATCCTAATAAATTTGATTTCTATTGAGATTAATACCTATAAAAATCTCCAACTAATTTTTCCCGTCACGCGTTCACCTATGAATTTGACTTTCGCTTCACCACACGTGTTATTATCCCAAATTACTTTTCGTTTCGCAACAAAAAAACCCTAACTAGTGACCTCGGTTCAAAAACCCGCCCATTAACATTTCATCTAATATCTCGTTATAATCCGACCAAAAAAATAATATCCCGTTGTAATGCACACGGGTCAACAATCGATGTCGATTTCCATTTTCGTTTTTTCTTTGTTGTCGGTAAACTTGATTTTTACTTACTGAATAGTCCCTAGAATCGTTTTCTTAAAGACAATGGAATTAGCTTGTGTTATGGCTCTAGGATTGTGCCACTTACGAAATTCTTATTTGCCAAATCTTCTTCATTCGACATAATTTGGCCATCTGTTAATTTTAGTAGGCCATCTTTTAATAGTAAGTCGAAAATCTCACCTAACTTGCTAACGTTGAATGTGTAAATCTGAGTATTAGCCTTAGCCATAGTATATATTTTTTTGTTGCCTTGGTAGGTTTTAAAGCTGGACAAGCATATGACCTGTTGAGCATCGTTATAGCCACGTTTATTTCAATGTTTTCCTCTTGATCGGATTTGCGATTAGCTTTTGAAGTTAAATATGACCTGCAATAGATGTTCAAACGAAGAAACCGCGACTCTTAACACGCGAATGATGTCCCATAATGGCAGGATGTATAGAGCATAAGAAATCCAAAACTCACCGAGAGCCGGGCTTGCACTTGATTGTGAAGTGCCCGAGCTTTTTCGAACGCAAATTTTAGGACTAAAATGCAAAACATAATGTTCAATTTGTATCTCCAATAACCAAAAACAAGGGATTTGGAGCAACTTGGTGATTGATTAGAGAACGGTGCGCATGCAACTCAATAAGGTGGTGTTTTTTTATTCTTTATTCTTTTTGTTTTTTTTTTGCTTTAAAGGCACAAAAAGGAGAAAACCTTACAATGGCGGAAGCAAAGCGAACGAAAAGAGAAGGCCGCGAGTCATGAAATCAAAGAGGGAGAGATAAAAGAATGGCAAAGAGGGACCGAAGTGGACTGAACCTAATCCATTTATTAAAGGGTTAATATCACGAACCTAATCCAAAATTAGTACACACGTGATAAATTTACCCCAAATTAATTTTTTGACCACAAAAAATCTTAAATTAATACACGTGTGACAAAATTATCTCAGACTAATTTTTTGGGAAAATTCCAATTAAGGACCCCAAGTGGGGTCAAATTCTCAAATAAGGACCCAAAGTGAATATTGTGTCAAATAAGGACCTGGAGTGCTCAATCAGTCTCAAATAAGGACCCGAATTTTTTTATTATTTTTTTCTGTTTTTTTCTTTTCCTTTTCCTTTTCTTTTTTTTTTTCTTCTCTTCTTCCGCCGGCTAGATCTGGCGAGGCTCGACCTCGCCTGCAACTGGCGAGGCCGGCCTCGCCCAGCCCAGGCGAGGGCGGCCCTCGCCCGACGCCGGCGAGGGCGGCCCCGCCTGAGGCCGGCGACCTCCGCCGGCCCCGGCTATGGCCGACGGAGGAAGAGAAGAAAAAAAAAACGAAAAGGAAAAGGAAAAGAAAAAAGCAGATTTGACACAATATTCACTTTGGGTCCTTATTTGAGAATTTGACCCTACTTGGGGTCCTTAATTGGAATTTTCCCTAATTTTTTTACCACCAAAAACCTCACACCAGTACATTTGCGACGTTAAATTCTGCAAATTTGGATTAATACCACGAAAAATCACAAACAGGTACATCTATAATAAACAGAGGGCAAAACCTCAAACTAGTACGCCTATCAACTGCCACGTGTTATCCAACTTAATAATTTCACGATAAAATTTAACGAAAACTAATAGAGGATAAATCTGTCACAGATATAACAATTTGGGATTTTTTATCGTCAAAAAATTAGTTTGGGATAAATTTATCGCAAATGTACCAATTTGAGCTTTTTCGTGGTATTAACCCTTTATTAAATAAGTTGAAATTGGGTTTATAACAGACCTACTAATCCATCTATTTTGGGCTTTTAACATTAAAACTCATTATGACCCATACTTTAAATTTGAGGTGATATGTTTAAATAAATTTAAGTTGTAATATGGGTTTATGACACGTTTTGACTGTCTTAATCGTGGGAAAATGACTGGGTGGTGGGTGGGCATGTGGCCCAACAATGATTGGGTCGGGGTAATCTTGTTTCGATGGTATTTTGGGCCTATTTGCATGTCCATTTTTAAATGAAGACTTGAACCGAAAGCAAAAAGCGGTAGAGATTACAATTTCACTTGTGGATCCACAGATGTGCAACAGATCAATTTAGATACCCGAGAAACAATCTGAAACTCAAATCAAAACCCATTTTAGGTTTTCTTTCGGCCATACCCAGATGACGCATCTCGATTTGGGATTATCTTCAATCGGTAAACCATACCCCTTACAGTAATAGCAAAATGAGCATCGTACACCAACTAATTCTCAGTAACATTAACGCCTGGTTAACGATTTTTTTTCTTTTTGGCCCGCAACATTGTAGAATCATCCCTCCGTCGCCATGGCCAATCTATGCAAGCATTTGTTATTTTTCAGTACGGTTCTATCTGATTGGTATGATTGCCTTTCAATAGGCAATACCGAATCATGTAACCCTGCTGTAGAGACTAGAAAATATGTTCAACCGTAGGCCACAAATGGCTGGCTAATAGGACATTCGGAGCGGTAAAAGATCAACCCAGCAAATTATTAGATAAACTTAGAAGGATTGGTAGATATCCCATCATCCAGATTCATCACGCACAGGCCGTGGAAACGACCCAAACAGTGAAAGTTAATTGATCCCGCGGATCAAACATTACTCGAATTTCATGGCTCAGATCAATCAGCTGTGTTTGATGAAGGAGACGAACTTGTCCTTCACCTCCACGGCCTTCTCGTGCTCCGGATCACGCAGGTGAAAGCAGTGCTCTTCCCCGAGATTCTTCACCAGCTCCGCACTCCCTGTCCATCCACTCTTCTTCAACTCCTCGTAGTACCCAATTCCAAGCTCCATCAGGTGATCCTTCTCCGCCACGAACACCAACACCTTCTCGCACCCCAGCCTCGCCAGGTCCTCCTTCGCCGGCTTCAGCCTCGGATCCGACAGCCCGCCGTTCGTCGGGCACATGTACAGCCACATCTGGTCGTCGTCCGTCCCGCCGAAGTACGGGTGCACCAATATGACCCCCACCACCCTCACGCCCCGCGGCAGCCCGATCGACCCGACCCGGGCGGCCAGCGTGTGCGATATGTTCCCCCCGGCGCTGTCGCCGCCGATGAAGACCCGCCCGAAGTCGGCGTGCTCGTTCAGCCACGGCTCCGCCCCGTCCCCGCCGGCGTGGCCCGCCACCCAGCGGAGCACGGCCCAGGAGTCCTCGTAGCAGGCCGGTATGGGGCGAGCCGGGAAGAGCCCGTACTCGACGGAGACGGCGATGGCGCCGGCCTCCGCCGCGACCGTGCTGACGAAGTCGTGGTAGTTGCGGGAGAAGGCGGATAGCATGGAGAACCCGCCGCCGTGGATGTAGAGGAGGAGGGGGAGCTTCCGGGCCGGGTCGGAGACGCGGGGCAGGAAGATCCGGGCGGAGACGGGCGGGTCCAGCGAGATGACGACGTCCTTGGATCGAACGCCGGTGTTGGGGTCATCGGAGGGCGGGATCTTCTCGACGGGAGGCATGAAGAATTCCAAGCGGCCATCCTTGAAGACTTTGAAGAATCGGAACTCTTTGACCACCTCATTGCTCTGTGAAGCCATTCTTGGGGAGCGATGTGAGTGAGAGACGAGGATTGAGATCGAGGAAGGAGGTCCCTGTAATAACGGCGGTGAAGTTTGTACTGTTTTCCTTTTCTTTATTGTCGCCTCCGACGAGGAAAGGGAGGTGTCGAGCGTCGCGAGTACATGTACGTCCGACGTTCTTCACCTGTCGGTCAAATCGTGTATGGGAGAGTGATTCCTAACAATTTGATTTTAATCGCAATTGTGACTCGGACAAGCCAACGAAATTTTGAGTTAGTAACTGGGGAAGAGAGACTTGGATGAATTGATTTCGTCGGTCTCTATGCTTTCGTTCATAAATCAACATCGTCTCTTTGTTATCTGAATAATGCCTTGTGATTCATAGGTTTTAAAACATAGACCGTGATATGAAAGTTGGAATGCACGTATCATTTTATGGTTCATCCAAAAATATTGTGAGGTACCAATAAGTGCCAAGTGCCACATAGGGCAACGCAAATTCTTAAAAGACAGCAAAATTGAGAGACAGAGAGATTCGTAGGTTGTCCATCGTTCTTGTTATGGCCGCGAGTTCAAGCTCTATGATCGATTAGGGTGATCCTTTTGTCAACGGATGCTCCTATTACACTCGTAATCTCTAAATGATGAGAACCAATATGCTATTCAAGCACAAGGCGGTGTTTTCTTTTCTGTTTTTTGCTTTAAAGGGGAAAAAAGGAAAAAGAAATCAAATGCAGACCTTTCAACAACAACAACAACAACCAATTGCGTTTTTGCCAGAAAAAACAAAGAGAAGGTAAGCCACACCTTTGGGAAGAGAAGTGCAATTTGTCATTGTAGTGTGAAGTTGTAAGCTAGAGGTTGAAGAAAACCTAACGATGGCGGAAGCACAACGAACGAAGGGAGATGGTCGCGAGTCATGAAATCAAAGAGGGAGAGAGAAAAGACTGGCGAGGAAGGACCAAAATGGGCTAAACCTTTAAAAATGAGTTTATAACAAACCCCACTAAGGGCTTTTAACTTTAAAACTCATTATGACCCATATTTTAAGTGTGATGTGATCCGTTTAAATAAATATAAGTTACAATATGGGCTTGCGACATATTTTGGTAGTCCTAATTGTGGGAAAATGACTGGGTGGTGGGTGGGTATGCGGCCTAACAATGATTAGGTCAGGGTCATCTTGTTTCGGTGGTGTTTTCGGTTCGATTTGGAAAAATTGTTAAAACAGTCCTAAACCTATTATAATTATGTTAATTGATCAATCCGGCCAACATCGACGCCATGATGGCCCGGACTACCGACTGACTACGTGGCAGATTTTAAAATATTTTTGATTTTTTTCCTTTATCTTTTTTGTCTTTCCTTCTTCCTCTAGCAAGTTAGGACTGAATTGGCACAATTATAATAGATTTTTGACTGTCTTGGTAATTTTCCCGTTCGATTTGCATGTCCATTTTTGTGAAGACTTAAACCAAAAGCAAAAGGGTGGTGATTACAATTTCACTTGTGGGTCCATAGATGCCAAACAGATCCAATTAGATACCCGAGAAACAATCTGAAACTCAGCCAAAACCCATTTTAGTTTTCTTTCAGCCATACCCAGACGGCACATCTCGATTTGGGATTGTCTTCGATCAGTAATTCATACCCCCTTTAGTAATAGCAAAACGAGCATCACACACCGACTAATTCTCAGTAACATTTATGATGTGGGGTAACTTCAAAATATCTGTAGTTAGTGATTTTTAACGCGGAGCGAAGTAAATTTTCGTGGAAATTAGAAATGACCGCCAAACCGATTAATTAATGGGTAAGCAAGGTTCGGCAGGACCTAAAAAGGGTATTAGCCATCGAAGTATGTCCAGTGATCACATATTTTAGTAATTTTAACCCCCTTTGTTTTTGGGTCACAGCATCGTAGAATCATCCCTCCGTTGTCATGGCCAACCTATGCGAGCATTTGTTATTTTTCAGTATCATTCCGTTTGATTGGTGTGATTGCCTTTCAATAGGCAGCACCCGAATCATGTAAATTGTAAACCCACTGTAGAGACTAGAAAACAAGTGTAGGCTACATATTCGCAGCAGCAGAAGATGAACCAAAAGCAAATTATTAGATCAACTAACAACCCAAACAGTGAAAATGAATTGATCCCGCGAATCAAACATTACTCGAATTTCATGGATGGATCGATCAATCAATCGCGTTTGATGAAGGAGACGAACTTGTCCTTCACCTCCACGGCCTTCTCGTACTCGGGATTATGCACGTGAAAACAGTGCTCTTCCCCAAAGTTCTTAACCAGCTCCGCACTCCCTCTCCATCCACTCCTCTTCAACTCCTCGTAGTACCCAATTCCGACCTCCATCAGGTGATCCTTCTCCGCCACGAAAACCAACACCTTCTCGCACCCGAGCCTCGCCAGTTCCTCCTTCGCCGGCTTCAGCCTCGGATCCGACAGCCCTTCGTTCGTCGGGCACATGTACAGCCACATCTGGTCGTCGTCCGTCCCGCCGAAGTACGGGTGCACCAATACGACCCCCACCACCTTTACGCCCTGCCGAAGCCCGATCGACCCGACCCGCGCGGCCAGCGTGTGCGATATGTTCCCCCCGGCGCTGTCGCCCCCGATGAAGACCCGCCCGAAGTCGGCGTGCTCGTTCAGCCACGGCTTCGCACCATCCCCGCCGGCGTGGCCCGCCACCCACCGGAGCGCGGCCCAGGAGTCCTCGTAGCAGGCCGGTATGGGGCGAGACGGGAAGAGCCCGTACTCGACGGAGACGGCGATGGCGCCGGCCTCGGCCGCGACCGTGCTGACGAAGTTGTGGTAGATGCGGGAGAACGGGGATAGCATGCAGAACGCCCCGCCGTGGACGTAGAAGAGGAGGGGGAGCTTCCGGGCCGGGTCGGAGCGCGGGGCAGGAAGATCCGGGCGGAGACGGGCGGGTCCGACGAGATGACGACGTCCTTGGATCGGACGCCGGTGCTGGGGTCATCGGAGGGAGGGATCTCCTCGACCGGAGGCATGAACAGATCCACGTGGCCATCCTTGAAGACTCTGAAGAATCGGAACTCTTTGACCACCTCATTGCTCTCGGAAGACATTTTTGGGGAGTGATGTGGGACGCGAGACGAGGATTGAGATCCTGTAATGATGAAGAAAGCGATGGCGGTCAAGCTTCTATTGTTTTCGTTTTACTTTTGTCGCCTTTGACGAGGAAAGGGAGGTGTCAACTGTCAAGCATGAGAAATGTAGATCGCGACTAAATGGACATCCGACGTTCTTCAGTTGTCGGTCAAATTGGGTATTAGGAGAGTCATTCCTAACAAATTGATTTTAATTGCAGCATTTTTGCAGTACTTTCTATTTGCAAGGAATAAGTTCCTTTCAAGCTTGTGACTCGGACTAGCCACCGAAATTTTAAGTTAGTGACCGGAGAAGAGAGATAGAGAGACTTGTCATTTATAGAGCAGAGATGGCTTACGCGACTTTGGAAGAATTAATTCATCCGTGGTCTCTATACTTTTGTTCATAAGTCAACATCAATCTCTTTATTCTTTGTAAAATGTCTTATAACATAGACATTGACATGAAAGTTGGAATACATGTACCATTCTATGATTCGCCAAAACATATTATGAGGTACCAATATTTGCCACATCGGGCAACACATAATCAAGAGAGAGAGAGATTCATAGATTGTCCATCATCCCAATCATGGCTGTGAGTCCAAGCTCTATGATCGAGGCGGCCATGCTGTTCGAGCTCGAGCTTGCAATGGCTAAATTATTCAGATTGTTAAACATCCAATCATCCAGATTCGTGGCGCACAAGCCGTTGAAACAATCGAGCAACGAGACCGGATTGATCCCACACATCAAACATTATCCGAATATCACGGCTTGACGAATCAGTTGTGTTGGATGAAGGACACGAACTTGTCCTTCAACTCCACGGCCTTCTCGCACTTCGGATCGAACAGGTAAAAGCAATGCTCTTCCCCAACATGCTCCACCAATTCCACGCTCCCTCTCCACCCGCTCTTCTTCAACTCCGCGCAGTACCCAATCCCGACCTCCCTCAGGTGATCCTTCTCCGCCACGAACACCAGCACCTTCTCGCACCCGAGCCTCGCCAGATCCTCCTCCACCGGCTTTAGCCTCGGATCCGATAGCCCGCCGTTCGTCGGGCACATGTACATCCACATGTGGTCGTCCTCGGTGCCACCGAAGTACGGCTGCACGAGTATGACCCCCACCACCCTCACGCCTGCCGGCAGCCCGATCGACCCGACCCGGGCGGCCAGCGTGTGCGATATGTTCCCCCCGGCGCTGTTGCCGCCGATGAAGACCCGCCTGAAGTCGGCGTGCTCGTTCAGCCACGCATCCGGCCCGTCTCCGTCGGCGTGGCCCGCAACCCACCGGAGTGCGGCCCACGAATCCTCGTAGCAGGCGGGTATGGGCCGAGCCGGGAAGAGCCCATACTCGACGGAAACAGCAATCGCCCCGGCCTCAGCCGCGACGGTACTGACGAAGTTGTGGTGGCCGAGGGAGAAGGCGGATTGCATGCAGAACCCGCCGCCGTGAATGTAGAAGAGGAGGGGGAGCTTCTGTTCCGGGTCAGAGACGCGGGGCAAGAAGATCCGAGCGGACACGGGCGGGTCCGATGAGATGACGACATCCTTGGAACGGACGCCGGTGTTGGGATCATCGGAGGGCGGGATCTTCTCGACCGGAGGACGGAAGAGTTCGATGCGGCCGTCCTTGTAGACTCTGAAGAATCGGAACTCTTTGACCACCTCTTTGGTTTCCGAAGCCATTTTGGGGGAGGGGGAGGGACGAATTGAGATTGAGGAAGGAGGAGGTTTTGGTAATAATTGAGTAGGGAAATGGACAATGGGACGCCCAATGTACTACTCACCCGCCGGTCAAACCAGGAGTTAGGAGTTCTTGTGAAGGAGGAAACTCCGTTGAGGTGGGAATTATCTGCTCCAATTCAACCAAATACTAAACCCTCGCTGAATTACTTTCCTAGGAATTGGCACATAAAAGATTCATACGTTGTCTCGAGAGTTCACCTGAGTGGAGAGTTCAAGTGGCATTTCCCTATTTTGCGGTGCATCTTTTAGTACTTGGTGCTAAAGGATTATCCGTTCCGTTCCGGGCAATAAAATTAGAGTCTCAAGGCATTTTAGGTGGGAGAAGCATCTGGCTCGTGACCTAAACTAACAGTTGCAGCTCACAATTTGCACCTCGATAGAACTCTTTGCCTATCCCAATCTAAGTTCACGAGCACATCGCAGCTTGGGCGAAAGGATCATCCACATCTAAAGGGGCTCAAAAGGAATACGACATCTCGGTTCATCCCGATGAGCAATAGGGCCACACAGAGAGAAGGGGATAGAGAATGTGGTATTTGATCCTGAATTCACTTCATGTAGAAGCTGATAAGAGACACGCATAAATGGAATAAGCTTTCTTGTGCGATCAAGCACCTCTGCTCTCAGCAAGGGGATACAGAAGAAACAGAGCAGACTCGACCCAGCAAAGAGCTTTGATCTAGTAATGCCGACTCGAACTCGAACTAGAGCTGATGATCGATGACTCATTTATTAACCCAACCAAGATTAAGTTGACGCTTAACGACAAATTACAGACACTGCCTCGCTCCTGAATCCTCCTGATTCAGGAAAGAAGCAAACTTCTTCACCAGTTCCGCGGCCTTGTCGCAACCCGGCTCGAGCAGGTGGAACACGTGACCCTCTCCTTCGGTCTCCACAATCTCCACCGCCCCTTCCCACCCACTCTTCTTCAACGCCTCGTAGTACGACCGCCCCCTCTCCCTCAGATGGTCCTTCTCCGCCACGAACACAACCGCCCTCTGCCCCGCTATCCTCCCCAAGTTCGGGTCGTACGCCGGGTTCATCCGCGGGTCCGTCGCGCCCGAGCTCGATGGGAATATCAACTCCATCAGCTTAACCGGCTCGCCGTTCCTGAAAAACGGGTGCACCAGCGCTACGCCCACGATCCTCAGCCCCGGCAACCCCTCCACCCCGGCCCGCACGGCCACGTGCTGAGCGATGTTGGCCCCGGCGCTGTCGCCGGCGAGGAACACCCGGTCGAAATCCGCGCGGTCGCGGAGCCACGGCTCGGCCTCGGCCCCTCTCTCCCCCAGGGCGTGCGCAGCGACCCACCGGACAGCGGCCCACGCGTCCTCGTAGGCGGCGGGGAGCACGTGCTCCGGCGCCCACCGGTAATGCACGCCGACGGCGAGGACCCCAGCGGCGGAGGCGACGGCGTTGAGGTGCCTGGTGTAGATGGGGGAGGAGGGGGACTCGATGCAGAACGCGCCGCCGTGGACGTAGACGAGGAGGGGGAGCTTGCGGGCCGGATCGACGGAGGACCGCGGCAGGAAGAGGCGGACGGAGAGGTCGGGGTCGGAGGAGAGGCGGACGTCCTTGGACTCGACGCCGGTTTGCGGGTCGAGGGAGGGAGGGACGGTGTCGGTGCCCTGGAACCTGTCGACCCGGCCGTCCTTGTAGATGCGGAAAAAGGGCGAGTCGAAGGCGATTTCGGCGGCGCTGGCGCCGGTGGCCGAGTCCATGATGGGGGCGGCGAGAGAGAGTGAGAGAGAGCTGGTGGAGAGTGTTTGGGTTTGGGGGTGTCGAAATGGGGACGGGGCGGAGCCGAGTGGCGGAACGTCGTGTTTCTCGTGTCGTTACGTTTGGTTCTGGCGACGCGCCGCGGTCAACTGGAAATGGTTGGTGAGTCGCGTCACAGTGCGAACAAGCCAAAGTTTTTTCTTATTTTGGGCTATTGCAATCGAACGCTCAAATTTATCGCAAAAGTTCAATTAACTCCTCAAATTTTTCGGAAGAAATGCCTCGCAAGTCGCGACCTTTCGTCTTTGTCAGTGAAGGAGGCCCAAAGGCTCGTTGGACACGGAGGAGTACAGTATCGCAAGTGGATCTTTCAACAATTGTTTTGTTTTTTATTTTACTTTTGTTGTAGCTATTTTAAAAATGGAAAGCATGATGAAAAGGCTGTCGAGTGTAGTCATGGCCACGGGCCGATTTTGGCCCGTTGACCGGGCCCGTGGTTTACTAGTCGAGTGTGCTGGATGCGATCCAAAAAAGTGAGGGTGGGAAAATCACTTTATGTTCCTCTCTCTCTCTCTCTGCTCAAGTCATCATAGAATAATCAGATCGAAGCAAATATTGCAAACATAGCAAATTTCTACACCCACACACGCACTTTCTCCATACGCACAAGAGTCACAACAACCAGTGATTCCGACTCCAAATTTGAGGTTTTCCTTCTGCTATGGATCGTGTACCTCAAAGGTCATAACTTACCTCCAACAACGAACATAGCCTTTCTCAAAATTTTCACCATAATCTATGAAAAAGACACGTATGCATTTCTTTTTCTGGGGTTCGGATTCGCAATCGACCCTATCGTTGATATGATTGTTGATCAACACAATACAAGAGAAACACAAGTTCTCTATTTCTTTATCACGTCCTTAAGATTTCGACTTTTGTTGAGATAGATAAGAGACCGTCATTCGTAGCTGTACGCATTGATGAGCGTAAGGTAAAGCCTAATTATTTCGAGAAATGTGCCGTTGCCCGTTACTTAACCCCAATAAGATATTTGCACCTAAAAAGAGAAAACCGAGCCAGTTCCCTACCAACGACTGAATCATTCAGAGCGAGACAACGTGAAAGCAAATTGGCGAAGACGTTTGTTCTCCACGCAATCGATGAGCAAACAGCAAAATACACACGAAAAAGGCAAAAGTCAAGCCCAAAATTGCCGCACGGTCGGGGCTCATCGGGGGCCTTCGTGTCTTTGGCCAAAAGGGTCAGGGAGAAACGACGCCGTTTCGCGCTGCCCCTCCTCCGGTCTCTTCCCCGCGGGAGTGAGTTCCCTCGGATTTTCCCGGTGAAATCGCCGGCCGGATTTCTACGCGCAGGAACACGCGATGTCCCGGTCTTCGACGCCGTGCGTGTGTACACGTGTTGTCGTCTCTGTCCCTTATAGCTGCTCTGACCTTTTTCGAGCAGCTCGATGGTTTTCTTTTTCTTCCTTGTTTTTTTCCTGATCTGGGCAGCTGATAATTTAACTCGCTTCTTTCGGTTTCCCCTAATATGCATTTAAAGCGAGCGAATCCAATCGACCGTCGCTTTCCCCTTTTGGCCATAATCGTCGATCTTGTCCGATTCGATGTCCCCCTCTCCGCACGCTTACATAAACCATCGCCCCTGCTCGATTTCGCCACTTCATCCGCAGCATCGTGCTTCCTGTAGATCAGCAGGAGCGATGATTGGCGTCCGTGCGTACCGGGACTCCCACGTGCCGAGTTTCTGCGTGCTGCGTAACCCTAAGTGTTCGTATTGGTTCGTATGCAGGAGTCTTTCGGCATCAAGTCCGTGAAGAAATCTCCGTTGGTGCTGCGGATGGTGGTCCTGGTCTTCGCGACGATTTGCGGCGTTTACATTTGCTCGATTTGCATCAAACAAATTGGCTTTCAGACCAAGTCCGGCCTTTTGAACGTGCAAGTGATCAGGAGTCCATGCCCGGAACCGACGATCGAGCCCTGGGAAATCCCTTATATGCACTATCCCAAGTCCCAAACTTACAGCAGGTATGTCATCGCATACGGTGGCTTGCCTTTGGATCTCATGTGATTTTACTGATCAGTTGCTTCTTCTTTTTATGTATTAAGGGCGTAGGGGTGTCAACGGGTCGGGTCGGGTTTTCATGATACCCGACCCGATCCGAAACAATGAATATATGTGCTTGGCCCGACCCGAAACAAGACCCGAACATGATATAGCCGCACAATCGGTTCGGGTCGGGTCGGGTCGGTTCGGGTTCGCGTTTAGAGGTTTACTAATCATTATTGAAATGATACAAAAGATAGAACAGAAGGGGGCTAAGTACATTGATAAGGCTTCGTTGACAAAACAATAAGCTGGCCTTTGCGGCTAATATGGACATTCTCTTTCCAACTATACATACCCCATCTACATTTTTGTTAGTAGATGAGGCTTGACAATCGTTGTTTCTTCTTGCGGAAAAATAAGTCAATTGCTACGCTTTCTACCACCCATCAACTGTAGAATTCCTACCCTAGCGAAGAGCTTGTGTCTGCAGCTTCATCGTTACTCAAGCTAGATGGCATCTGTGCGGCAGAACTGCATTCCGCATAATGCAACGAGAAAACAGAAGCAACCAGATTCAGTGAATGCTGAAAGTCTTGTCAATAAAGGTAAAGCAGGAATTTGGGGGAAAGTTACAGCAAAGAATATAGAAGAAAATTCTCAAACAGCTAAATATTCCCCCTGAAAGCAGTAGCTACCATAATTCAGTTTATAGCATTTGTAGGCTCACTATAATCCCCTGATACAGCCAAGAGGTAGGCCAATTGACTGAAACTAGTACAGGAAGTACCAACCCCAACAGGTTGACCCGAGGTATTTTTTTGCCTTTTCTCGATGTTTGCATATGATATTCCTTACATCTATCTAAATGATGATGCATTGAACTAGTCCCTTGAGTATTAGAACAACCAATGTGGACCCCGCAATATAAACATTCAGCCTTTTCTTGGTTTTTGTCTGTACATGGAAGCCTTTTAAAGTGATCCCACATAATGGATCTCTTCCTTCTATTTGTGTGGCTAGAATCCGTCGACGAAGACATCTAGCAATCAGCAAAAATAATTAACATTCTAGAATCGACAAAAGCCAGCAAAAATATTTGTGTGGCGAACTCGAAGCTCGCGAGAGCCTCGGATATGGAGGTCGAAGTAAGGAGGGAAGGCGACGATGACGTTCCCGTCGCGAGGAGGTTTCCGTCCGTCATTGACTTCTCGGTCCGGAGCTTTGGAAGAAATGATAGGGTTTCTGGCGCGCTTGGAACAAGAAGGACAAATGGGTGGGCTTGTTTCGGGCGGGCTCGGTAGATCCAAAACAAGTTTAAGCCTTGTTTTTATTGTTACCCAAACAAGTTAAGGCCAACCCGATCCAATATGAAAATTCCTTGTTTGGATCGGGTCGGGTCATGTTTGAGCGGGTACTTTTGACACCCCTAAAGGGCTGAATGCTCGTCCAATCCTGTACGGTACTTTGCCATTCTGTCGATGCAGAGATCCGGTAGCGGGTGGTTTGAGACATTGCTGAACAATCACACAAATATTAGCTCAAATGGAGAAATTTTCTCTGTTAAGATTAGAAGGAGCAATGTTTCCACGATAACGGAGACTTTGGATAAAATTTATAACCTGGACTGGATGAGCAGCGCATCGAAGAACGAGTGCACAGCTGCTGTTGGCTTAAAATGGATGCTTAATCAGGTGATTGCACCTAATAATGTGTTCCGTTATTCCAATGTTTATTTTTGTTTATGTCTCTGTAATTATGCAGATTTCTCTTGGATATTAAACTGTCTAAGTCGTATCTGTGATCTTCCTAATAGATATAATCCAGCCTAAATTATACAAGCTTTTGGCGAATCATGCATTTTCGATTTTTCTTATTCCAGCTACAAATTCTGGACTCTCTGGTCAACAACCCTTGCTTTTGGTAGTTAGTAAGAAATTGTGAATAAACTAATTAAGTGCAATTTCCATTCTTATTTTGCTGCTCTAGTTGGTCATTTTTTTTCTTTTGCTAGTCAGTAAGAAAATTGTATGAAAGATGAGGTATCGAAGGTGAAGAGAAGTAGGTAGGTGAACTTCATAAATCCCGCAATTTGATAGGCTCAAATGTGATAAAGATGGGAGTTTGCTAATCACCTGCATGTGATCTCCGATAATATTCAAGCCGCTCATGTCGAGGTACTTTAATGCCTGAAGATGCAAAACCCACTGAATGTTTTCAACAACACCCATGTTATAATAAGCATGGAGATCAAGGACTTCCAATTCGGTGAGATTTCCCCATCACGAGGAATAGAAAAACCAGAAGAGTCGGACAAGTTAAGGTACCTTAACGGTTTCATCAATCCAATGAATTTGAGTATGTTTGCATTTTTTAAAAAGATCCCGCTCAACTCTAGGTAGCTCAAGTATCTCAAGTTGAGCAAAGAAGAGTTCAGATCACTAGCTGTGAAAGAAATCAGTGGGAAATCAGGTCCTGATGTGATCTGGAGCATGACGACATGTCCATTTATTTCGTTGCACTTTACTTCGGTCCATCGGCAACAATCTTCGCCGTTCCAAGAGGAAAGGAGGTCAAATGTATCAGAGAGATTTTGTCTGAACTGGATTAGAGCATCCCTTTCTTCTTCGAAGCAAATGGAGGATGAGCTTCTGTTTCTGCACAAACATACACATGCATTGTATAAAATTAACAACAGACTTACTAATACAAGCATTTTCACACCATCATGTCTCGCCATGAATGATGATGAAAATGAAAACAAAAGCTATATTGCACACGAAAGACACTCGATTAGGCTTCAAGGTTTTTGGCTTGGGTGCATTTGTTTGAACTTTGAGAAATTTGGTTTGAGTGGGTTGTCCAGAGTAGACAAATGGCATTTATAGAGAGCAAGGGAAGGAATAATAATGAATGTAACCAAATACATCGTGGGTGTACCGTGTATATCACGTGTTAATAATGTCATTTACCATCACAATAAACGTAACCATAACTAGTTGACTCTTAGTAGCGTAAAGAAATTGGGTATCAACTGTCAAGCATGAGAAATGTAGATCGCGACTAAATGGGACACGGGCGGGTCCGATGAGATGACGACGTCCTTGGAACGGACGCCGGTGTTGGGATCATCGGAGGGTGGGATCTTCTCGACCGGAGGTTCGAAGAGTTCCACACGGCCGTCCTTGTAGACTTTGAAGAACGGGAGCTCTTTGACCACCTCGTTCGTTTCCGAAGCCATTTGGGTCTGTAACTTCACATCCACATGCTCAGTCAAGGATCTGTATTTGCAATTTTACCCAGATTAAAGGAACGAAAGAGTGATCACGAACAAATGCAAAGAAGAAAGCAGCAATCGAGCACGAATTGTTGTGGCAACTTGGAGCGGGCTTGCGGCTTGGATGTTCGTCAACACATTGCTTGTTGCAAGACCAACAGTGCAAATTTGCGCCCTAACTCATCTTCTTCGATTATTCTGATTTTCTGCGCTTACATTGGCTTTTGCATTTTGTCCACCATATTCGTGTTAATTTCGTTTTTTTGTTGGATTGTAGATGAAATTCAGAGAATAAATCTTGATTTTTGGAAGACTCGTTGACTGATTTTGATGAGTTCGAATGCTCTGTAGCTCCGCAAGTTGATAGGCTTGGAAATTGTCCCTAAGATTGAATTTTGATTATGTGGCGATGATCTTCTCGTTTTGTGGTCGATGGTGGTGGTGGTCACTTACTTTGACAGTGATTGTGACGTTCGAGATTATGGCAGTGCTCTAGATGTGGTTTTCGATTATGCCGGACAGCGGTGGCGATCATACTCTCTCTCCCCCTCCCGCACGATTGAGGTCAATGTGAGGCCAAGGGAAGGTCGCGACTTTGGATACAATGTCATCTAACAACAATGGCGGCGATGGCGAAGGAGGAGCGGCGTCGAGATGGAGCATCAAAGGCAGAGGGCGGGGACGCGATTGGAGAAAAAAACACAATTTAAAGGCCCAATTGAAAAGTAAAGATTTCGAAGGCTTGATTGAAAAAAGAAATGCATAAGTGAAAGAGTAAAACAGCAGTTCTGCACATAGTTTCGTACGTATATATAACTCCGGATTATAACACGTTGACACGACTTTTTTTATAGTTAATTACGATAACGTGCTCGGGATCAATTGTCCTTGATGAAGGAGACGAACTTGTCCTTCAATTCCACGGCCTTCTCGTTCTTGGGATCCCGTATCTGAAAGCCATGCTCTTCCCCGACATGCTCCACCAGTTCCACGCTCCCTCTCCACCCGCTCTTCTTCAACTCCTCGCCGTACCCAATCGCCACCTCCCTCAGGTGATCCTTCTCCGCCACGAACACCAGCACCTTCTCGCACCCGAGCCTCGCCAGATCCTCCTCCGTCGGCTTTAGCCTCGGATCCGACAGCCCGCCGTTCGTCGGGCACATGTACATCCACATGTGGTCGTCCTCGGTGCCACCGAAGTACGGCTGCACGAGTATGACCCCCACCACCCTCACGCCTGCCGGCAGCCCGATCGACCCGACCCAGGCGGTCAGTGTGTGCGATATGTTCCCCCCGGCGCTGTTGCCGCCGATGAAGACCCGCCTGAAGTCGGCGTGCTCGTTCAACCACGCGTCCGGCCCGTCTCCGTCAGCGTGGCCCACGACCCACCGGAGCGCGGCCCACGAGTCCTCGTAGCAGGCGGGTATGGGCCGAGCCGGGAAGAGCCCATACTCGACGGAAACAGCAATCGCCTCGGCCTCAGCCGCGACGGTACTGACGAAGTTGTGGTGGCCGAGGGAGAAGGCGGATTGCATGCAGAACCCGCCGCCGTGAATGTAGAAGAGGAGGGGGAGCTTCTGTTCCGGGTCAGAGACGCGGGGCAAGAAGATCCGAGCGGACACGGGCGGGTCCGATGAGATGACGACATCCTTGGAACGGACGCCGGTGTTGGGATCATCGGAGGGCGGGATCTTCTCGACCGGAGGACGGAAGAGTTCGATGCGGCCGTCCTTGTAGACTCTGAAGAATCGGAACTCTTTGACCACCTCTTTGGTTTCCGAAGCCATTTGGGGGGGAGGGACGAATTGAGATTGAGGAAGGAGGAGGTTTTGGTAATAATTGAGTAGGGAAATGGACAATGGGACGCCCAATGTACTACTCACCCGTCGGTCAAGCCTGGAGTTAGGAGTTTATTGGAAAGGTAGCTGTGATCTGGCCGTTTACTTAGGAAGTTTTGTGTGCATATCTTTTATTACTTGTTATTGTGTGGTCCTTATATTTTTAGTAGTTTAGCCTAATTAGGAGTTTGTTTGATAGCTGTATCTTCTTGTATATATGTTACGTTTCTGTGGCAATGAAGAAGAGAATTCTCATTCCAAAATTCCTCAGTTCTTTTACATGGTATCAGAGCCATGGCTGATGAAAAAAAAGGTGAGGAGAGTTCTGGAACGGACAAGAAAATCTTTAGTTCTTACACACTAAATTCGAATGACAACCCGGGTAACCTGGTTACCCAAGTTCAGTTGAAGGGCGAGAATTATGAAGAATGGGCGCGAGCTATGCGGACTGCATTACGAGCCAAGAAGAAATATGGTTTTATTGATGGATCTGTCAAGCAACCAGCAGATGATTCACTGGAACTTGAAGATTGGTGGACGGTTAATTCCATGTTGGTTTCTTGGGTGTTTAATACCATTGAACCGACACTTCGCTCGACTATCTCTCACATGGAGAATGTGAAAGATCTGTGGGAGGATATCAAGCAGAGATTTTCGATTGGGAATGGTCCACGGATGCAGCAACTAAGATCGGATTTGGCCAATTGTAGGCAGGATGGTCAACCCATCGTGTCCTATTTCGGTAAACTCAAAACCTTGTGGGATGAAATAAATAACTATGATCAGATACTAGTGTATGGTTTGTACAGGTTGTAGATGCAATCTTACCATTGTATTGGAAAGAAAGCGTGAAGAAGAGAGAGTTCATCAGTTTTTGATGGGCTTAGATGAAGAAGGATATGGAACAGTGCGCGCTAATATTTTGAGCACTGAACCTTTGCCTAATCTGAATCATGTCTATGCAATGGTTGTTCAGCAAGAGCAAGTGCGAACTATGACACGAACCAAGGATGAAAGAGGCAATCCGATGAGTTTTGCAATCCGGGCAGGTGGTCAAAATTCAAGGGGGGATAAAGATAAAATCCCGTTCTGTTCTAATTGCAACCGAGAGGGACATGATGCTGAAAGTTGTTTTCGACTGATAGGATATCTAGAACGGTGGGGTAATAGACCACGTGAAACCTCTGTTGGACAAGGTAGTGGTCAAAAGCGTGGTAATAGAGGTGGACGAAACAAGGGAGGAGGTGCTCGTGCCAACGTCTCACAGGCAACTGGAGTTGATGGTGGGCGAGGAGTTGTGACGGATTCAGATCGAAAGGGTCTTAGTGGATTGAATGATGAGCAGTGGGCGACTTTGCTAGGAATGTTAAGTTCTCATCAGAATGGTGCCCATGAGAGGTTGATAGGTAAGCAGAGTATTTTTCCTTGGATTATTGACACAGGAGCTTCCCACCATATGACAGGAACGTTGGCATTTTTTAGAGAATTGCGTGACATTATGCCATGCTCAGTCGAATTACCTGATGGAGAAAAGACCATGGCAGTGAAAGAAGGAACTGTGTTGCTTGGAGGAGACTTGAAATTGCGACGAGTTCTTTTTGTGCCCAATTTGAAATGCAATCTGATTTCTGTATCACAACTTCTTAATGATTCAAATTTGGTTATCCAACTCACTAACAAAATATGTGCTATACAGGACCTAAATTCGAGGAACCTGATTGAAGCGGGTGAGCAACGCGAGGGGCTTTACTTTCTCAAGGGAGTGACTTCGGTACATGCTTGCAAGGTGGATGATATGGAATCCTTTGAGCTTTGGCATAAAAGAATGGGTCATCCTTCTTCTAAGGTGGTGGAGTTAATTCCAGAAGCTGGCAAAATGGTTAGGAAAACCAATAAAACTTGTGAGGTTTGTTTTAGAGCAAAACAAACAAGAGAGATCTTCTTTTCTAGTGACAATAAAGCTAAAGATTGTTTTGAATTGATGCATTGTGATTTGTGGGGACCTTATAGAGTCCCAGCTTCATGTGGAGCAATTTATTTCTTGACAATTGTTGATGATTACTCTCGTGCCGTGTGGATATATTTGCTGAATAGAAAAAATGAAGTGGCCTGTGTTCTTAGGAAATTTATTGCGATGGTTAAATGCCAATTTGAGAAAAATGTGAAAATCGTTAGAAGTGATAACGGAAGTGAATTTTTGTGTTTGAAAGAATATTTTGATGAACATGGGATATTGCATCAAACTTCTTGTGTTGGAACACCTCAACAAAATGGCCGAGTGGAAAGAAAGCATCGCCATATCCTTAATGTTGCAAGAGCTTTGCGTTTCCAAGCAAATTTACCCATAGAATTTTGGGGAGAATGTGTACTCGCAGCTAGGTATTTGATTAACAGGACTCCATCTATATTATTGAATGGTAAAATCCCATATGAGATTATCTTTGGCCAACCTCCTTCTTACAAACATATTCGGATTTTTGGTTGTTTGTGCTATGCGCATAATTAGAATCGGGATAAAGATAAATTTGCTAGTAGAAGTCGTCAGTGTGTTTTTGTTGGTTATCCGTTGGGAAAGAAAGGATGGAGATTGTATGATTTAGAAGCTGATGAATACTTTGTATCAAGAGATGTAGTGTTTGCTGAAACAAAATTTCCATATGCTGATGAGAAAACAGTAAGTGATGAACTCATTAAAAATAGAGTTATGGAGTTGGGTGATAAAGTTGATGATTTAAAAGGTGACTTGAGGGAGGAATTGATCCACACAAACAATGAGGACGTGGAAAGAAGTGAAGTCGTCGTCGAAAGTGTAGAGAGAGAAAATGAAGTAAATCATGAAATGGAGGAATTGATCCACACAAACAATGAGGACGTGGAAAGAAGTGAAGTCGTCGAAGAGCAGCTAGGCAGGGGACAAAGGGTCAAGCAACCTTCTATTCGTTTGAAAGATTATGTGACAAACGCCATCAGAATAAGTCCCTCGACATACTCATCTACCCGATCTGATTCCTCAGGTACGCCTTATTCTATAGCACGTTATGTGAGTTATGAAAATTTTCTGCGCAACATCGGTGTTTCTTGGCAGCAATTACTGCAGGACATGAACCAAACTCTTTTGCGGAAGCGATTAAAGATGAACGGTGGAGAGAGGTCATGAGTAAAGAAATACAGGCTTTAGAAGATAATGGCACATGGACAGTCGAAAATTTGCCGCCTGGGAAGAAAGCAATTGGGAGCAAGTGGGTGTATAAAATTAAGTACAATTCTGATGGAAGTGTTGAACGATACAAGGCGCGGTTGGTGATACTGGGAAATAATCAAGTTGAAGGCATAGATTATCAGGAGACTTTTGCTCCTACGGCAAAAATGTGCACTGTACGCACCTTTCTTGCCGTTGCGGCTGCAACAAATTGGGAACTTCATCATATGGACGTTCAAAATGCTTTCTTACATGGCGATTTAGAGGAAGAGGTTTACATGAAGATGCCGCCTGGATTTGCCTCTCAATCATCAGGGAAGGTATGCAGACTCCGGAAATCTCTATACGGTTTGCGGCAAGCACCTAGATGTTGGTTTGCGAAATTGACTGCATCTTTGAAAGCTTATGGATTTCAACAATCATATTCAGATTACTCCTTGTTCACTTTTCGAGTTGGAACTGTACAATTGAATGTGCTTATTTATGTTGATGATCTCATTATCTCCGGTAATGATATTTCCGCTGTGCAAAAGTTCAAGAACTATATGAGTCGTTGTTTTCATATGAAAGACTTGGGGAAGCTGAAATTTTTCTTGGAGATTGAAGTGGCGAGAAACTTAGATGGTATTTTCTTGTGTCAACGTAAGTATGCATTGGATGTGATTTCTGAGGTCGGATTACTGGGTTCTAAGCCGGCTAAAACTCCTCTTGAACAAAATCACAAGCTAGCCCTTACTGAGAGCGATGATGTAGACAACCCTGCTCAGTATAGGCGCCTAGTGGGTCGGCTTATTTATCTAACAATAACTCGACCTGAATTGTCTTACTGTGTGCATATTCTTGCACAGTTCATGCAGCGGCCAAAGAAAGCTCATTGGGAGGCAGCTGTGAGAGTTCTGCGTTATCTGAAAGGAAATCCAGGTCAGGGTATTATGTTGCGTGCCAATTGTGACCTGAAATTGTCTGCTTACTGCGATTCTGACTGGGCTAGTTGTCCTTTGACGAGACGATCTTTGACTGGTTACTTTGTTCTTTTGGGAGAATCTCCTATCTCGTGGAAGACTAAGAAGCAACAGACGGTGTCTCGCTCATCCGCTGAAGCTGAATACAGGTTTATGACTACTACAGTTTGTGAACTTAAGTGGTTGAAAGGATTATTGGATTCTCTTGGTGTGGCACATTCTCAACCTATGCACTTCTATTGCAACAGTCAGGCAGCTTTACATATAGCCGCCAATCCTGTCTATCATGAGCGTACCAAGCATATTGAAGTGGACTGTCATTTTATTCGTAATGAGATACTTAATGGTAACATTCAAATAGATTACGTACGTAGTTCAATGCAGCCAGCTGATATCTTCACGAAGGTGTTGGGAAAGGATCAATTTAACTTTATTCTTTGCAAATTGGGCATTTGAGATCCCCATGCTCCAACTTGAGGGGGGTATTGGAAAGGCAGCTGTGATCTGCATTTATTTAGGCCGTTTACTTAAGAAGTTTTGTGTGCATATCTTTTATTACTTGTTATTGTGTGGTCCTTGTATTTTTAGTAGTTTAGCCTAATTAGGAGTTTGTTTGATAGCTGTATCTTCTTGTATATATGTTACGTTTCTGTGGCAACGAAGAAGAGAATTCTCATTCCAAAATTCCTCAATTCTTTTACAGAGTTCTTGTGAAGGAGGAAACTTCGTTGAGGTGGGAATTATCTGCTCCAATTCAACCAAATACTACACCCTCGCTGAATTTTTTTCCTAGGAATCGGCACATAAAAGATTCATACGTTGTCTCGAGAGTTCACCTGAGTGGAGAGTTCAAGTGGCATCTCTCTATTTTGCGGTGCCTCTTTCAGTCCTTGGTGCTAAAGGAAGATCCGTTAGGTTCCGGGCAATATAATTAGAGTCTTGAGGCATTTTAGGTGGGAGAACCATCTGTTTCGTGACCTAATCTAACAGTTGCAGCTCACAATTTGCTCCTCAATAGAACTCTTTGTCTATCCCGATCCAAGTTCACGAGCACATCGCGGCTTGGACGAAAGGATCGTCCACATCTAAACGGGCTCAAAAGGAATACGACATCTCGGTTCATCCGGATGAGCAATAGGGCCACACAAAGAGAAGGAGATAAGAGAAGGTGGTATTGATCGTGAATTCACTTCATGTAGGAGCTGATAAGACACACAAATACATGGAATAAGACCTCTGTTCTCCGCGAGGGGACAAAGAAGGAACAGAGCAGACTCGACCCAGCAAAGCTTTGATCTAGTAATGCCGACTCGAACTCGAGCTAGAGCTGACGATTGATGACTGTCAAACTGATGATCGATGACTTATTTATCAACCCAACCGAGATTAAGCTGACGCTTAACGACAAATTACAGACACTGCCTCGCTCCTGATTCCTGCTGATTCAGGAAAGAAGCGAACTTCTTCACCAGTTCCGCGGCCTTGTCGCATCCCGGCTTGAACAGGTGAAACACGTGACCCTCTCCTTCAGTCTCCACAATCTCCACCGCCCCTTCCCACCCACTCTTCTTCAACGCCTCGTAGTACGACCGCCCCCTCTCCCTCAGATGGTCCTTCTCCGCCACGAACACAACCGCCCTCTGCCCCGCCATCCTCCCCAAGTTCGGGTTGTACGCCGGGTTCATCCGCGGGTCCGTCGTGCCCGAGCTCGAGGGGAATATCAACTCCATCAGCTTATCAGGCTCGTCGTTCCTGAAAAACGGGTGCACCAGCGCCACGCCCACGATCCTCAGCCCCGGCAGCCCCTCCACCCCGGCCCGCGCGGCCACGTGCTGAGCGATGTTGGCCCCGGCGCTGTCGCCGGCGAGGAACACCCTGTTAAAATCCGCGCGGTCGCGGAGCCACGGCTCGGCCTCGGCCCCTCTCTCCCCCAGGGCGTGCGCAGCGACCCACCGGACCGCGGCCCACGCGTCCTCGTAGGCGGCAGGGAGCAGGTGCTCCGGCGCCCACCGGTACTGCACGCCGACGGCGAGGACCCCCGCGGCGGAGGCGACGGCGTTGAGGTGCCTGGTGTAGATGGGAGAGGAGGGGGACTCGATGCAGAAGGCGCCGCCATGGACGTAGACGAGGAGGGGGAGCTTGCGGGCCGGATCGACGGAGGACCGAGGCAGGAAGAGGCGGACGGAGAGGTCGGGGTCGGAGGAGAGGCGGACGTCCTTGGACTGGACGCCGGTTTGCGGGTCGAGGGAGGGAGGGACGGTGTCGGTGCCCTGGAACCTGTCGACCCGGCCGTCCTTGTAGATGCGGAAAAAGGGCGAGTCGAAGGCGATTTCGGCGGCGCCGGCGCCGGTGGCCGAGTCCATGATGGGGGCGGCGAGAGAGAGTGAGAGAGAGCTGGTGGAGAGTGTTTGGGTTTGGGGGTGTCGAAATGGGGACGGGGCGGAGCCAAGTGGCGGAACGTCGTGTTTCTCGTGTTGTTACGTTTGGTTCTGGCGACGCGCCGGGGTCAACTGGAAATGGTTGGTGAGTCACGTCAGAGTGCGAACAAGCCAAAGTTTTTTTTTTTTTGTTGGCAATCACAATCAAATCCTCAAATTTATCGCAAGAGTGCAATCAACTCCTCAAATTTTCCAAAAATGCAATCAATAGAGAATTTTGATTGGACTAATTTGACAAGATTACACTTTTTGAAGGTCTTGTGACTCAATTGTATTACGGTGAAAAATTTTAAAATTTTCGATGTACTTATTTTTTCTTTTATTGGATCGGAAAAAAGCCGAGTTTGGTTGATCAGGACAATGTTGGACTGAAGCCCAAACGTCATTCCCTCCTCGGAAGAAAAGCCTCGCAAGTCACGACCTTTCGTATCGGTGAAGGAGGCCCAAAGGCTCGTTGGACACGGAGGAGTACAGTATCGCAAGTGGATCTTTCAACAATTGTTTTGTTTTTTTTTTACTTTTGCTGTCGCTATTTTAAAAATGGAAAGCATGATGAAAAGGCCGTCGAGTGTGCTGGAAGCGATCCGAAAAAGTGAGGGTGGGAAAATCACTTTATGTTCCTCTCTCTCTCTGCTCAAGTCGTCATAGAATAATCGGATCGAAGCAAATATTGCAAACATAGCAAATTTCTACTCCCACACAAGCACTTTCTCCATACGCACAAGAGTCACAACAACCAGTGATTCCGACTCCAAATTTGAGGTTTTCCTTCTGCTATGGATCGTGTACCTCAAAGGTCATAACTTACCTCCAACAACAAACATAGTCTTTCTCAAAATTTTCACCATAATCTATGAAAAAGACATGTATGCATTTCTTTTTCTGGGGTTCAGATTCGTAATCAATCCTATCGTTGATATAATTATTGATCAACACAATACAAGAGAAACACAAATTCTTTATTTCTTTATCACGTCCTTAAGATTTCGACTTTTATCGAGATAGATAAGAGATTGTCACTTGCAACTGTAAGCATTGACGAGCGTAAGGTAAAGCCTAATTATTCCGAGGAATGTGCCGTTGCCCGCTACTTAACCCCAATAAGATATTTGCACCTAAAAAGAGAAAACCGAACCAGTTTCCTACCAACGACTGAATCATTCAGAGCGAGACAACGTGAAAGCAAATTGGCGAAGACGTTTGTTCTCCACGCAATCGATGAGCAAACAGTAAAATACGCACGAAAAAGGCAAAAGTCAAGCCCAAAATTGCCGCACGGTCGGGGGCTCATCGGGGGCCTTCGTTTTTTTTGCCAAAAGGGACCGGGAGAAACGACGCCGTCTCGCGCTGCCCCTCCTTCGGTCTCTTCCCCTCGTTCGTTTCTTGAGCTGTTGTGTCACAGCTCAAACGAACGAACTGCTTAGATTCGCAAAAAGAAAAAAAACAGAGAGATCTGTTAAAAATCCGGAAGCGCACAAAACGAAAAAGCGAAGCGAGCGTGCAACGGTCCTCGGCGCATCCAATCATATTACCCTCCCTCCTTCACGAGAAAAAAGCTCCTTCCCTTTCTCTCTCTCTCTCTCTCTCCGCGCTCCGCATTTTCTCGAGAAAATGAGGGAAAAGAGCTTCTTCTGAGAGAGGACAAAAGAAGAAGAAGAAGAGGAGAAAAAAAATCCTGAGCTGCTTTGCCAGATGCTCTTTCGTTCCGCTCCTCTCGAGCTCGCGCGACGATGGCCGACGATCTCTGCTCCTTCTCCAAGGTACGTGCGACGCCGTTTCCGCGGGCGCGAGTGAGTTCCCTCGGATTTTCCCGGTGAAATCGCCGGCCGGATTTCTACGCGCAGGAACACGCGATGTCCCGGTCTTCGACGCCGTGCGTGTGTACACGTGTTGTCGTCTCTGTCCCTTATAGCTGCTCTGACCTTTTTCGAGCAGCTCGATGGTTTTCTTTTTCTTCCTTGTTTTTTTCCTGATCTGGGCAGCTGATAATTTAACTCGCTTCTTTCGGTTTCCCCTAATATGCATTTAAAGCGAGCGAATCCAGCTTGCGATTGATTCCACCGTCGCTTTCCCCTTTTGGCCATAATCGTCGATCTTGTCCGATTCGATGTCCCCCTCTCCGCACGCTTACATAAACCATCGCCCCTGCTCGATTTCGCCACTTCATCCGCAGCATCGTGCTTCCTGTAGATCAGCAGGAGCGATGATTGGCGTCCGTGCGTACCGGGACTCCCACGTGCCGAGTTTCTACGTGCTGCGTAACCCTAAGTGTTCGTATTGGTTCGTATGCAGGAGTCTTTCGGCATCAAGTCCGTGAAGAAATCTCCGTTGGTGCTGCGGATGGTGGTCCTGGTCTTCGCGACGATTTGCGGCGTTTACATTTGCTCGATTTGCATCAAGCAAATTGGCTTTCAGACCAAGTCCGGCCTTTTGAACGTGCAAGTGATCAGGAGTCCATGCCCGGAACCGACGATCGAGCCTTGGGAAATCCCTTATATGCACTATCCCAAGCCCCAAACTTACAGCAGGTATGTCATCGCGTACGGTGGCTTTGCTTTGGATCTCATGTGATTTTACTGATCAGTTGCTTTTTTTTTTATGTATTAAGGGCTGAATGCTCGTGCAATCCTGTACGGTACTTTGCCATTTTGTCGATGCAGAGATCCGGTAGCGGGTGGTTTGAGACATTGCTGAACAATCACACAAATATTAGCTCAAATGGAGAAATTTTCTCTGTTAAGATTAGAAGGAGCAATATTTCCACGATAACGGAGACTTTGGATAAAATTTATAACCTGGACTGGATGAGTAGCGCATCGAAGAACGAGTGCACAGCTGCTGTTGGCTTAAAATGGATGCTTAATCAGGTGATTGCACCTAATAATGTGTTCCGTTATTGCGATGTTTATTTTTGTTTATGTATCTGTAATTATGCAGATTTCTCTTGGATATTAAACTGTCTAAGTCGTATCTGTGATCTTCTTAATAGATATAATCCAGCCTAAATTATACAAGCTTTTGGCGAATCGTGCATTTTCGATTTTTCTTATTCCAGCTACAAATTCTGGACTCTCTGGTCAACAACCCATGCTTTTGCTAGTTAGTAAGAAATTGTGAATAAACTAATTAAGTGCAATTTCCATTCTTATTTTGCTGCTCTAGTTGGTCATTTTTTTTCTTTTTTGCTAAAAGCTCTAGTTGATTATTTTTGTACTTCTTTTCAAAGAGGTATAGAATCTCCTCTCATACGCACTTTATTATGGCTCGCTATTGAGATTCAGATATTCAGATATTCCTATTTTGACAAACTGAGAAATTTTAGACCCAGAAATACTGCTGGATGAAATCAGGGCAAATCTTGGTCAATCTTAGTGACAGTACCGGTGTGTTAAAGCGGTGCCTGAGTCCATGGATTGATACCATTGAGATAGCGCAATGAGTTAAACTTCGATTTCCTGCTTTGTTACTTATGCTTGAGAAGATTTTCTGAGTATGATTTGAATCCTCCAGAAACGACAAATGCGAAAAAATCCTAAATGGATGTGATAAAACAATCCAGGAATTTTTCAGTGACCTTACTTCTCAATTTCTTCCAACTACCTGATCAGGAATCTTCTGTTAAGATTAGAAGGATCGCCATGCTTCTAGAATGCCAAAATGGCATTACAAGGGAAATAGCCGATTGAAGATATGCTTTATAGAAATGTTATCATTTTCTCAAAAGATGGAATGATTTATATGTTTCTTTTACTTTGATTCAAAAGAAACTGTAGCCTTTTTCTGCCGTTGTTTTTCCTGTACTGGAACCTTGGCAAACCAATTATTTGCTCTTCCAAATCAAGAATTCAGTAATTACAGTTGAAATGGTTCGATTATCTTGATAATGCGATGCGATACATTTTGTTTGTCTGATCCTCAGTGATGTTTGGGACTGCACTAGTCGAGACCTATTAGGACACATCTTCTTCGATGTTTCAATGATTAAAATGTTGAAACTGCAGAAGAATTATGGTCGTAAGCCATGTACCTTTTCTGCTTCATTAAGTAGCACATTGTTGGAGAAAAAGTAAGTATTGTAGTTTCTGTGTAGAATGTCCTGTATTTCCTTTAAGATTTTGCAGAGAATGCAGCTATCCATGTAAAACTGATTTGGTTTGTGGGTGTGAGTGTTCTTTTTTTCGTTTTATTTGGGTGGGCGGGTGGGTTGGGTGGATGGGGGTATTCTTATTTATAAGCAATAGTTTTCAAATTCTTAGTGGAATGCATGCAATTGAACGAGGATCATGACATAATTTTTATTTTTAGGGTGTCCGTGGTTGTGCTGTGATATTGTTGTTTACTCTTTGTAACTGCTGAAATGTGAATAGTTGCTGCAAATATATCTTCATATCTTGAGAAATCAGATTGAAGCTCCGAATTTTTCTTCAATTCCTAATTGCCACTACCACGTGAAGCTCTGTTCTTGTACAAGTTGATGGGGACAAATGTGATTTGTCATTTGTTTCCCTTATCTATATTTTGCACATATGTACGGGCAAAACCAGGCCCTTGTTACTTGCTGATTGATGTATGATTGTTAATTCACGAAGTTCAAACTTGTCCTAATGCTCCATTTCAATATCTTGAGGCTGTCTTTTTTATTTGTCTTTCTTTGTGCCTCCACCATTAGCTGCCTGCTCTTTCGTGCACTGGATCTTTACACTTGGTTTTGGAATTTTAGTTTTTGTGACTTCTTATGAGGCTGCCTGACTTCCTGCTGATGCTTAATGCAGGGTTTGATGCAGCATCATGAAGAAATAGCAGACTACTTCAGAAACCGGGGTGTTTTGGCTATTTTCCTCTTCAGAAGAAATCTTTTGCGCAGGATGATATCAGTGCTTGCAAATTCCTATGATCGAGATGCAAAGCTACTAAATGGCACTCACAAGTCTCACGTGCATTCACCCCACGAGGTGTCTGTCCCTCCCTCCTCTCTCTCATACCATCTGTGTGTGTGCATATACTAACAAGTCTTATTTTGTGATGGATATCTTTAAACCATGTAGAAGAAAAGAGTCTTACTTTGTGAATGTGATGCTTTCAGGCTGAGATACTTGCAAGATATAAACCTTCATTGAATTCTACCTTGCTTGTAGCCGACCTGAGGCAAGTACAAGAGATGACAGCAAAAGCCCAGGAGTACTTCAAGAGCACCAGGCATATTGTCCTCTATTATGAGGATGTTGTGAAGAACCGCACTGTAAGGAAATCAACTTTCCTATTGTTTATTGCTCGTTTTGTCTGTCGACATCCCGAATTGTATGGATGAATTCGATCTATGATCCATATCCTGATTTGGAAAAGAGTAACGGAAGCACCTTTTCTTTTGCCTGCAGAAATTAGTAGATGTTCAAGATTTTCTCAAGGTTCCGCGCCTGGATCTGAAGAGTCGCCAGGTCAAGATACACAAGGGTTCTTTATCAAATCAAGTCGAAAACTGGGATGAGATTCAAAAGACGCTGAGAGGAACACAATTTAAGAGCTTTCTTCATGCAGATTATCGGAAATAAAGCGTTAGGATCTTGTACATATTAATTCTTCTCCATAATTTGTTTCTTCATTTTTTTTTTTAAGCAGGTGCCCACAGGTCCGCCACCCTGTTGAAATTTTGTTCATGGCAACTGCATTTTGGTTATCTTTCTTTCTTTCTTTCTTTTTCATTTACCTTATCTTCCCTCTAAAATTTTAATTATATTCAATTAATTCTTTTTTTCCACTGTCTGGGTTCCAATTGGGAGTCTTGAAATTGGTCTCATCAATTAGGGCAAAAGAAAATTCAGTTCTACTTTGTTTCTCGTTTCAATGTGATTTTGCTACCATTTCTTTTTTCGCCCCTTGCATTTGAGTGTTTCACAATCGGTTAATCCCCTATATCTGCGCACCATGGGACAGGGAGCGCAGAGAATTGAAACATTTGAATTTGCGATCAATTTCTACTCACTTTGTCGGTTCAGTGGAAAGAATTTTCATATTCTTGGATGCACCGGGCGTGTGTGAGCCCAATGCTTTCTAATCCTCAAACTTACGTGCGTCCGCATGACTCGAGAATTTTCCTTGTGCTAACTGTATCATGTCTGTCACCAAAGTAATATTGCAATCAGGTGTGCCGTTAAAGAAGTAGCCGCCACCCTTTCGACACAAAGCTGCTTTCTCACAGCTTCATGGTCAAGCGAATGAGGTCAATGTTGAGACATCAATGATTTAGATTCTTGTCGAACATAATATATTATCTTCACGCACATGTCTATATTTCATTATTTTTTTTTTGGTCGGAATATATTTCATTACTTTGAACAATATACGGGAAGTCAAATTAGATGGATGGGAGGTCGTCGGTATCAGTAATTATCCTCTTAAATATTTGGCACAGACCAGTTTGGGCCACTGAGTTTGGAGCCCACCTCGGTGCAATACCGAGGAAAGCTGCTGCGTCGCGTGCTTGCGAGTCAAACTTGAAAATTCAATTCCGTCGAATCTTCCTCCGTCCATCGATCCCCTCCATTCCTTTGGACTTACGTATTTCGCCTATTTTAATGGGAAAAGAGAGCGGAAACAAAGACGTGATGCTCCCACGAACGTGAAGAGAAACTCCATATACGGCGGTGACTGACCCTCTCCTGTTCATAGTTTAAGTTTCACTGCAGTGAATACTTTGATCGATATGCAATGTAATTCGGGTAGTCGGGACGGACAAATGGGGTAGGGAACAAAGATATTGGGAGAGGACGTCATGGGGAGCCGACCACTATGAGAGCAGTTTTTTGTGGGCGTGGAGCAACTAGCGGCGCACATAACCAGAGCATCGTATGGCCTACCGGTGGAGCACGGGGAAATTACCAAAAAAGTCTGAAGTTACTGTAATTGTGTTAACTCAGTTTTAAATCTATTTTTTTGGCCAATTAAATTCTAAACCTTTTGTATTTATACTAATTCAGTCCATCCAGCCAATTTTGACCAGAAATCACTGACGTGGACAATTTTTTGAAAATTTTAAAAGTTTTATGAATTTTTTTGTCATTATTTTATTTTTTTCTCTTTTTTTTTAATGTGGCCAGCGAGGTCGCCGACAACTCTCACTATCGGCTAGGTTGGCAAGGGTCAAGCATTGCCAACCATGGGCGAGGCTCGACCTCACTAGATCCGGCGAGGTCGTATGTTGCCCAGCGATCGACGAGGGCGGTCCTCGCTAAAGGTCGAGAGGTCAGAGTCCACGAGAGCTAACCTTGTGGCCTCTAGCGAGGTCAAGCCTCGCCAGCCCAGCTTTGGTGAGGCCGATCTCGCCTAGCAACGGTGAGGTCAAGCCTCGCCAACCACAATGACAAAACAGAAAAAAGGAAAAAATAAAAGAGAAAATAAAATAATAATAATAAATTCATAAAAAAATTTAGAAATTATAAAAGGTTGTCTATGTCAACGCGGTGACGTCAAGTTAGTGATTTCCGGCCAAAATTAATCAGATGGACTAAATTGGCATAAATGCAAAAGATTTAGGACTCAATTGGCAAAAAAAAGTTTAAAATTGAATTGACACAATTGCAATAAATTTATGACTTTTTAAATAATTTTTCCCGTAGAGCACTATGTGTTCACATCTATCATAATAGGGTTTCCAAGTAAACTAATGTGCCCATTTGATGTCAATGAGATAATCTATTGCTGTATCACATAACCCCAATGACGCTTTACAGACGACGATTGATTGATAGAACATTTCACCTTACCTATTCCATGCTGATCTCATGAAGTTATCTTATCAGCGTAGTTAAGCTGATCAAGATGCCCCTGATCTCCCTCACCTCTCTTCCCCCTTCATATTGATGTCTTTCGCTATCATTCCTCATGTTTTGGACAGGGCTGTGCTTTCTCCAACTCGGTCTATGATCGGTTCTTTACTCGTATGGAGAACGCCCACCGATCAACTTTCTACCAATCAGAAATGGTGGGATTGACCATGTTATCACACGTATTCAACCCTGATGCCTTTTCTCTTCTTCCCTCATCTACGATACTTTGGATATATGAAGGGCGATATTTTGTTAAAAATGATAATTTATGAGATAACGAAGGGACTAGTGTCGGTCATAGGGAAGGTGCACACCAAATTTTGTCCTCTTGCTTCTGCCATTTCAATTTTTCATCAAGGAGTCAAAAGCTGGGTGAATTTCGGACAAATTATTTTTGCTTCAATCTGGAATTCCAAATTGAGGTTAAAAATGGCTCCTTTGAACTTTACGACCGAGGAATCATATCTAATCTTGGAAACTTGCAATTTCAACCTCCTCTGAGTGAACTCCTGACAAACCTTGCCATGGCGTGATTCTGCACCGATTGGGAAAAAGGAGGGTGCGAATCATGCGGCATTCAGAGGTCTCTCTGATTTTTCTCGTTGAACAAAAGAAGGGTTTCTCTGCAAACCATCGAGACATGCCACAGAAGTCAAACTCCCGACAGGACCAAGAAATGCGAAGAAAGGGAAGGAAGGAAATTCAGATGGCTCATGTCCTCTCATTCTTCTGGTCTTCTCTGAGCTGCGCGCTTCACGACACGCTATAAAAAAGAGGAGCACCGGCTTTGTCGTTAACCCAAAACTTCGTGTTTCCCCAAAGACTAACTAGGATTGACATCTTGTCCTGAATTGCTCTCGCTGGTCTAGCCTTTTGGGGATCTTAACGTTGGAAACAAACTGATTCGACGTCACCAGCAAGAGCAAAGGCACCTCTCGTTTCGGGGTTTGCACAGGGTGAATTATCTTTCCTCCCAAAGGAAGGCTTTTTGAAATTTGAACTGAGATTCCACTCGCTTTGGACCAACAATTGCTCCGCGGATCAAGTTCACGTCAGTCCGAGATATTGTCGAACCTGTTAGATGATACGAGTTGCGAGAATATTGTCGGAAAAGTTCTAAACTTATGTCATTTTTGTCAATTTAGTTTTAAACATTTTAATTTTTCCAAATTGAATCATAAATCTTTTCAAGTTTTGTCAATTGAATCTATCCGGTCAATTTTCGTCGGAAATCACTAACGTGGACGTCGGCCGTTCTACGTGGCCTGGCCAGTGCTGACGTGGATAATTATTAATGATATTTTAATATTTTAATGATATATTTTTAAAACTTTCGTTTCTTTTCTTTCTTTTTTTCCTTTTTGGTTCAAAGGGCTAGTGGGGCCACTAGCTACTGGCCAAGGGCCGACCACCTCTACCAGCTCCTAGCCGAGGGCCACGAAGCCCTCGCCGGCCGGGGGCGAGGACATGACCCTTGCCCACCCTCGTTGTGATCGCCCATGGGAAGTCGCCAGCCCTTTGAATCAAAAAAGAAAAAAGAAAGAAACTAAATAAAATAAAAATGAAAATTGAAAAATTATTAAAATTTGTTCACATTAGCGTGTGGTTGTGCCATGTAGGACGGCCGGCGCTGACTGGACTACCACATCAACGATTTCCGGCTAAAATTGGCTGCATGAATTCAATTGACGAAAAGTACAAATGTTTATGATTTAACTGAAAAAAATTAAAGGGATAAGTGCACTAGAAGTCCTAAAACTTGTCACAAAAGTTCAATTGAGTCCTAAAACTTTCAAAAAGTGCAAATAAATCCTAAAACTTGTCATGAAAGTGCACTTGAGTCCTAAAACTTTCAAAAAGTGTAAATAAATCCTAAAACTTGTCACGAAAGTGCAAACAAGTCTTAAAACTTGTCACAAAAGTGCAAACAAGTCCTAAAATTTTCAAAAAGTACAATCAATGGAAGGACTTGATTGAACCAATTTGATAAGTTTTAGGACTTGTTTGCACTTTCGTGATAAGGTTTAGGATTTGTTTGCACTTTTTTAAAGTTTTAATACTCAAGTGCATTTTCGTGACAAGTTTTAGGACTTGTTTGCACTTTTTAAAAATTTTGGACTCAATTGCATTTTCGTGATAAGTTTTAGGACTTTGAATGCACTTATCCCAAAATTAAAAGATTTAGGATTAATTGGCAAAAGTGACGGATTGAGGACTTTTTTGATAATTTTTTCCACGAGTTGTGTTAGGCTAACATGAAAGAGCTATAGAAAGAAGAGATAGTCTTGGGCTCCCCGGTGGAGCGACAAAGGGGATTTTTCCTTTGACCAAAGAGCTACGCTCACGTGTTGCAAAAAAGTTACAGGTTGACGTTTCTAGGGCTCAATGTATAACAAGTCTGTTGCGTAATTGACAAGAACCCAATTAGCAGTTTACAACTTAGGAGAAATAGCTGACCGGCTTCATTAATCTATCGTCGTACAATTATCGGCACCCTGTAACTCATTGGTCCTGTTCATTACGTCATCAGATCATTTTCAATTCCTCGGACCTTCAAAGGTTATCCACCACATTAAAATTTGACACATTTTCTAGATATACAAAACCTAATCATCTCATTGACTTAACTAGTCACTTGACTAAGTCCACTCGACAATATATAATTAGGGTTTTGTTAATTCAAGATGCTTTCCTAGAACGCTTGATAAGTTTTAATAATTATGCACTTTCGAAGTTGTGTTTTTGTTTAGGGTTAATACAAAAAAAAAATCCAAACAGGTATACCTGTGATAAATTTACTCCAAACTAATTTTTTTACCGCAAAAACCTCCAAATTGGTACATCCATGACAAATTTACCCTATGTTAGTTTTCGTTAAATTTTACAGTTAAATTACTAAGTTAGATGACATGTGGCAGTTGACGTGTGTGCTAGTTTAGGGTCACAGATTTACCAGTTTGTGATTTTTCGTGGTATTAATCCAATTTAACGGAGAGTAAATTTGTCACAAGCGTATCAGTTTGGGGTTTTTGGTGGTCAAAAAATTACTTTGGGGTAAATTTGTCACATGTGTACCAATTTAGGGTTTTTTGTGGTCAAAAAATTAATTTAAGGTAAATTTATCACAGGTGTACCAGTTTGGGGTTTTTCATGGTGTTAACCCTTTTGATTATGACATGTTGAAAAGAAAATATATTTTCGATATTTTATGTGCTTTAGCGTGCATTACAATTGTTTCTTTTTTCTATTTTTAGGTTCTTATCAAGTACCCGTGAGACATTTATTTATAAAAACGTATTTATAATTACAACTTCGTGGCAAAATTCAGAAATAACAAAAACCGGCTGATTTTTCCGGCGCCCATAATCTTTCTTTGGACAGAACTGCATTTCATTATTGAAATCTTTAACTATGTGTCACATCTCAAACGACCATGCCCCCCACTAGAGACCATTCTTGAGAATTTTTGCTTTGTGGCTATGATGTCCTTGAATGCACTCATTACCTCGAAGAAGGACAAAAAGTATAGACATTTTAGCAAAAAAAAAAAAAGGGATAAAAAGTATGGACCGCATAATGAATCCCAAACCAGCTGCTCAATCCTCATAATTCAAAAGGAATAAGCCGTCTGAATTTCTCTACATTCAAAATGTTGAAAACAATCTCTTTCAATTGCACAGATATGATTAATATCATGAAAAATCCTAAATTTATACACTTATAATAGATTTACTCCAAATTAACTTTTTTACCACAAAAAATCTCAAACTGATACACCCGTACCTACTAAAAATCCTAAGCTGGTATATTTATGATAAATTTACTCTTCTTTAGTTTTCATTAAATTGGATTAATACCACAAAAAATCATAAACCAGTACATCTGTGATAAACAGAGGGTAAAACCCATAAACTGGTACACTCGTCAACTACCACGTGTCATCCAACTCGGCAATTTGACTGTGAAGTTTAATGAAAACTAACGGAGGGTAAATTTATCGCAAATATACTAGTTTGAGGTTTGTGATGATCAAAAAATTAGTTTGGAGTAAAATTGTCACAGGTGTACCAGTTTGAGGTTTTTCGTTGTATTAACCCACATGAATATGCACAAACACCCTCATTATACTAAACAAGGAAAAAGTATATCCTTTTTAAATTCATCTTTCTAGTATATCTTGAAATCGAAGTTCTATCGGATGGATCCAATGTTTTTATATTGGGGTAGCATTCGAATCATGTAACCATTGACCCATGTGAATGTGATTAGGTTGAAATTTGTGATGGAATACATCATCGGTTGAGAAAACATCAATAAAGATATGGGCTATATTGGATATGATTTTACTTTTTGCTTAATTTAAATCCAGCAGCCGATGTACTTTGACTTTTTTTCAATCCTAAAATACTGACATATAGATTAATAGACACATATTTTTTTTGTAAGTTTTAGATATTCGAATAATATTATTGTTTTTTTAAGAAAAAGCAAAAAAAACTACTTTTTTAGCCAAAGTCAATTCTAAACAAAACAAGCGCAAGATTGCATGGATACAGGGAAATCTTGGTCCGCAGTCCTCTCACTGCCTAAAATTGTAAATCATTCGAATGACATTAAATTGCAATCACTTTTTAAAAAAAACAACAACAAAAAAAAGGAGAAAGAACTTTACCCAAAAAAAAAAAAGGAGAAAGAAAGAAAAGCACTTGGCAAAAAACAAATAAAACCCATTTTAACCCGAGGTAAAAACTCAAAAGCGAAAGTGATGAAAATAAAAATAAAAATAAAAAATCACCAAAAATCTTTCCCACGTCCTCAGAGTAAACGCCAACCACTCGGACACAGACTGAAATATGATCATGTCACAGCCAGCAGCAAGTAGGTCTTAAATTAATTCCTTTATTAATTAATTTATAAAATAAAAAGAGGCGGCTCTGTAATTTCTGACCGATCCCTTTCTCCGGTCAAGAACGTCTCCTTCCCCTATCCTTCCTTCCTCCTCTCTCCCTATAAAATGCACACCGACTGTTCTCAATTCTTGAATCCCTCAAGCCCACCATGGAAACGGAGGTCGCGGTTCCGCTCCCGATCATGGAGTTCAACTTCGACAGCACGTCCTCTTCTCCGTTCATGACTGCTCCGTCCAGCCCGCAGCGCTTCGGCAGCTTGTACTTCAGCGCACCCACGAGCCCCACCAGGGCTTCCGCTTTCCTTCAGGAGCTCAGGAAATCAAGAAAGTCCCTGTCCTCGATACCCTTTGCCTGGGAAGAGAAGCCCGGCGTCCCGAAAGGCGGAGGGAGCTACCAGAACGGCGGCGGCGGCGGCGACGACGAAGATGATTTCGAGTTCGACTTCAGTGGTCAACTGGACAGAGCTTCGGCAACTGCTGATGAGCTCTTCGACGGAGGCAAGATCAGGCCTCTCAAACCGCCACCGAGGTTGCAGGCCAACTCGGGCGACGCTGACGCGGCGATGAACTCGCTTCCGGCGTCTCCGAGATCGCCGTCGAGGTTCGCTCAGGGGAAGAAGATGGTCCAAGAAGCTCTCTCTCCTCGCCACCGCAAAAGAGACTTCGACCCCTTCTCAGCAGCCTTGGAGGAGACCCGGAAGAGACAGGCGAATCTCAACCAACACGAGGACCTGAGCCGTTCTCGCGGGAGGGAAAGAAAGGCGGGATCTTCTTCGTCTCTGCGGACGTCGTCGGCCAGTTATGTACGTAAAGGGACGAGATCTTTATCGCCGTTCAGGGTGTCCGACATCATGGAGGCCGATCGAGAAGCCGAAGATCGCGCTGCGCCCTCTTCCTCCTCCTCATCGAATCAAGCTCCTTCATATTTCTCTTCGCTGTTGTCGTCGATGTCGTTCTCGAAGGGCTACAGGAAGTGGAGCTTCAAGGACTTTCTGTTGTTCCGGAGCGCATCGGAGGGGCGCGGCACAGAAAAGGATCCGCTGCGCAAGTACGTGGCCCTGTCGAAGAGATCGTCAATTAATTACGCAGCAGCGGACGACGTGAAGTGCTCGAGCTTCAGGTCGACGGAGAGCGTCGGCTCGGTGAGCTCGAGGAGGAGACCAGGGGCCGCGCCGGTGTCGGCTCACGAGCTGCATTACACGTTGAACAGAGCGGTCTCAGAGGAGATGAAGAAGAAGACCACCTTGCCATACAAGCACGGGCTGCTGGGTTGCTTGGGGTTCAATCCTCCTCCGGGCGTGCACGACTTGGCCCGGGTACTGGGTCGCGGACACACGGACCGATCCCGATCTCGCGATATGAGTTAGACACACACTCTCTCTCTCTCTCGATCAAGAGAACTGTAGATTTCCTTAGTCCTGTAATATCTCATATCGAAAGCATATTGAACACACACAAGCGATCTTGATTCGAATGTTTCTTTCTTGTTTGTCTCGAGTGTACAGACGTTTGTAGTTTAGAGACTGAACGGAAACATTGAATCAGTCCACGGCGGTTTTTCTTCTGTAGGGAAAGCTTTGCCAACGACGTCGGCTATTCATTTCGAAGTATGAAAAGACAACAAGAAAAACAGTATTCTTAAACGAACGTCAGGTGTCACCACACATGTATAATCGACCGACTAAGAAGTTTAGTATCGCGCGCGACGTCACGAGTGACGACGGGTAGCTGCTTCTTTTCACATTATGTCTGCAGAACGAATCAAATTAAGGACCACAAGAGGCATGGTTTCTACGACCTTCGTGGGCAAAGTATCATCAATGCCACTTAGAAATTGTCCGGTTTTTTTCCAGATGTACAGACATATCACATCTCTTTCCTGTTTCTTTTTATCCTTAGAGTCCCACGTAAATAATTTGATGAACAGCTTCAAGATTGCTGTGTAGCAAGAGTAACTTTTCGGAATCAAGAATGCTCTTTTGAGTAATCCACCACCCGTTCACACCCAGCCTCCAATCGGATATGTGCTCGAGTCTTTAACTCAACTTTGCCTCCATAAAGATGAGTTGACCTTGCCATCTAAAGCAATAACACCAGCTACATTTGCGGATATTAATGTGCGGAACCCCCAACGACAAAATCAAAAAGAAAATTACAAATATCATCGACTTTGATATACATAAAATATATATTCTTCACATTTAAAAATCTACAATTACCACCTTCACTTTTTTTCCATTCGAATTGCATCTCCTACCCACTCATTTTCTTTCCCAAAACTAAAAAACAAGAGAGGTGAAAAGACAATTTCAGTCTGTGAAATCAGGGACAAGAACGATGGATTAGCCAAGAGAAAAAGCAGGCAAATCCCCCACCCCACGGGAAACAAAAGTAGTCATGCCATAATCATTGGGTTTTGAATGATTATGCTGCGTTAGGTATGTAAAAGGTGTCGTTCCGCCCTTGGTTGGCACCAAATGTCTCGATGAAAAAGGTCCATTTTTCTCTTCTTCCTCGGGAGAAAATAAAAGTTAGATGGCAATGATGAAGATTAATTTAAAAGAGCCTTTGATGTTTAGTAAAAAGTTCGAGGCACCCTCCAAGCAAAAGACCAAACGATTCCTGACCTGGCGATGGAGTCCTCTTTTTCCTTCTCTTTTCTTTTTCCTCCCCTTTCTATTTTCCTTTAAAAAATATCACAACTTTATTTAGATCCTTTTATGATTATGGATTAGGGAACTGCTTACCCATTAGGAGAAAACAAATTACCATCATTTGTTTTTCCTTTGCGAAACAAGCAGTTGAAAGCAACCAGGCAGAATATTCCACAGAAGAGATTATAGAAATCTGGCTTATATAGTATGAGATCAAGACTAAGTTCGGCTTTCGGGGGACCCTTTTAACACGCAAAACTCCATGGATAATGCAACATTGCTTGCGTGGGGTGATTAGCTATTACTATAATATAAAAGTTAGGCATACATGGGCTAGATAAATTCTTCAAGTAAAGCTAATTTTCGGTAGAAAGAGATAAGGCGACAACGACGGTGAAAACGACGACAAATCGGTCGGTCATTTACAAAAAAAAAGGGATTGCTTGTTAAAAAGAACGAGTCAGCAAATAAACTAGTCGGATGTGCCAAGTATGCAATCTCATAGCAGTATTAACAATCCACGAGAGAAGAATTAGCAAAAAGTTAAAGCAAAAGAGGACGATTTTGTATCAGACCGCGTCAAGCAGCATGCTGCACGACGATATGGACGTTCATGTGGGGTTGAAGAGAAAAGGGTGCAAAGACAAAAAGACGTGCATGCAAAAAGCGCCTTTCTTTCTTGCCTCTCCAAAGCATATTCGAGGTCGAGTCTATCCTATATTCTAAGAGCAAAATGGACCCACTACAAATTAGATGTAATAGAAACCATCTTCGTTAGATTAGTTTCTGGTTTTTTTCTTCCTTTAGGTTTTGCTTTTCGTGAATCGAGGTGGTTGGAATAGCATTGCTCAACATGCTTGAACGAACGTGTGTGCTTGTTCGATATCAACGTCTATGAATTTAGGTCGCATTTAATCGTCTGAATTTTTAGCCAGAATAGGATTGGATAAAATATGATATGATATAACCTATCTACTGTTTGGTGAATCGCAGTAATAAAATCGAATATTTTTACATATTGTCATGTCTATTATTTGTTATGAACGTCATATCAGTGTCAATTAACCTAAAGATTGCACAAACTGACACAATAAAAATTTCTCACCACACTCTTACCTACTTCATTTTTATTTGCTCATTTTTTATTATTTTTCCCTCTCTTTTTTAATTATTTTTTTATTTCTTTTTTCCCCTTCCATCATTCTCTAATAAAATTTTATTAAATAGTAAACTATACTAATATACCTAAAATATGCAGTAAATATAAATACTAAATTTATATATATATGAAATTTATATCATTAGATAGAAAGAAATTTGAATATATAAATAAAAATAAGAATTAATAAAAACGAAATTGTTGTTATTTTTTTGTTATTTTGAATTTTTATATTAAATTCAAATATTATTTTAATTTTATTAGTTTAACAAGTTTGTTATTCGAGAAAAATAACATTTATGTGAATATTAGAAATTTTATCCACCTTTATCCCATCTCTCTCATGGAATAATTTTATCCGAGCTATATCATTCTTATATCCGACTTTATCCTGTCTTGGATATGCGCCAAATACGGGATAGGATAAAATTTATTCTATCTTGAATTTTATCCTAACTACCAAACGTAGCTTTAAAGGTCCAAATGAATATGGGAGATCTATGTAGAATCAGTCGGCTAGAGAAACTCGAAATGACAAAAGTTTAAATATCACTAATTGTGAAATTTCTACATTTCTCCTATGCTCTTTTATTTTTTCGTCTCAATTCATGTTGCCAATGCCAGGCCCCACCAACAAGTATTGATGCCCCCAACAACCTCCTCCCTCCCTCCGGAAATCAATTCGTGGTTGGTAGTATGCGGTACTTAAGTGCATTTTATCGTAACCCAGTATAAAATATTGCTAAATACAGATACTTAGAAAAGGGTTTCAATTGACGATTCAATTAGAAAATTTTGCGACATCACCACCAACTCTTCTTGCGAATTCTAATGCCCACCTGGCTTCGTTGTAGCCTCTACTTGAAGAGCGGGCGTTTGCACCATGCCTCTATAGTTTTCTCTGGATGGAATCACTAGTTATCTAGGCACTTTTCATCACTTTGACATTTGAATTGGTCCCGAAATCATAGAAACCTCTGCAATGCTTGTCTGAAGTGTTTCATACCCTTTTGTTTCCTCGTCTTCCATCCACGACTTTTACCCTCGAGATTGAACGTTGAGATGGTCCTGAGTCTTTGAACCCTTGGTTACAATCTGAACACGTCGGGGTCCATTAGGGACCAGCCAACGTTAAGCACGAGTAGAACCATCGGGTCCAGAGTCGAGATGGACGACCCAAGTCAAACAGCGGGGCAGGGAAAACCACGTGGAAGCCGCAACGTTGACTAAAAATGGCGTCGACCGTCAATTTCTATTAATCAACCCCTCTTGATTCGGTCACAGCCGATAAGCTTGACTGTCCTGTCAAAGAAATCGGGACCGAGTCAAAAGTATGCAGTCGGCACGTGCTGCGTAACCATTGATGGAAGTTATTGTCGTTGAAATGATACCGTGAATGTACGTAACGCACTATAGACTCATGTTGATTCCGACAGCTTGAAATGATGCAGCAAATTCAGCTGCCGAGAAGAAGAACGGACGGCAACAGATCCGCTGCGGTTGCATGTTGCTATGCCACGTGATGATGCTGAATACACCCCATTGGCATCTTCAGTTGCATACAAGCAAGGCCCCTGTATAGGATCATCCATTCAATCTGATTGTGATGGAATCGAAGAAGATAAAATGGGTAATCAGCCTCTGGACCATCTGGAGGGGCAACATGGAGAATGGAGAGAGACTTGAAATCAAAGAGATCAATTCAAAGAATTTTAGACTTATGTTGGGTGTAAATCGTTTGACGTTTGTCTTGATCTTCAGTTACTTCATCAGCGACTGTCATTTACTGCCACCACCATCAGCAGATGAGCAACATCAGCCCCATCAACCACTTATTAGTTGGGGTTTATCAACGAAGCGAAAATGCTACTTTCAAGTAGTTGAAAGATCCCTGACCCGAAAGAAGAACAAAGTTGTTCAAAGATCACACAGGCACAACTTTCCAGTGGAAACTTAGTTGCTGGGGTAAATATACGAGTCAGAAGCTCCGTTCAAAAGATAAAACTCCATAAGTTTGAAGGCTCCGTTGTACAATATAATGTTATCAGTAAACCATCTGGTCGACTAAATGTAGTTAAGTTACTGCGATAAAATCACAGGCACATGGAAACCTGTTTCAACTCAAGAGCATTGCAACACCTTAGCATAAAACATCAACGATTGTATCGTCATTGATCGAATCAGTCAAAGTTGTCTATATGATGAAAACACACGCACTGTAAAGTACAGAAGAGTGTTTGCTTTATCATTTCCAACTTCCACTGTAAAGACCGAGCAATGGTTTCTCCCTCTCTTCAACTCTCCTTTTCGCAGCCTCCCTCGCTTTTAGCGCTGCTTCTTCCTCCTTCGATATGGCTTTCGGCTTCTCATCTTGTCTCTTCCTTTTAACAGCAAAAGAAGAGGCGGCTCCTTTAACTGTTCTCATGGGATTCAAGGATTTTGAAACGACTGGCCCAGGAGCTGGCACATTTTGTGGTTTAGCCATACCTCCTTTTTGTGAATCTTGAATCCCCTTTGAAGATGACGCCAATTTTCCAGAGACAGGTTTCCCGTGTTTGGGATTCCCTGGAGCTTGGACCGCCTTGTATGCCTCTTCCTGTGGCACCCAATTTCCTGCCGCATTAGAAAGCAAAGTTTAATATCAATAATCCAAACATCACTCATGGTTGAAACTTTTCTCCTAGAACTCCCTTTTTTACGGTAATTACTTCTTAAACTTCATTTGGTACCTATAGCATCGGAATAGTAGAAGCCTGATTTAGGATCGTAGTAAAGCCCATTGCTCTGGCTATAGTAATAACCCGAACTGCTGTCATGCTCCCATTCTGCAAAAGTTTAGAGAGGGTTTCGATCAGAAGAGCAACAGTGTTGGAGAGAGATAGATATACTGATTGGACGATTTCATGCTTGAAATATTAACATCAGTTGAATGCCAAAACTCACAGAATTGAATAAAAATAATAATCGAACTAAGAAGATTTTGGCTCTAGGCATCACGTGCTCCAAATACATGCTCCAGTTACCTATTAGGTTAGCACCAAAATGAAAATGCATGCTAATAATAATGGAAAAGCATATGGCTGACAGCGTGATCACGTGTCAGGAAAATTATTGATTTTCGTGCAAACTTGGCCCTACTTAAAAACCCGTGCCAATAATAGTCTAGCTTGTTTCCATCTTGTTTAGTTAATGATATAACCTGACAAGATCATAATGACCTCACTTTTCACTTTCTAGGATCAAACCTCGACAAGAATGTGACAACGCTTCGATCTCAAGATAATAATAGGCAGGTACTTCTCTTTCAAAAGATTGCAAAGAACACCAAGGGCTAAAAATACTCCGAGAACATGAATTCTTCTCAAAAAAAGGTTGATAAAAGTCCAAGGGCAAGGGCCCTCCCTAACAAAGGTGAAAGTGATCTTGGAAAAATCATTTGATTCATTCCTGAATCCCTCAAGTCCTCAATACTTACCCTCTTCACCGCCTGCTTGAACATCCAGTACACGGGCATTAGTCTCCTTAGCCTCTTGAAGATTCGCAACATCCTTCTGGTAGCTACGCTTCGCTTTCTAGCATGAATTATAAACAGTAGTTATTATTATATAAGTCAAAAAAAACATTTTCTACGCATGTAGTAGAGTTCCAGGAGCCATCTAATCTCAACTAATTTTTTGTTACGTCAAAGTGGAAGTCGAACAACGCCTTTAGCAAGTAAGATTTAACCCTTGACCTGACCACAGGCGCAGGCGAGGCATAACTTCTTTCTATGCTGAGTAGGAAGAGAAGTCTTACCAACTAATACTTACTGCTTCAATTTGTTCAATGGCGCGAGCTGCTTCCTTCAGCTCCTTATCCTTGGCAGCCTTCTCTTTTCTCATGTCATTGAGCTTCTTGGCAACATTATCCTTGTGTCGCTGACCAAGTTCATGATTTCTAATGGTAGCTGGATTGTTTGATAGGAAGATCTTGCAGAAGTCGCACCATTTATTACCCTGACTCACCCAATACTGGAAAAGAAAAAGAAGAGAAAGAATGAATTCTCAAGAAATCTAGTTACTGAACAATCTGTTGCAAGATGTAATATCCACACTTGTCTAGTTGAACGTGAGCAGTACAAAAACACAGTAACTACAATCAAGTGCAACAAATATAGGGCAGTCACAACAATTCAAAGAACATAGTCATAAGAATTCCAACAGATAAAAGAGAATTTAGCCCAGATTGTGTTACAACTAGATTCTAAAATTTCGACATGTTCCTTAATATGTAATTCATTCCGAAGAAAATGTGGCTATGGAGCCTCCAAGGGCAGTCGAAATGTTTCAACCAAGAGAAAGAAACGTGGCCATGAAAATATCAGAAGACAAAAGGGTCGAGTGAACTCGGAGATATCGTACGGAATTAGATTGTGAAAAAGAAACCTCATCCATGCCCACTGGGATGTGCAAGGAATGTGCAAGCTGATAACTTATAGATAAATTGAAACTCTTCAGATTCATCATGATTCCGCAATGCATTATAACACCAGACACACACTTATCGCGACTCTTCTGATTCAATTCACTCATAGCTACCTGAGGATCCCTAAATCAACGAGCAGATTCCATGATGCAATCAAGTCATTAACAGGCCATATCGTAATCCAGAAAAATCATAACTTTCAGCTAATCACAGATCATTGTCGCGAATAAGAAATCAAAGGGCTAAGAATTTCAATATTACCTCAGTCATTGCTGCGGATCGGAGTTTCTTAGCTTCCCGGTGGATGCGATAAGGGGCAAAATTGCAAGAACTTGTTAATCGCTTGATGAATTTGAGACGATGCTACAAAAACTTGCTGAATCCGGAATCTGTCGAGTAAGATTGTTTAAGAGCCCTAGTCGAAGGCGGGCGAGGATTGCGATTCCGTCGGTGCCTACTACGGGCGCCCCGGGGGCGCGGGTTGCGGCGGAGCGTGCAGGGAGAGGCCGCACCGGTGGCGGCGGAGGAGGTGGGGGGCCGTGACCGGGAGGGGAGGGAGATGGACTGGGAGGGACGATGGTGGGGTCGACGGCGGCGCCGGAGACGGTGGCGGTGGTGGGAGGGAGGTGGTGGTGGTGGTGGCGGCGAATTGCGAGGACTCGAGGACGGTGTTGTGTAGAGGAGGTGTTGCTATGGCCTTGACTGATGACCGTAAGGTACATATATGCATACACACGACATATATGGCAGGTACTAGGTTTTATTTTGGTCCATTATAATAGTAGTTGCTACGGTTAGTAGGGCGATTTTTTTTTGTCAATGTCTTGATCTTTGTATTCTCCATGAAAGTATAGGTAATTTTGCTTTGGCAAAAACTAAGATTTTCCAAGATTATCTCTTTTGAATTACTTATCGTGGAGACCATAGATTAGATTAATGTTACATCAGACACAGATTTGCTGATGATCCCTAAATAGCTATAAAGAACGGCAGCTTCGTTCTGTAAATATGAATGAGCAGATTTCATGATGTAATCGAGTCATTAACATGCAATATCGTAATCTAGAAAATCATAGCTTCTAGCTAAATCCAAGATCATTGTTAGGAAATGAAGCTTGAGCTTCCCGGTGAATGCCAAAAGGGGGGACATAGTAAGAAATTTTAAATCGCCTTGATATATTTGAATCATGCAACACAAACTTACTAAATCCAGAAAAGTATGGTTACTCAAGAGCTCCGGATGAAATTTGAACTATTTTATCACTTGACATGACAACGGATTATCAGGTACAGTTGTTATTTATTGTCGTATCTAAAGCAATTAAAAGGCTAATGTGATGTCATTTGTGGAAAGATCCACTCATTTTGCTGACAATTAGAAACTAACTGAAAAGCTGGAAAATGCTCAATAAGGTTGAAGTAGAAGGAAAAAAGATTGGAGGACATGACAGTTGAGAAAGAGACCTTGATCGAAGAGAGAAGAGGCTGCTTTGAGAACGATTGAAGAGGGAGAGAAAATTTAACACAGGCTTGAGAAACTTGACTGATCATATGAAAGATGAATAAGCAGCTCTGGTGCTGGAACTAGAACATGTCAAAGGCCACGTTTCAGGTATGATGGAGCATCGAGAATCGACAGAACAGAAAAATGGCAAATTTTACTCCCCAGAAGTCACCTTGGAAGAGAACAAACCAGTCTCTAGCTTCTCTAAAATGTCCGAGCTTTTAAATGACATTGAGAACGCGGTCAAAACGATTCAAGACCACATCGGTGAATCGGGAGAAATGAAGAGAACTTCAGATGAAAAGGAAAGGGAACTTTTGGCTTTGACAGAAGTGCATGAAAGTACACCAGAATGATGCGAAACCAAGGCTGAATGATTGGACAAACAGACTGTTTCCAAGGAGGGGCATCCGGCCGAGTCTCCGGGCTAATCGATCAGGATGATTCATTGCACATTGAAATCGGGATCTTCAAAAAATAAGGCAACCAAACTAGAACTGCAACTTGAGAAATGTCTCGAGAGCTTTCGGGAAATATGGTTTAGACAAAAATTTTGAAGTTTAAATTGTTTATAAGTCGGATCGGACAGTTCAACAAGGTTTAATAGGGAAAAAATGTATGTTCGGGATTAATAAGGAGCACGTGACCATCACGGGGTACTTCGTTATTTCGGCAATAAGATAAGGGCTATTTGGATCACGATGGTCCAATTGGGAAATTTTTTGATATAAGGTTTACTCGAAGAGTTCTTTCAAAAACATGCGTTCGATCTGAGATGCATGTGGTGGTTTTTAGCACCACATTGACCAGACCTTGAGAAATATAAGAGAAGGTCTTCTGCAACTGCACCCGCGGAGATCGAGAACGCCAGCCGCCGCCGGGCCGCCGCCGCCGCCGCCGCCGCCTTCTCATCCGCCGTGCCGCCACCACTATGTGACGACCTCCTCGCTCCATTTCAAAGCCCTAATTTCAGAACCAGGACGCGCCGCTCTCACAGTCGCGGAGGGTCGAGACATGGATCAGTCGCTGCTGCTGATGCTCTCCAACCTCCTCCACCTCCACAACCACCTCGACCCCACCACGTCCCTCCTCTCCACCACCTCCTCCTCCGCCACGGCCTCCTCCGCCAGCTCCCCGGCCTCCGTCCTCTCTTCCTCCTCCGCCGCCCCGCTCCTCTTCTTCACCATCGCCTCCGTGCTCTCCTACGTCGCCTCCTCGTCCGCCTCCTCGAACCCTAAGTCCAAGGCCAACCCTAATTCCGCTCCCTCGAAACACGCCCCGCCGTCCCCGTCGTCGGACTTCTCCGTCGCCGCCTTCCGCGCCCTCTCCACCGAGCACATCTGGTCCCTGGAGCCCCCGCTCCGCGACGCGCGGTGGCGCTCGCTGTTCGGCCTCTCGTACCCGGTCTTCACCACGGTCGTCGACAAGCTGCGCCCCTTCATCGCCGCCTCCAACCTCTCCCTCCCCTCCGATTATGCTGTCGCCATGGTCCTCTCCCGCCTCGCCCATGGCCATTCCGCGAAGGCGGTGGCGTCCCGCTGCTCGCTCGACCCGTTCCTCGTGTCCAAGATCACTAACATGGTCACCCGCCTCTTGGCGACGAAGTTGTACCCGGAATTTATCAAGATTCCAGTGAGTCGCCGCAGATTGGTCGAGGCGACTCAGGCTTTTGAAGAGATCACTGCTCTGCCCAATATCTGCGGGGCTATCGACGGGAGTGCGATCAAGCTTCACCGGCCGCGAGACCGGGTTTCGTCGAGTTCTTATAGATGCAAATATGGTTATGATTCGGTTTTGCTTCAGGTTGTGGCTGATCACAAGAAAATTTTCTGGGATGTTTGTGTTAAGGCACCTGGTGCCACTGATGATGCTACTCATTTTAGAGATAGTTCGTTGTACAATAGGCTCACTTCGGGGGATATAGTCTGGGATAAGGTGATCAATGTAAGGGGTCACCATGTTAGGCCTTATATAGTTGGGGATTGGTGTTATCCCTTAGTGTCTTTCTTGATGACTCCCTTTAATTCGAAAGGGACGGGTACTCCAGCTCAGAATCTGTTCGATGGGATGCTGATGAAAGGGCGGTCTATGGTGGTGGAAGCCATTAGACTTCTGAAAGGGAGGTGGAGGATTCTTCAGGACTTGAATGTGGGTCTTAACCATGCACCGCAGACGATCGTTGCTTGTTGTGTGTTGCATAATCTGTGTCAGATCGCAAGAGAACCGGAGCCTGATACTGCCAGGGAGCCTGACGAGATCGGTGCACCGGCTAGGGTGCTTGAAAGCGAGGAGACGTTCTTTTATCATGGGCAAAACTTGAGGCAGGCGCTGGCTGATGAGTTACACCAGCGACTTTCATCAAGATAAGGAGATCACTTGTCATCTCCTTTTGTGCCGTGAGAATAAGGTCTCTTAGTCCTATTAGCTTTGACGTGTTCGCGTTGATGTGTTGGTTTGTTTCTTACATTTGTTGACCTATCAGAGGGCATTAGAATATCCTTTGTGGAGAGTAGAACTTGCATCTGGTGCAACCTCTTTGTATGTCATTAGGATGCCGATGCTAACCTAGGAATGTACCTTAAAGATTGGTGACTGTGTACTCTAGAATGCAGTAATTGCAACCATTTATCTGCGCTTGATAGTTCTTTCATCATTTTCAGTAAGTTCTCTATGAACTACTTGGTGACTTTTATGATGTTCTCTTGCTATAAAGAACGTTGTTAGCTTCCTCCTTGTAAAGGAAAGGATATTGATGTGTTAAATTGTTGTTAGATGCATGTGGTGAATAATAGTTTTGAATTTGGTCTTAGCAAAGTAGCTGTAATGATGATGCAAATATGGTAGTTCGCTCAGCCATTCTTGCCTTTGTGTCTGATGATGAATTAACGATCGTTAAGAGTCTAGAGGTCTTAAGGGAAGGGAAGGGAAGGCCATCTTTCCTCGGCATTTTTATAGATTTGCAATATTTATCACATCTCCAGTTATGCCTTGCTGTGTATTTATGAACTAATCATTACTGGTCTCCTTGAGGATTTGGAATAGATTGAAGATTTATGTCCATAGAAAGCATTAGAATGCTGTCTGTATTGCACTCTGCTTGTCTCAGCAGGACTGCTTAACCCATATATAGGTTTTCGTTGGAGCAGATCAATTATTTTGTGTGGAACTACTTTCCTTTAAGACTCATCTATGTCCTTCGCTCCAAGCTCTTGGACCCCTTGCTGAGCTATTTACTTTGGCCAATTGGCCAAAATGGCTCATTTTCGCTATATCGTTTCTCTTTGCAGTCTTAACATGATGCCTAGCCTTCATTTGTTCTGTGTGTTTTAGTGCTGTTGCCAGGTTTGCAAAAGGTTGTGGACAGCAAAGATGACATTATCGAATGCATTTATCCTGGATACAGGGTAATATTGATCATAGCTTACTTAATCAAGGACTTGGTTGTCACCCGAAAGGATCATCTTCTAATGTGCCATTGATTTGTCATTGGCAACCTCAACATGCATGGTAAGTGGTAATAGTGCCATACACTAGGTGAGAAATTTCTAATGTAACATTGTAATCACGTATTCACTCTTCAACATTCACCGTATGCAATCCTCATACATTAGAAGTCTTCTCTGTATAGCCAATCTAGAATCTACATAGACATTGTTGTCTACCTTCTATACGCGAGATCACATGCCCGTGTGCTGAGAAATTGACCTTGTTTCCTTCACTACCCACATAGTCAGAAAACAGGTAGCAAATGTTTGCTAGCCTGAACATATTGATAACTGTCCAGTATCTGATTCAAAATTTTACGCGAGATCCTAATACACATTCACTCTTCAACATTCACCGTACGCAATCCTAATACATTAGAAGCCTTCTCTGTAGAGCAATCTAGAATCTACATAGACATCGTTGTCTACCTTCTATACGCGAGATCACATGCCTGTGTGCTGAGAAATTGACCTTGATTCCTTCAGTACCCAAAAAGTCGAAAAACAGGCAGCAAAGGGCAACTTCCCCAACTCATTGTCTATGCCTAATAGGATCTCGAGAATATTTAGAGTCGGCATCTGCCCCAATGAAGAGCTCATCAATTATCTTGTGGGTAGCCGAACCTAACTAATGGAAGTTAGTGTCCTTGCTTTCGCTGGCAAAGGGCCTTTCTCAAGTTCCTCAAACTTGAAAATTTCAAGAAATAACGCAGTCCACTGAAGGATGGAGTACCTTTGGTAGAGAAATATTATACCGGCTTGACAGGTCCAGTAGAATGGGCAACTGACACATCATGATTGGTCCATTAATTGTTTTGGAAGGTCTGGCTCACAATGCACCAGTATCGATCATGCAGAGCCATGTTTTGTACCGATCAAAATCGTAAAAGTCCATGCCTGTTTTGAACCAGTAGTCCTCTCTCTCCATCTGCAATATCTCAATCAACATGGCAGATTAGAACCACAAAGAGGAAGTTTACTCAACTCAACCATCGATCCAGCCATGACTAATGGAAACCCAAGTTTTGTACCACTGATAAGGATATTGTTCTGGTCATGGAACGGTGGCCATTCCCTAGCAATTTTTGTAGGCAGAGGACGTAGAAGTTGCCTGTCTACTGTAAAACATGCTTTTGATCGGCACAACTGCTACTCTGGGGAAGATCTGCAGAATCATTCTGTTGCAATAAAAAGGGTAAGACATTATAATAACAAGAGATGCTAAGCATGAGTCGAACAATATATGCACGTGACTCCTATGCTTCATGAATCGCTAAATGAGAGTGTAGATCTGCTTCTCCGTGAGCAGACACTGACAGAGCTAGGAGATGTCTAAAGGACCATGAGAAAATGGAACAGAGGAAAAATTCCATCGCACACTTCTCCACAAATACTAAACATGAAGGTTCGCTGGTCCTCTACCACGAGGCATACCGCCTGTTGGTTATCATTTCAGAAAGTACATTAAATACTGCATTCGTAGTCCTTCCTTATAATACTGTACATGCCTTGTTTAATGATCGTTAATGAGTCATTTTTTGATGAAAGTGTGCAATCAACAAAGTCTCCTTTGAACTGGAAACTTGCAGAAACTATTCATGAAGCTTTTTTCTCGCATCGTTACCATTAGGGTAAGCAAATGAGAAACTAACAAAGTGCAAAATATGAAAATCAGTTCAGAAAGAACATAAATTAAGAGCTTTTGATAAAACAATTATCACTTCAACAGTAGCTCGATGAGGTTACAACATATGGACAGAACAAGAACATGATCCTATCACGGTCATCGGAACAAGAGTCGAGCGAATCTTCTTACATCATACCGTCATGAATGCAAGAATACACAGATTTGTCGGAAAGGAATTTCAAGCACGGTCAGACTGCAGAGGCATTAACAATTTTTCAAATTCGTTCGTTGATTTTTTCATGACAGTATGTCAATAAAAAGGTAGTTTCAAGACCAAGATGACTTTCATCCGCTCCAACTATGCGCCTGAGATTTTCTAGGGCGAGCTGCTCACTCATTTCACTACAGCATCTACACGACATACCCCTAGAAGGAATTGAACAAGAAGCATCAACATTAGGCACAAACTTACACGAGATGCCAGCTTCTTTTCTCGCTGAATGCACCCACTTGCGCAGCATTTTCTTTTACGATCACAGCTAAAAATATGCACCTGACTCCTATGCTTCATGAATGGCTTAGTGAAAGTTATCTCTGATTCTCCGTGAGCAGATGCCACCAGAGCTAGGGGATGTATAAAGGACCATGAGGACATGGAACAGAGGAAAGATTACAGGGTCCACTTCTCCAGAATTCTAAACATGAATCTTTGCTCCATAATCACTGGTCCTCTTCCACAATGGATACTGCTTGTTGGTGATAATCTCCCAGCAAATTATCCAACATAGGCAGTTCTTCCACTATTCGGAAGGAGGCCATCCTTAGCCATTTCTGAAAGCACATTAAATACAGCATCCATATTCCCTTCCTTATGGTTGATATCAACAAGCACTTTAGCAACTTCTGCATCAGAAAGCTTGCAGCTCTTCATTGTATTGTGTATAACTTCACTCAACTCGTCATTCATCTCACTCTCATGAAGTGCTTTTATCAGGGCAGTGACGGTTACAGTATGAGGAACTAGGCCAGCCAGCACCATTTCCTTGTAGAGATTGAATGCCTTTTGTATATTCCCACCTTTACAGTGCCCATGTATGATTACATTATAGACTGCTTCACTAGGCCTATGGTTCCTCTGAAGCATTGAATCTAGCACCCGATCTGCTTCCTTCATCATACCCTTCATACAAAATCCCTTGAGAAGAGCTAATGCACTTTTAAAGTCAACATTAGTGCAAGTCTCTATAAGGGTATTGTAGGTAACATCGCCCGGAACAGACTCATTATAAAACAACTTGAGCAAAAGCCTCTTCGCTTCTCTGGTCCGAGCTTGTTTATTGAGTCCATTGATGAGAACACTATAAGTAACCACATCTGGAAGAAAACCCTTTTGTATCATTTCGTTGTGCAAATCAAAAGCAGCATTGATATTTCCTTCTGCACAATGAGCGTCTATGAGGGTAGTGTAACTAAACTCGTCATGAACCAGGCCCATCCGAGACATCTGTTGAAATAGTTCGCAAGCTTCAGTCAATCTTCTTTGTTCACAGAACCCCAGAATGAGTGATGTGTAAGTGATTGAATCTGGTTTTATGCCTTTCTCAATCATCTCTTGTTTCAATTCCAAGGCCCTCTCGAGATCTCCATGTTTGCAAAACCCAGATATGATGGTACTGTAACTGACCACATCTGGTGAAATCCCCTTATACCCCATTTGTCGAACCATCTCTAAAGCCTCTTCCATTCTTCCCAGGAAACAGTGCCCATTAATTAGAGCATTATATGTCACTATTGTTGGTGGGAACCCACTACGTGTCATCTCGTCCAAGATCTCGTACGCCTCTTTCAACAATCCCTGTTGGGAGAAGCCGTCGACCAACGTCGTGTATGTCATTTGATTCGGACAAAGCCCCCGAGCATGCATTTGATCAAAAAATTCCATGGCTCTGTTCAAGTTTCTAGCTTTACACATACTATTTATCAAGGAAGTATAAGTGAAAACGTTCGGCGACAACCCGTTCCTCACCATTTCCGCATGCAAAACAAGCGCTTGATGGAAGTTACCATCCTTGCAATAGCCATTTATGAGCGTATTATAGGTGACTTCGTCGGGAACAAAACCAATCCTGCTCATCTCATTCAAAACCTCACAGGTTTCTTTCATTTTCCCTTCTCTGCACAACCCATTAATGATCACATTATATGATATCACATTAGGTTCCAAACCTTTCAACGACATTGATCGTAACAACTCGTATGCTTCGTCCATTCTTCCCGACTTACAATATGCATTAATCAGGGTGTTATACGTAACCACATTAGGCAGACAACCATGCTTCTCCATATCATGAAAAAAGCGCAATGCCATTTCCAAATTACCAGCCCCGCAAAAACCCCGCATTAGTACATTGAAAGTAAACACGTTCGGCGACACTCCACACTTGATCATATCGCCGTACACCTCTTCGACTAATTTAACCGATTGCCTAGACCTGATCATGGCATCTATGATCGAATTGTATGACAAAACGCCCGGCATAAAACCGTGCGATTTAGCAAAATTAACCATTTGCAAAGCCTTATCGGCCATATTGACATGCGAGTAAGACTTCGCCACCAGATCAAACACGGCGGAGCTAGAATTGCACTGATTGTAAGATTCCTTGAGATACGTGAAAACCAAATTACCAGTCTCGTCATGGGTTCCGAGGGCGAGGTCCTCCGCGACTGCCTGGGCCGATTTGTACAGCTTGAAGCGGGTCAGGATGTGAAGAGCGAGGCACTTGCACCGGGCGTCGAAAAAGCCATGGGGTTTAGCCCAGCGGAGGAAATTCAGGACCGAGGTCCTGTCGTTCTGGCACTTGAGGAGCAGGTGCGAAGCGGCTTGAGGAGTGAAAGTGGAGGAGAGGGAGTCGAGGTGGCGAGGGTGGCGTCTGAGGAAGGTGAGGGCTTTCTCCGCCAGGACGGCGGCGGACGGCGGCGGAAGAGAAGGGAGCGGGCGGAGGACTTCGGGATTGAGGGTGGGCATTTGGGTTCTGCGAATTTTTTCTTCTTCTTCTTCTTCTTCTTCCTTTCTGGAATCAGATGGTTCTGAAGGGTTCGTCAGGTGCTGCGGAGGTTGAAGACGGCAGCCCCCGGGATTACATCATCGTACAACAACGAGTGAAATGACAAATTTAAGGTAAGTTTGATACAATTCCATAAATCTTTAATTTCTTTTAATTTGTTTTACTTTATCCAGTAATCTCTTTTTGTTTGTTTCATGGTTCAAATATTTCACTAAAAAAAGACGATGTTGCTCAACATTATGGTTAGGATCTTTTACATATCACTTTCATGATTTTTCATGGCGCTTTTAAGGATATCGCCTTTTCATTTTCACTTTCTTTGGATTATATTTTGAGGGGAAAATGTGCGAAAGCAAAATAATTATTTGAAATCTATATAGAGCTCCCAAATTTTGAGGTATTTAAAATTAAAAAGTATCATAAAATGTCATATCTTAAAAGTCAAAAATTTGGAACCAAGCATGTGCCCATCAATAATTGATGGGCTGAGAATCCTACCAAAATGATACATTTTTGTAACACTTGCATCATTTCTGCAACATGCATTTTATATTTTCGTTCTCTCAGTGTCAATTTACTAACTATACACTACAAGTGAGCATGTTTGCCAGTATATAGTAACAATTACTCAGAACGTAATAACGAATAAAAACATCGCCCTAAGAAAAGTAAGTATCGATAATAAGTGATTTCTAAAATGATTGATATTTTTATGAGATCTGAAGCGAATTTCAATATATTAATGACTAGGTAACCTTTGGCACATAGAGATTAATTAGAGTAGAAAATGTTTGGATACCTGAGTTCTTAGAAAATAAGTTCTTCATGCAGTTAATATCATTAAAAAAGTATTAATAATTCATATTACTAACCTTTTTTGTAATGCAATTAATTGATGTCCCATGTCTATGTATTTAATCGGGAGAAAGAAAACGACTAAAACGAGAGAGATCAACGATTCATGGAGTGAGCATGCTAGTGGACAAATTTCATAAAAAAAAAAGAGATTTTTATTTAGGCTCCATATGTTTCATGAAATATTAATAATTTAAAAAGTATTCTCTTAAAAATGATCTCTTATATCATTTGAAATAATTAGCCAATAAATTTTTTTAAGTATCTACTCTAAATATTTTTGTGAACAATGAAAAGATTTCGTCCATTTATTTGTGTAAGTGATATAAGCATAGTGATATAAACAATCGTTTTTAAAAAAAATATTTTTCAATTTATTCATTTTTCGAGAAACAAACGGAACATAAATTTTATAAAGTACATATAATTTCCAGGATAAAAATTTCACTACTGAAAAAGAAGAGCAAATTCCATTAAAATCATTTTTAAAACTGATATTTCGTTTTTTGTTTGCTTGCCCGAAGCGTTAAAACTAAAAAAAAAATCACTCGCTACGAAATTTACCCAACAAAACAAATCTAACAAAAGCTAATGCGAAAAAAGGGAAACATTTAGGCGGCGTGACCACCTAAGTCCAAAAAAAAAAATTCTCCGCCCACGAATGAGCTCGCGCGGCGACACGTGTCCCGCCCCGAGCTCGATCTGCTCGAATTTTACTCCGTGAAGCCGCGAACTGGACCAAAACTCACCGCCCCCGGGTTCGCAAATGATCCGCATCGAAGCCCCGAGGGAAGCGATCGCGAACCGGACGGACGGCTAAAAACCCTACCGGCCGGCAGCGAAATTCGCAGCGCTCCGAGGGGGAGCGGAAGAGGAAGAAGCGGGATGGAGATGGAGATGGAGATGGAGATGGATCCGGCGTCGGGGCGGGAAGGTCCCGACGGCGATCGGATCGACCGGGGGAGGAAGCAAGATTTGCCTCCCGACGACGACGTCTGCCCCATCTGCTTCGGCGACTTCACCGTCCCCTGCAAAACCGCCTGCGGCCACTGGTACTGCGGTGAGTTCTTTTGCCCCTTTCTTTCCTTTTCTCCCCGGATGAGGTGCGAGCAGAGCTACCGAAGTAGAACACGATTATGATTGCGGAGTGACCTTGTAATCAGCCTCTGACGACCGTGTCGTCTCGTGTCTTGAAAGCATCACGTGCGCCTCGTTTTCGATGCCGCAAGGTCAAAATTAGTTCCTTTTTTCGAACGAACGCATGCGTATGAACAGGGGCAATTGGCCCTTGCCGAAGTCCCTGTGATGCTGTCTCTGGGTAGTACATCGCAAGTGCTCTTTCCGAAATATGGCTTGTGATTACGGTCTGATGGCTACGAGATTTTGTGAATGCAGCCAGTTGCATTTTGCAACTTTGGAATTATACTGCCACGTCGGCGCCTTGCAAGTGTCCCATGTGCTCTCGCAGCATTTATAGACTGACGCCGCAGGAGTCGCTTCTTCATCGGCGCGAGGAGGAGATTGTTAAGGTTCTATCAGATGTTCATCGGTACAATCTCCTTTTCGTCGGCGGGGCGCGGGGCTTCGTCCAGGTTTGTATGAATCTACGAGCCTTCCATTTGCATCCAGAGTATGACAGTATCTTGATCTGAGAAAAGATGTTTAGAAACCCCTGTCCCCATTAAGAAAGCAGGGAAGAAGGCTAACAAAAAGTGGAAGTAAAAGAAGGGTGACCTTCTTGAACCATACGTATTAGCAATTGGTGGATTTGAAACATGTCGGTGTATTACCTATACTTGTTTCTTGTTTGGCCACTGTGAACATCTCATGTAGCATTTTCTTAATGCCTCACTACATATATCGAGGCCTTCTGACATGCTTGTCCTCCTGCCCTTACAGAAAGTGTATCAGTTGCCATCGTATGTCAAGAGATACCTTCTAGGAATGCTGGATCCAGATAGACCTCATCCCAGTGTTTCTGAAATTCGCCTTATAGCAGTAAGACATCCTTCATTTAAGCCCATCTTTTCAGTCTTGATTTTTATATCCAGTTCTACCACTGCATTGGGTTGAGGAGTGCTTGGTGCTTAAATCTGAAGCATAGTTTTGTTGCTGATGCCTGTGCTTGTCTACCAAAAACTATAATTTTAAAGGAGCAACTTTTGATATACCAATGTGTATGTATCCAATATAATCGTGACTCGCCATTTTGTATATTGACTTTTGCATACCTTCTTTGTATGCCTAGCTTTTCCATTTTGGAGAAGGAGTAGGCGGTCTACTTAACAGAGTGGGAAAGTGTTTGTCATGACTCGTCATTTTCATTTCCCCCCTGCTGGCATTATCCATGAAATCTATGGTCGTTTCATAGAATCTGGCGAACATACAGAATGCCAGAACAAATTGTCTGGGTGTTGCATCATTCGAATAAGCGGTGATGATGCAGTGGAGAAATGACATATAGCTTTGTGAGTATGGAAATGACAAAGATTCCTTGTTTTTCTTTCCAATGCATAGAAAAGCGGTTGGATGCATATCTTCTAGGTGATGTAATCTATTTATTCGAGGAGGCAAATTTTGGATACTTGTTTAGCCCTGGCTTCAGGATTCACATCAAGCACCTCTTAAGCCTCTCCATGTGCTTTAGCAGTTGTTGAGTTTGCATAAATTCCATCGAATTGAAGCCTATAATCATACTAGATTTCTTCTATTTATAGCATATTAGGTTCACCAGCGCAGTCCAGGGTGAGAAAAAGTAAAAGGGAAGTGATGCAGATATGAGCCCACATTGCTTTTAACACCAGTACAGCTCAGGATTTAGAAGACCAAAGGCAATAAGGATACAGTATAGCTATTGAGAAATGTTTATTTACAGTTGGTTAGCGGTGAACAGTAGACTTAATACCAGTACAGCTGAGGACTTGGAAGACAAAAGACAACTAGGATAGATATCGCTAGTGAGGGAGGTTTTTATTTACAGTTGTTTAGCGGTGAACAGTAGACTGATCATGGGAAACTCACTAGCTCAGGGACTCATAATGATAGGCCTTTCTGTAGGGCCTAATTAATATTGAGCTATGTGATTCTGAAATTGACGAAAGTATTAAAGAAAATATGTGTCTGGGTGGTCTGTGGGCTAAAAGGGAGTACCGCTTGTATAGACAGGGCTGCCCAGCTCTGTTTTTCACCTTTCTTTTTAAGTGGTTCTATGAGATAGGTTAAAACTGTGTCCATCAATCTGTCAGATCTGCTGCTCTTTCGGCTGATGATTGAGTCATAATATAGTTATACTAGGAACATGCCAAAATGTAGGGGCCTTGCTTGTATGTAAATGAACATGCCAAGTGGGTCTTCGAAGTCTTCAAGTTGCATAGCAATAAGCAACCGAAGTGGAACTCTTACAGTCATTTCTTCTTCTGGGTGGTTGGATACATTGTATTATTCCAAATTGTCAGAATTTGTTAGTCTGCCATCTTGCAGATGTAACTCAATATGTAAGTTCCTGGATAGTGTGTTAGATACACTCATGGTATCTAAAGCTGGTGCAGCCGTGGCAATTGTTTTTAGTTTGTATGAATATATTTATGAATTGTTTATCAACTAACTTTTCGGATTGAGCTCTTAGCATTTGGGCTTCTGTCTCGTGATTTGCAGATGTTACTGAGTGCTCTGTATATGGCTACACCTTTTGACTTCATTCCGACAGGTGAGTTTCTCTCATTAGTGGGAGCCAGAAAATTGCCGCTTGAATGATGAACATCAGTGTCAGGTCGTTCTTAACAAGACACAATAGATAGTTAACATTTGTCTTTGGTGGGAGCCGAACTTCTTCGATGCCTTTCCTCCTTGATTACTTGATGTTTGCATGCCCTGCATACTTTGATTGGAAAACGTGTCTGGTCATGTGACTTTCGTTTGTGGTGACTGGTGAGGGATTGTAATACAAATTAATGGGAATGGCTTTAAAAAAAAAAAGATGAATTGCAAAGGCTTTGCTGACAACCCTACTCTTATTTGCAAAAATCCTTGTGTGACCCATCTTTTCGTAGTTTAGTTGTACCTGGACACTGGGTGAACTTGCTATATTGGGCTCTCAAAAAATGGTAGAAGATGTTCGTTTATTTTTCCTGGGTTCTACTTGATCGTAAGAACTTTTCGATTTAAGAAATCAGCTGAACCTTGAAACTGGGAAGAGAAGGGGAAATCAAAAAGGAGGGTGTAGTCTGTGGTGTGCTTCACTTTTTCTCATGAATGGAGCAGACAACACTGCAACTGCGTCATTGATAGCCGTTCTTTTTCCTCCTTCATCTGAATGCCAATCTGTATTGAAGGTTGCTACGGCTGTTCTCTTCTAAGAAGATTTGCTATCTGATAACAGTCCATTGTCTCTGTTGTACAGGTAGATTGGGTATTGTGAGAGTCTTTGACTACACTGCCGTTCTACTGTTTATGATGCTACGTCTAGTCGGCTTTTTTCAGAGACGACGGCTTGCCCAGCGCGTGAGGGAGTTGGGCGACACCCAACTAAGGCACGAGTAAACCACGAGTGTTTTGCATGTGCATTCTGCAGCTTCTGGGTTACCTGTATATATGGTAAGAGTTGACACGAGTGTTGAGTCATTGGGATGGGGTCGACATTCCATGGTTTGTAAATAAAGATTATCACAGCGTATTTACCACTTACTTTCATTATGAATCGTTCCATTGGTGCAAATTTTTAGTTGTGATTCTAAAAGAGAATGTTGCGCAAGTGGGTGTATTCAGCGAGAAGAGAAACTGGCGTCTTATCCAAGTTGGTGCCTAATGTGGATGCTTCTAGTTCGATTCCTTCCGGGGCACGTCGTGTAGATGCTGGATTGAAACGAGCGAGTAGCTCGCCCTACAAATTCTCGGACATATAGCGGAGTGGATGCGAGGCATCTTGGCCTTGAAACTACCTATTTTTTGACATACTTTTATTAAAAATTGACGAACGAATTGTAAAAATTTCTGACCGGGTCTAAAAGTCCTTCGACAAATTCTGTATATTTTATTCATTCACGATTCATAATATGAGATCCACTTTTTGTTCGAGATGACCATGATAGGATCATGTTCTTGTTCTATCTACTAAAAGTGCTTGAGGTTATAACGTATCTTACGCCGAACTACTTAATAGTATTTAAAAGAATTTTATTTGCAAACTATTTTTCTTATTCTTTATGTATCTATTCTATGAAAAAGTAATATAGGGTATTTAATTCACAATTTCCACGTGGGTTTAACAATTTTGACCGACACAATATGTCTGTTTCAAATCTAGTGTCTTTTTTTTATTTATTTCATGGGCATTTGAAATTTCATAAATTGAGATGAGTTGATGAGTACACATAATGTGTAAATTTTTTTTGGTAAGGACACATAATGTGTAAATTGTTCTTTACACAAATCAACCTTTGTGTCGTTGTTGATAGAGGTATTTATTGTTCAATTTTATGGGAACTAGCTAAATGGATCATGATAGATATCATATCGTGGAAAGTAATTACATGAACTTGTAATAGAAATTCGATTGAGACAAAGGATAAGTGGGCGAGGCTTTTAACCTATGACATGATATAAAATCTAACATATACGATCTCTTTTTCTCTTTCTAATATTGACTCTGACTTTTAAAAAAAAAAAATTATATAAACAATCTTTTACAGCACGCATAATTTGATTATTTAAAAAAAATTAAACATGATTGAAACTCTTATAAATTGCAAATATAGACATGCATATTCACATGTAACTTTTTTCATTTACCCCGTAGCTTTTGTTTTTTTTTTGGTCGAAATTTACCCCGTGGCTGAAGGGACCAGGGAGCAATGGTGTCGTTCAAACTTCAAATACCCAATCCTCGAACCGGGAAAACTCGCACAGCCCCAGCGCGCATTGCACAGCTTCAGCGGAGCTTGTAGTGGTCGCAGTCGCAGAGCAACACCTCCGCGATCGCCGCCGGAGCTTCCCGCCGGAAAACTCGATCCCCTCCCTCACTCGAGTGAACACCAGATCCGATCTTCAAAATCAAGCACACGATCGTCGAACAACTCCAGGAACGACCGTCGCTCGAGAAAGGCTCGAGATTAGGGGCGAAAATGGGACCGTCGGGGGGCGTTCGCGCGATCTCGCAGGAGGCGTTCGATGATCTGGTGAGGGAGAACATGGAGGACCTCGGGATGGACCCCGCGGAGGCCCTCCAAGACGCCATCGAAACCCTCTCTCTTCAAGGCGTCGATCTCACGGGTCTCGATCTCTCTCAATCCCTCTGTTTTGACGATCGTTCCTGCATTCGTGATTTTGTTTTTTCGTTTTTCTACATCAGGACGTTATCCTGTTTGGTTCTCGCGCTAGAACAGCGACGCTAGTAGTCGGTTGACGCATTTAAGGATGATCCTCGGTTGAGGCGTTTTGTCTCCTCGTTCTGCGTTTGTATTTTAAGAAAACCTTGCGCTGGTTGTGGATCCTGTCATCGAAGGATGTCCAGGGAAATCCTTCGTTCGATGTGTAAAATCTGTCATGTTCTAGAACTGGTAGTGATGCTCATCTTGAGTTCTGATTGTTGATGCTTTGAAGTATGTGCATGTTCTCACATTTTCTTAATACTCGGACTGGGATGGTGGATCTGATAGGTTATTGATATCCTTCTCACTAAATGTCGCCATAACTTAATCTCTCAGGGATTGTGACATGCGCACCAGGAGAGGATGGTGCCAAAGATAATCCAGTGCTACAGTGCTTGGATGGGTTGAAGCGCATAGATTCAGATTTTAAGATTCCAATTCATGATAAAGAGGTGCACGGCGAGTTTGTGGCATTATTTGATCGGCTAGCTCATTTGTGTGTTGAAGAATCTGGAAATGCAGCCATTGCGATGAGGAATGGTGGAGTAGAATTGGTCTGTTCCTTCTGTTCTAAGATCCCAATTGAGTGCGACAGTGTTCTCCTCTCATGTCTGAAGGCATTAACACCATTGCTTTACGGTAAAAGTGCTTAATCATTTGTCCTCCTTATATATGCTTAATTTTAGCAAGTACACCCTTTATGATGCAGTTTGTTGTAATTTCTTATAATATGATTTCTAGCTGGCCTAGCTTGATGCACATTGCATTCACAATCATACGCTTCAGTCCATTGTCTCTTCTGGTTCTGGCTCATTCAGGAAATGATCGCGTGGGTGGCTCGATAGCAGCTGCATTAGTGGATAACCTCTAATCTCTCTCTCTCTCTCTTGCCTAATTGTCAAAATTACACCCCTAGCTCCTACTTAGCTTCTTAAGCTTTTGGGCACATGCAGATGATAATCCTTTCCTAGGAAATAATCAAGACAGCAGTAAACTATCAAACTGTCCCATGATCATTATGCTCCAACTTTACATCTGTGGTAGCAAACCCCTAGCCATCACTGTCGCTGATCGGTCTACATTAGTAAATATTGGACAAAATAGACTAATTTTTTTTTGAGACTATTGGTTTCCAAAGTCAAATTTTGATGATCTGAAATTGATAAATTTTGTTATTGGGGCATTTATCTTTAGCTTCTCTCACGACATTTTCTTAGCCGAAGAAGGCACTGTTGTTACCATTCAGGGGCAGTTAGAAAAAATGGTTTTCTCTTGTAAAGTTAGGCTTGCTTGTTAATCAAATACTTTGGCTAACGTGTGGTGGTTTCTGTGAGCTTGGTTGATTGCTTTATACTTTCTTCACTTTGACTTATGAAACAATGATTAAATTTTCTTCATTATTAGGTATCTAGCGAGAGAAAACATCCAAAGCAATTTGAATTTTATAGGGCTATGAAATGGAGGACTCTAACGAGAGAATAGAATAATTTGAGCAAGTAGAGATGAGACTTAGAATTAAAATTGTCTATATTCCAATGGAAAGGGCATCTATGAGTCATGACCCTCCTATATTTCCAGTTTGGGAGGTTTACTTGTGCAGCCTTGGTCCATGGGGTATTGCATAAGTGATATGTCCCACTAACTTAGCCTTTTATTGGTTAAATTGCTTCATAATACGTAGTGGCACGAGCAATTGCAACTTGTACATAGCAGACAAATGAAGTTGTCCGGATCCAATGCGTGTTTCGAATCTGAAATTAGGTGTGAGGGCGTCAAACTTTCATCCTTTTTTTCTCTCCAAGAAAATGTTGTAATCAGTGTCTGCTTTTTCCTATTGTTGCCGTTGTTACATTTACATTACAGGTCTTATTCTTACCTAACATGGCAGGGTTTCTTACAGATATTCAGAGCACAGAAACATTTAAAAATAGCGATGGACCAAGAATAATTGTGGGTATTCTCAAAATCAGCAAAAATTTTGAGATCTTGGTTAATGGTTTTGCCACCGTCGCTGCAGCTGCAACTGGGAATGAGATCCTCAAGGAATCCTTCATGGAACTGAAAATTGATGAGCTTATTATGCAAATACTAAGCAGGCAGAGAGAAGTCTGCATCCAAAGTGTATATGACGCCATATGTGCTTTATTAACAGCGGATGATAATCGTGTTGTGGCTTCTCAAGTGAGTAGAAACTAGTTTATCTTCTTTGTCTTTTCTTTGTTTTCCTTGTAATTTTGTTCGCATCTTTAGGGTTGGATGTAAAATGGGAAATCTAGTGTATGGTAGAACTGCTAGGAAACTGGTAGCTTACCCGTCATGGAGTCTGTTTTTCATTCGCTGATAATTTTGTCAGTCTGATGATACTGTAGCTTATGTTGATGCTGGTTGGTTGTCCATAGTGTTGCATTTTCTGAGGTTATCTGTGTAAATAGCCTTTTGGTAATTAATTAATTCGTAGCCTTCTTCGAAATGTACAAAACTCAGTAGAAAATTGCAATAATGCTTGGTAAGCTATGTGTAATCTTAATTCAAATTGGTGATAGCTAAGCTGAAACTACCATAAGTATTGTAGGATGGTCTTTTTGATGCAACAAAGCGCAGGTGTATGGTTATGCTCGGAAATTTGCAAAAGCTGGAATCGCAGGAGCCCTGGTAGACTCACTCCATGAAGGGATTACCTCACCCAGTCTAGTTTCAGCATGCATTGCCTTGAAGTCTATTGCTGTCAATGTATGTATCCTGTGCTTGATGAATCCACTTAGTTACTAGCTTTGATATCTGACACTTAGTGGGGCTTAATCTACAATATAAATAATTCTTTCAAAGGTTTTGTCCATTCAGTTTCTTCCGTGCTGCAGCTAAGTTCTGAGGCTTAATAATTTAGTATTTGATAGGATCTCTTTTAAGTGTAAGACTGATTTTCCAACTCGGGATTATTTTTGCTGTCTGAATGGTGAAGGATGGTGAAAATTGCAGGATGAAATTTGTAAATATATTGCAGAAAATGGTGGCATTGATGCACTTCTTCGTTGCATTGATGACAGTGGAGAGCAAGGCAACAAATCTATAGCCAGAGTCTCCTGCTCTCTGTTGTCTAAGGTATGTAGTGCATCAACTCTTTTGAAAATTTGGATTTCATTTTATCGATTCACATGGTGGTGAAGTGTTTTACTCATCTACACAGTAATGAGCATTACAGCACACAATTTTTTTTTTCGTCAAATTACAGCACACATATTTGAAAGGTTCCCAATTAATATTTTTCAATATTTTTTTGGATGTTTTGGTTACCTAATAATATTCAGAGACATATTTTTCAATATTTTTCTGGATGTATTAGTTACCTAATAATATTCAGGGACATCTACTAGCAGACATATGAAAGTTGAAATACCAATTCAACATATTCTCGAAGAAGGAAGGGTCCAGAGGGAATGAGTTATTTTTATCCACATGACAATCTTTTTGGCTTTTTCAACCATCTCATGCTCTATTTCTCTTTCTGATTGCGTCAACATTCCCTGTGGTTTCCTGTACATGTTAGCCTCAAGTCTTGTTTGTATAGAGTTTCCTGCACTCAATTCTTGTCATTACATGCTTGGGGATCAGTTCGAGTGCCAAACAGTTTTTAGAGTAACCGGAACTGGAAAACCGTCACCTGAGAAGTGGCATAACAAAATGGAACCAAACAATCTGCTTCGGGTACTTTGGAGGACCTCAGCTTTTTCTATATCCATCATTAGGGTCTCTTAAGAGTATCATTTGAATGTGATCGAGGCTCAGACAAACTGTTTGACTGTTCAGCTGTACCCTTAGACTGGAGAAACTTTTCAACTGTGCTCCTGGCTTCATTGACTTGACTATTTTAAGTGGACTAATAGAAAACCAGATCGAATGCCTTGAAGTCTCCTATTAGATGAATATGATCAGTCCTATTTATGTACTCGGCGCCTGTTGAAGGTTCTAAATTTAATTGTTCCGTTAGTTGGCAGGAAGCGATGCAAACAAGAATGCCATCATTGAGAAGGGTGGATTTGATAGGCTCATCAGACTGTCTTCCCGATTTTCTGAGGATCCTTCAGTTCTGCAAGAGGCAAGAAACTATAAATCATTGTCTTTACGAGTACCATGGCTATTCTGATAACTTCATCTATCCCTCACGCTGGTGTGACTCGATATCAGTAACATTTAAGATACTTTAAGTCAGAGTTTTAAGTTTATGCATTAGCTTCATTTATACACTAAATGCAGATGACAAAAGTCTTGCCCTTTTAAATTGCATTATCCTGTCATTTCAGTATCATAGAATGTCTTCTAACATGATCCTCTTGATGGTGATTTAGGTTATGTATATAATTTCAGTGCTCTGCTTGAGATCTTCAGATAATGCAGCCTGTGCTATTGAAGCAGGAGCTGGAGATCTTGCTATGCAGTCCATGCAAAAATTTCCTTTAGCACAACAATTGCAAAGGAGCTCCTGTCTCATGATCCGGAACCTTGTTGTTAGAAATGCGGAGAACAGGTAAGTCTCATAAAGTCTACTAGTTATGAAAAGAAAATGCATATTTTTCCGTATAGAGTGAGAAAATTACATACAAGAACAATAGTAATCTACAATTATGACTTGTCAGAATTATTCATGCCATGTATGAAGTTATATTGAGGTTAACTTTGGCGTTGAACAGGACTCTCTTGCTTAATAATGGGATCGAGAAGTATATAAGAAAAGCAAAGCAAAACCATGAAAGCTGTAGGGATGCTGCTACAGACGCACTCAGAGATTTGGGGCTTGATGATTACAACTTGTAGCCCCTGCACTGGTAATGGATTTTCAAATTTGCATCGCATTTGAAAATCTCGATAACTGCTTCACTATTATTTTGTCGATCTTGAGATGACCTGTTCCTAAAGTTTTGGTCAACTAGAGAGACATTTCACTCATCTTATATGTATCCCAACATAGTGTCCGTATATGCACGGTTGTAATTCTGAAGCGCTTTGGTTAAAGGCGAAGTTTCTATCTTAAAACCCCATTGAAGATCTCCCAAATATGAACGTCGGAGACGAGCTCAAGAGCTATCTAGGCGGTACAAGCTTTGGACCGGAATAATTCTGGAAGCTGTTCGACAAAGAGGACATCTATATAGGGAATTCGCCACTACAAATTTCTCTCCTGTAATGCGTGAAGGTGTCTTTTGTTCTTTTAATGATTCCCTTGGCGGTGTTTTCTTTCTTTAATATCAAACCCTTTGTTTTTTAGAGGAATCTATAGGCGTGTCAATAGCTTAAGTAATCTTAGAAGAATTTACATGTCATAGTATAGTCATCGTCGTTCGAGTGCTATAATGTGCTGTGGCGGTGATCATTTCTGTCTGGTCCTTGGGCTTGATCAGTCCAGTGGCCTAAAAAATCATTTGTGGACTCAAAAACATTTATGTGCTATGGGCAGTTTGGGCCCAGATCGGCCTTATGAACAGCCCGATAAAAACGCTGGCCCAAATTGAGGCCCACCTTCAAGCTTTAAGGCCCAAAAAGTGCATCCCAGGTCTTGACCGATAAGGCCCATCTTAGGACAAAACATACCATGAGGCCCACACTAAAGCCCACCTTCGGACCGAGAACAAGGCGCACGGCGGCCCAAGTGTGGGCCCAATAAGGCAAAATATCAAACCCGATATAGGCCCCACTAGAACCCAAGATGGACCCATGGAGGCCCACTACGGCCCAAGCGTGGGCCCAATAAGGCAAAATAAAGGCCCAGAGCAGAATCGGCAGGCCCACGATTTGTCCTATGAGGCCCGTATTGTGGCCCAACTTCAAGCCCAATGATACAGTAGGGCCCCAATATGCCCGCGTTTGGCCCAAGCAATGGCCCTAGACGGACCAAAATGTGAACCAAATAAGGCCCAACCTCGGCCACATAAGGCCTCAATTGTGTCCCAAAACAAGGCGCGCATTGCGCCCAAGCCTCAGCGCGATAAGTAGCAAATTCAAGCCTAATTGGGCCCAAAAGAGAGCCGAACAATGAACCCAATAAGGCCCACAATGGGTCAAAATCTGGGCCCTATGAGGCCCAAACCCGGGTAAAATCTCAAGTACGATAAAGCGCAAAACAGGGCGCAAACCTTGACACTAATATGCCTAAGTCAAGGGCCCAATTTGAAATCCAATAAAGGCAAACATAGGGCCCAATAAAAGCCAACATTAGAGATCAAAGCGAGACCAATTCAAGGCCCACGTTGGAGATAAACCTGACCTAGGGATGATACGGCCCAAATTTGGGCCTAAGCTATCCTCCCCGAATGACGCCCAACTCGACCTCACATAAGGCCCCAATTGGGGCCCAACTTCCTCAACTACGAATCCAACAAAGGCACACGAGGAGCCCATTTTAGGCCCAAATTCAAATCCAATAGGCCTATATTACAACGTTAGTTGGGCGGGCTGGATCTGTTCCACAGGTTTTGCTCATTTGGGCCCAAATTTGAGCGTTGCGCCCAATATCATTACTGCTCTGGCCTGGGCAAATTTTGGGCCGTTGGCCCATACCAGAGCCTTGACCAAATTATGGTCTACACGATGCCGAAAATTGGGCCCACAGAAGCAGAATAGCGGGGGCAGGAATGGGGCCTGTATTCGGCCCAGATCTGCCCACAAGGCTCGAACCGGAATCGATTAATGGGGATTCAAGTGCAAATATGGGCCGACTTAACTCAACGTTTCGACAAAAAAAAAATAAAAAATCAACGTAGTAATCTCTGACCTAAGAAAGAAAAAAAAACTCAATGTGGTAATCAATTTATGGGGCCAGATCCAATGGGTAGACCGAAAAGGACAGAAAAGACGGCGGAGGGTTCTTACTCAATTCCACTAAAATTGAGCTGACTCCCTGCTCAGATGGACTGAAATCATGCTGGGGGGGCACACTCACGGGGTCGACACCAATAGCTAAGTGTCCCCCCAGGAGAGAGGCCCTGAAACAGACAAAGGCCCCTACATTAGATTTAACCGAAATGACGAGATAGTAATAAAAAAATGTCCAGTTCCAAAAAAGTCCTCCCTGCTCATGCCAATTGGGCAACGACGACTAGTCACAATTTCCTTACTGTTCCCCCCCGGGTGTAAACAAAACTCTTATCCTAATGTATTTCAACTGTATTATAACTGCAATTAAAAATTTTGATCTGATCCCTGCCTCCAATCTATACAGTTTGGTTTGCAAAGACTCTTTGTGCTTTCGTCTGCAATAGTGAAGCACCTGCCAGCCAAAAAAAAAAAACACAAAACACAGGGTAGAGCTATTAGAATATCAACCTGACTCAATAACTGCGTAAATAGCTCAACCACAATCCAAAATTTGGTTTCATGACCTTTTCAGGAAATTAATTTTTCCCATGTCACAAGAATATATTGCACGTGCATGGCACATGTGCGTGCATACAATGATGTCAACCTCAAAAATTGCGAAAACACAACCACAAGAACCGACGTCATAACGTCACAGAAACAGGATTACTACTCACGTAAAAATAAAACAAAGGATCAGGTTCTTCTGGACATTCTCATTTTTACCTTGAAACAGTAACAGGTATCACGGCAAAACAATCTCTTCTCAACAACGTTAACACACAAAGCTGCCACTACATATAGATACACCCCCTCAATAGTGCAGGCTGCAAGAAGATGCTTGCCATTGCCAGAAAGAAAGAGAAGCTCACCCTTACTACGGAACAGTATAGGATTTGAAGACAGGTAGTAGTGTGTATCCTATGAGACTCGGATACTTTCTAAATACCTAGGCCGATAGCTTGTGGTGAAGTAAAGAGAAGTTATAATGGAAAGTAGTATACAGACCTGTTATGGAAACATCTTCCGATATGCTGCCTTCTCCTGTTCGCGCCTCTCAAAAATCTGCCAAAAGATAAGTGGAAAAGTCCAGTTCAATATGATGCGAAGCTCCTAGATATTGACTTTAGCAAAACAAGAGCTAACCTTCTTCTTGGCAGCATTAAGCTCTTTCTTGATCCCACCTGGAGAAAGTGACAAACAGGAGGAAGGGTAAATGGAATGTCAACCAAAACCTCAACAATGCAATATATCACGATTTCAATAGTTAACTTTTCAACTTCTGAAGTGCAAGCAAGTTTCTACTTTTTCAAGATGTCCACTCTATTTCTCCCCAGAAGCAACACAAAATGAGACAAAAAGGGGTACTCGTACACATAGACCACTCCTGATAACCAAGTTTGGCCAACAAAATTACCAAACCTAAGACAGGTGACAAAAACAGCTGTCTAACCACTACCGAACCAAAATATAATAAATAAATAAAAAACAATGTAATGATACGAGAGACAGACTACCTTGGCTTTCCATTTTCCATAGTCAAATGTTAATCTTTTCAAAAGCCTAGATAAACTGTCAGGCTGTCAGCTAGTTAGATATGGATATGCATACTTTGGGGCTTGTCGTGAGTTGTAGCATTCCCACTTGTTGAAGTGGAAGCTAATGGTTACTTATTCAAAAAGAAAAAAAAACAAAGAACTTACATATATTGCAGTAAAAAATTGTTCCTTACCATCATTTGGCTCCAATTCTAATGCCTTGGAGAAGCTTTCCGCTGCAGCATCAATATCATTAAGTTCCATATGAGCCTGACAGATAAAAAATGAAAATAGCATGTTAGATTGCAAATGCACCCGCATGTATTCATCCATGAGAACATAGACCACAGCAGAAAAATTGGCACATTTAGGAAGGTGCCATTTCAAATATCCAAAGTATACAAAAAGCTTAGAAAACTTCACGGTCAAATAAAGGCAGAGACACTGCATCAAACTAGCTAGCACACAGAAGATAACCGTGAAGCAGAATTGTGACAATCAATAACTTCTCAGACACAAATGACCCAAATATTTGCCAGAACCACACCACCAACCTGTCCCTGTCGAAAATAAGCTTTTGCATTGTTCTCTCCATCACGTACTGCAAATTCTGCATCTAACAATGCTCCCTTAAGATCACGTTGTTTCAATTTACAAGCCTGTTCGCAATATATCAAGCAACTATTATCAGACCATACATTTAGGGCCACCATTAAAAGAAGATCGAGCAGAAGCATGCACGAAATTCAACCAGCAGCATTTATGTCCTGATAAACTCTGAGTAGAAAGAAACTGCTCACAGAGACACCGAAATAGAATCTCTAATATACTTGGATGCTTCTTCAAAGCAAAACCAAAGTGGTATACATAAACTGGTAGATGGTCATACAAAATGTTTGTGAGAAAGAAACAACACACATTCATTTACAGGCACGCAAAATCAATTGGATTCAATAGATCAAATTCAACGATTGTAACCTCCAAATGGAATCAGAATGCTTTGATAGAAATCATCCAGATGGTTCATACAGAAATTGCATAACGGAATTGAATTTTTATGGTAGATACAACAATAAAGCAAAATCAATTCAGCGGATAAATTTTGGAAAGCACTATTCTCTTCAATATCCTGTCCCCTTTGAACACAAAGAATATTTGTGTCTCAAACGTCATTGATTAAAAAAAACCTGCGAATATCATTAACTTCCTTATTTATTTTAGCAAAAATCTGGTATAGGACGACGACCTCGTAGATGGACGGTAAAAAAGTATAGAAACATGAAATTTGCAACTTACAGAACTATTGGTGAATATCTGTGACTTTGTTTTCCTCAAAGATGAACTCTCAACTGCAAGATGCCCGAAAACTCGATTACTTCAGGATAGCATGGACTAAATCAAACAATATACTATCAAGCAAGAAGACAATAACCTTCATCAATCCCTTCCTTCTCCCAGCAGATATCCAGATAGCGCAGGGCCTTTCGGTACTTTCTGAGTGCCATTTTGTAATCTTGTTTCTGCTCATATTAGAAAAGCTCTCAAAATTAGAAGAGATGTAAAAAGGACCAAAAACAAAAGTATCAGAGACCATAATCAAGCAACACAAGAAAAAAGATTGTTAAGATCTCCTCGCTCATGGAGATATCAACTAAAGACGAGCCTTCCACCACTCACCGACCAATAAATGAGTATTTAGAGCACTTCACCTTCTAGAGAAAATACGGACATTCCGTTGTGAATCTGACAATAATTTAGCTGCATCTATTACCTTATAATTTTCATTCCCGAATGCCTTGATAGAATCTACAGCATCCATCCACCAAGAAAGTTCAGCACGACTCTCATCAAGATCAGCGGGCCAGTCGGGATAAGTATCACCATCCTTAAAAAAATTTCTAATGCCATCATCTGCTCCAGCAGGAATTTCTCCACAGTCAGCAACTGCAACATCTACGGTAGGACAGTCACCGGCATCGGTTGTAACATGCTCGACCGATCGGACCACTCCCATTCCTTTGACTACCCTCCCAAACACAACATGCTTTCCGTCCAGATGGGAAGTGCGAGTTGTTGTGATGAAGAACTGGGAGCCATTTGTGTTTGGGCCAGAGTTTGCCATTGACAACATTCCCTTCCTTTCATGTTTCAGTTCGAAATTTTCATCCTCAAATTTCAAGCCATAGATAGATTCTCCCCCGGTACCATCGCCAGCAGAGATATCTCCACCTTGTACCATGAATCCTTTAATAACACGATGAAAGCGAACCCCCTGCAATAAATCCAGAAGAAGCATTGGAAACGGACTATAATTTCTTCGTTTAACCTTCCAGACGAGAAGAACCATCTAGTCACTCTGTAAAAAGTAGGGCAGGAGTGCTTCGATGAATATGGAAAATATGAAGTCAAATTAGGGAGTCATCTGCCCTAACAACAGAGAACTTACAGAAATATTCACTGTTGTCGAGGTTCAACCAATGTACCATGAACTAGGATTTATAAAAAGATGAAGAATCTTCTCTAATCCCATGATATGCAAAAATTGACCAAAATTACCTATGAGTAAGTGGAAGGCAATAACAGCTCTATTATCATGATATCTCAGCTTCTCTTTCTTTCCCACAACAGCAAAAGTACAAGCACTGCTAAATAATTCCGTATCCGATAGCAGACCTTCAGTAACACAACGAATCAGAATGCCTTGAAGCGCTTATTAGTCCTTCTCAGAGGCAGAGGAATGCATTCGTGCAACGAGAGGTCAAGTTTTCACATCTAGCCAATCTTTCTAGACCAAATCACGCATACATTACGCGCTATCTCCCGCGTATCAGCAATGACTCATCATCAAACCAATCAGAGCCGCTCGGCACCATATTAAGACAATCACTCGCCCCCTGTCCCACGATATTAAGACAATCACACCGTCCGCAAAAGTATCAACCTCCACTCACAACCGAAGCCGTTGGAAACGCTCCTCGAATCCACAGACACCGCTCCATACTATCAAACCTCGAGAACCAGTTCCATTCAACATCGAAACGACGACGGACCGGCATTCCGCGCGCGCGCAAAAAGCGCCGCCGACGCGCCTAGAAACGAATGGGGGGGGAAGGAAGAAGGACGACTGACCTTGTAGTGGAGCGGGAAGCCGGTGTGAGGACCAGCGCCCTTCTCGCCGGTGCAGAGAGACCTGAAATTCTCGGCGGTCCTGGGGGCGACGTCGGTGTAGAGCTCGGCGACGATCCTGCCTTCGAGCTCACCTCCGATGCTGATGTCCATGAAGCACCTCGGCCTCGCCATCTCCGGCTCCCGCTCGCTCTCTCCCTCGCTCTTCTAGACCTCTCCGTCTTCGTGGAAAGGAAACGGAGCAGCAGCAGCAACCAAAAAAAAAAAAAAAACCCTAGCGGAAGCAGCGATGGCAGTAACTGCTCCCCCCTCGCTCCTTATTTATATATATCCTCCACGAGCGGCAACTCAGCCAAATCGCTGGACCATGTCATTGTCTCTCTCTCTTCTGTGCAAAAACATATAAATGCGTCGCGCTCGCGCTCTCTCTCTCTCTTCTTTCTCTCTCTAGGCTGCCTCTCCTGCGCGTGAGCTGAGCGCCCGCGAATAGAATATGCAGCGGCTCTTATCAACTTTCTCTCTCTTCTTTTCCCTTTTTTTTTTTTGTCTGGTTGCGGCGACGATCGATCCCCGTGACGCGTCTAGAACATTCTCTTTCGGGGGAGGGGGAGACCGAGAGACCGTGCTCGCTTTGCTTTTGCTTTGCTTTGCTTGCTTCCGGTTGAATTCAAAACCCTGCGATGACCCCTTCCCCCTTTGCTTCATATATAGCGTGCGAAAGGCATCGTTTTCATCGCCGGTTTGGGGGCTCATATATGCATTACGGAGAAATCATGGAGGAAAAATGAGGACTATATCTATACATAGCCCTCGTGGACCCGAGCATGTCCTTAAAAGGCATCTTTCAACTCTAAAATGCTAAACTCGGGTATTTTATCAAAAGAGGGAAGAAAAACTCTCCTAAATTAGGGAGTTGGACGTATGAGCACAGACATGTTAAAACAAGGAATGCGGTCCTATCAGCTCGTCAGGTATATACACCTGGATAGACGGGATGGCTCCAGTCAAAAGTTTAGACTTTTAAGGACATGATTAGGTCCAAAAGGACTATATATATATAAGTGTGTGTGTGTGATTGGGAGTGGTCCCTTCCTGAACTTTAACCTAATATGTAATATGATCCTTGAACTTGTCACGTGTTAAATGTAGTTTTTGAACTATATGAAGATATGAAGATATTTAATGTTGTCATGTCATTAATTTAAGTTCGAGAAAAAAAAATTGGTCTATGGACTAAATTGAACATGTAACAAAAGTCTATGAATTACATTAAACAATTTGAAAGTTTTGGGATGACATTGCACATTGGGCTAAAGTTTAGGAACTACATTGCATATTGTGTTTAAGTTGGGAGACCATTTATATCATTTTCCCTTCGAAAATAGAGTCACCTACGTACGTTGCTTGTCATGGGAGTTCCTATGGTACGCCCACTGTCCAATATCTTGTTCAGGCCTTTTTCTCTTCGATTTTCAAATTGCCTTTTTTTTCTTAGCTATAATCACCGCATCATCAATGAAATATATAGATCGGCGTCTGTTCGCCGATTCGCAAAATCAACTCCTGGTCCGCACTTGGTCCGATAGACCTAAGTTCGGATCTTGCATACATATGTAGATGCATTCGCGCGCACATTCTCGAGACCATCGTCTACATGTGCAGACACGGTCGAATTGGACACTGAGAGAAGACAAGAAGAGAAAGGGGACAAACGGGTCCCACGGAGGAGATGATGCTTATTCCCTTTGTTATTATATGTTTTTCTTGTTCTAAGGCTTCTCGCCGATTGCTGGATGAAGTAATTAAAAAGAGGGCATGCTTCTTGTCTTGGGTGTATTATTCATTGAGTACACGCAAAGATGACTTGTCTCTCGACTCACATTGGCGCTGGCTCGATGATGCTTTTTGCTTGCGGATCGGAGTTCTTCCATGATATGTAGTGGAGGTTGGGGGCCAATGCAATGCAAGTTTCATGCAGCTGATCGAGAGGCTTCTTTTGCAAAATCATGCACGACGCTAGTAGGTGAGCTCACGACCACAATTTCGTTTTGGGAGTGGCTGCCCTCCTGCCCATAACAGGATCGAGCACCTATTGTTTTTGCTGTTTTAATAATGCAGCTGAAAACTAGGAGCTAAAGAAAAAGGTGCATTCCTTTGGAGTTCCCTCAAAAGAATAAAGTCGACCAACTTCCTGAAAATTTCACTCTACGTTCTTTGGTAGGAAAACGAGTACCTAGTTACTTTTGCTTTAAAGTCCTTTGTTTCTTTAGATATCGTTCTCAAGTGTCATTCTAAACTAATTTTCAAGTTTCGAGACGTATGCATTCTGTGGCATCAAGTCGAAAGAAAATCCAATCGCAACATCCATAACGGTTTGCAGGGAATTATTCTTGCGTGAAAATGTGTAATTAGAAAGTAAATAAGGGTCTGGAAAGATTTGGACTTAGAACTTGCAAACTGTTCTAAAAAAAGCTTAAACTGTTAGATAAAGATATAATTTAATATTTAAATATTCTAACGATCTTAACAAGAACCAATTGGGAATGCCGAGAAAGACGAACGAGGGAACCAGATAAGATACAAGGTCAAGAGATAAGCCCCAATGAACTCAACGGGCTCAACGAATTTTCAGGGATTATCGAGATTAGTTCACGGACTCAGAGAGAGAAAGGTAGACGAAGCACACATTAGAATTCATTCGATGTGAAGATTCTAAAGCTCTTAATGTCATGTGGGTCTTCTCTTCCTGAATTCATTCTTCCCTTCGTGATTGGAGAGGAGTTGGAGCCACAGAAGCCTTTATGAATCCGGCACCAGGTACGACAACAACAAAGGCCCATCTGAGAAAGGCGAGAGACAGCATTACACGAAAGGCTTTCTGGGCCCAACACGATAGGATGAGGCCCACGAAGGGCTTTCTAAAGTACATATGAACTGTGCCTTCGAAAGCGGTGGCTGGTACAAGAAAAGCTGACTCCCATCACACGGAATTTTTCCTCCTTCAACAATCAATCCAATTCCAATCCTTTTGTCCTTCCAAAGACTAACTTCGAGCCAAACCCGGGTGCCCCGGACCTGGCCTACGAAAGCAAATGCTCGCGACCATGTTCGTTCTCCCGCAATCGATCCATCGATGATGTTTCGAGTAGGAAGCTGACTTCTTGCATCTTGCAATAACTTGGACGGGGCGAGTACCGTTAGAAATGATTACATGTTCGACTCTTTACTGTGACTAGCTTCGGTGGCGCACCCCACGCGAATTCGACTGGAAAAGGTCATGTGATGTGGCCGCGTCCTACGAAATACGGTCAAGGTAAGCCAGTGGCCACGACTTCTTCCTTCCTTCCATTGTGGCCGGAAAGGTGAGACAGATTTTCAAGTGAATGGCCACCCCACTTTGTTCCCCTTTTCGCTTTTCCTTTTCTCAGCCTCTCTTTTTTGGCAGTACGATCTTTTCCTCCTCCTTGATTCAATGGTCTTTATATTTCACTCGAGAAATAGTACCTCCCTTCCCATAATTTAAAATGCGTACAAACATATATATAAATATGTTTACGAATATATACTCGCATCCGCACGAAAAGTAAACCGTGTCGTAACTAGTAAAATTCTATTCGAAAAAGCTATGCTTTTCCATAAGTTAAGGGAGCTTAGAAAAGAAAGGAAGGACGGACCGAACGCGCTTCTTTCGAACAACAATTTGCACAGGGCTATCATTGCCCGTCTATTATTTAAAGGGTTAGAAAATCTAGAGCCCAAGAATGGCAACTAAGCTACGTAACTCTTGGCATTGTCTTTTATGCTAGAGTTGGAAAAGTATTAAAATGCCATGTGCAACTCAATGCAGATGGTCAGAATCCGCAGAGGCAAAGAAGCGAAGAATAATGAGTATATTCAAATTTAAAGCCAAGAAGAGCCTGTGGACCTCCTACACAGTAGCCATATCAGCTGCAACATTTTGCAACAGCAGTGTTCTTGAGATACTAGTGCCCTGAGACAGCTTATGTGCTATATGAATTCTTGAAAATGTTACCTAAATTGGTCCTGGTCTGACTAATTTAACGTTAATGTTTAAGCAAAAGAAATTCAAAGGGGGGGTAAAATCCTGAATTCCTCAATGAGATGAACCTCTCAAGGATATTAGAGATGAGAGAAATGGATCATTTTGCAGATCGCCTTCACAATAGCCCGGCTATGATTTCTACCAAAAGAATGCAAACATCATAACTGAAGGAAACAATTAAGAACACCAACACAGCTATCAAAATCAAAGAGAGATCCAGCTCTCACAGAGAGAGAGAGAGAGAGAGAGTGGAAAAGAACAAACTCCGCAGACGAATGAGATTTTGTCAAGATTTTAAGAAGTGCCATCTCCATGTGATCTCCTCTGCAGCTGGGGCTCCTCCTCTTCCTCCTCCTCCTCCTCTACCTTAATCTCCTCCGCGGCCTCCTCCTGGGCCGCTTCCTCGGCGCCACCGCTAACGGCGGCGGCGGCCACCGGCGGCCGCGGGGGAGGGGGGTCGACCCTGCCGTCGAGGCAGGCGGAGCACTTCCTCTCAATCCACCCTTCGAAGTCATACTGGCCGTGACCCATGATGGGCCTCCCGGAGCACAGCCTGCCGATCATGCCGGCTATCACTCCCAGCACCGTAATCACCGCGAGGACCGCAATGACCGGCCCGACCGAGCCGCGGCCGGCGTGGGAGGTGTAGGCTTGGGACGTCACGGGCGTGGGCGGTGGTTGCTCGTACAGTGGCGTGGCGGTAGACATGCCAGAATCAACGGCAAGGGGCACCGAGGGAGCAAAAAACCCAAGGTGTATTGGGTCGTCCTCAGGGAGAGTACAGAGAAAATAACCGGTGAGGTTCTGAGAGGTTTAAGAGGTTTTAACTGAGAGAGACAGACGAATTTGAGGATGGCATAAAGATGAAAACTTTGGAAGTGGGCTTCGGCGGATTAGGGAGATAAAAATTTGTGCAGGTAGACATTATGATTCATGGGGATTGTAAGCGAAGAAATTCTTTCACTGGGCTTTGGAGCTTTTAGGAAAGGGGAGAGAGAGAAGTCACCCCTCGGTGAGGAACCGATTACAAAAGGGGAACTTTTTCCGAGGGCTTGAGTTTACTTTCCTCCTTCCTTTCCTACATTTCCACCTCTCCTTTTGCTTTTCTTTTCTTGAAAAAAAAAAAGAACAATTGGGAAGAGGTCCAGTTGATCTGTGATGATCTAAGGGTCAAAGGTAAAGTGTGCACTGTGCAGAGCGAGAGAGAGAGTTGGAGTGGAGGAGGGGCAAAGCCCAAGAAGCAACCTCTCTTTTTTTTATAATCTTTTTGATAAAATTTTGGAATGTGGGGAAGAGCTTTCTCAGGACCTTTTCTAGTATGGGGGGAATTTATGACTTCCTTCCGGGTTGGCCACTATTTGAATATAGCATGGCCATCAGAGGTGCTGCTTGTTTTTTGAGGTCATGCACCTGATCTGAAACCGAAAGAGTCCTTTAATTCCCGAATTGAAGTATATATTCTTTGATAACGAAAAAGAAAGAGGAAAGAATTTTGCATTTGAAAAACAAGGTGTTAGCTCTCTTTCACATTATAATTAAACATTCCACGAACCTAAATATTCCATTCGTGAAGAACGAAACGTTAGCGTCATGCTTCTTTAACTTTAAAGGGTGTGTTTTTCCTTGGACAAAAAGAAAGAGTAATGAAACTTTTGGTGCTAGGAAACTTATCATATGACTCCACGTCTCATCTTTTTTTATTTGTCTTTTCTCCTCGCTCATAGCAATAACAGTGAAAGAAGCAGCAAGGGTGGTACTGCGTGTCACGCCCCTTTTCTCTATCCACGGAAAATACGAGAAGAGAAAACGACAAGGACAGGACATGATGTGTATGTCAAAAGGCTTCATAGATGAGCTTTGTTTCACGGTATGATGATGATATAATGTGAAGAATCGATTTGAGCACCTGATATGATGAATCCCAGTCTCTTTCTTCTTGTGTTTCACCGCCTGAAATTGGTTGAGACCCTGTTGCAAGAATCGTTCGAACGAGCGACTTCCTAGTCTCTCCTGGAGCAAGAGACGGGTTAGATGAGATTGGTCCAATGGTGGTGGTCTCTTGCTGATCGGTTTGAAATGGGGCCCTGCTACTTACTGCACCGAGGATGGTGCAGATTTTGAAAATGGGGAGGGACTGTTTATATGTAAGAAAGGAAGACAGAGGCATTTGACAGATGTTGTAGGCAGAGAAAGGCCAGTAATCAATCAGCAGGGAGAATCTAATCGGCAATCAGAGAATAATGTCGCTCTGGGGTGACGATTTCGATCAGAGGACCTCTTCTTGATATTAAATTATTTGGGCAGATCCGACTAGGTCAAAAGCATGCATCTTAGGGAGAGAGAGGGGGAGGGGATGGCTGGTCAGGCATCTATCAGCTTTTTCCTTGTATAATGTCCCTGGAATCCAAGCACTCACCTGTCGATCTCACTATCCTTTTAGATTTTTGACAGCATTTGTGCATTTTAAAACTTTTTTAAAACAGGAAGTCCATGTTTCAAGAGAAAAGAGGAATATCTACCTCTCAGATGTTCTCATTTGATCATGTCTTTGGACATCTAGTGAGGATAGCACAACTCAACATAGGAGCACCAAATTGATAATTTGTAGATGTTGCACGACTTTGTTTAAGATGACAACATGTCCCGTTTATTTCACTAAATCCACTTTAGTTCACGGAGCCACACTTCTTCCTAATCTGCCCACTCTGCCCGGTGAGGATTCCGACATTGCCTAGCTTCACCATGGAAGCGGCGAAATCATTGAAGAACAGGGTGGGGTTGGTGGTGTAGTAATTGACGAGCGATGCGGTTCTTGCGTCGCCGATCAGGGCTTGATCCGACTCGAGAAGACCCGAATTGTTGACCAGGTTGGCGTAGTAGTAGTTGTCGAATGTGTCCACGGTGGAGTCGAGAGGGGCGAGGTTGGTGTTGGAGGCATCACTGTTTGGGCATACGCTCTGGAGGCTCGATAGGAGGGAGGTGTCCAAATTTGGGTCGGGCTTGCCGGATCCCTTGAAGTCGAACAGCCTCCTCTTGAAGGTGAAACACTGCGCAAAGCCTATGGTGTGCCCTCCTGAAAGCGATTTGGAAAAATTAAGGAAACTTAGAATTGATTACCTTGTGTATATACAGCGCTTCCACGTGTACCTTGGTTATCTCGTCTCCTCAGATTAATTCCTAATACTCCAGTCAATCCTAGTTTCAGCCAAAAAAAACAAAATCCTTGTACAAAAACATCACGTGCTCATGTTGGGCGATCAATGAAAAAGACAAGGATTTCACATGTTTGCTCGGAAAACTCTTCTTTTGTTCAACGCTATCACAGGTTCTGTCCTAAGAAAGCCAGAAAGGACTGAAATCACATACACCTCGATTTGTTACTGCAATTTAACATCTTCGGAAAACATGAATGTCGTCAACAAATATCGAGATCCATCTTGAAACCCACCAAAAAAGCATACTTTCTCGTATATTTTTACATCATGATGATTGCCCTCGCCACGTTACTCATGGAATGACTCCGCACAATATTCTTTTTTGGGATTACTGTGCATGCAAAAGAAATTTAAGTACCTGAGAGGACTGCAACATCCTTCACCTCCAGACCCTTTGAAGTGAATTTAGCAATGATGTTGTCCAAAGGCTCGATAGGCGACGGTATCTGTTCATTAGCCGACTTATCGCTAGCCGTGATCCCATCTTTTCTGCCCAACGGTACGGCCCAATAAGGCCCACCTGACTAAACTCCATCGATGCCAATTAGTTCTTTTTAAGTGCCTATCAGCTTAGGAGCTGTGTTCGCTACTATATGCGTGAAGAAGAAGAAGAAGAGAATGGGGGTTTAGTAAGTACCATATAGACGGCTTCTCTTGCAGCTAGGGTGAGTATATCAGTGCACGAGACGGTGCAGGGACAGAATTTCTCAAGGTCGGTTTTTATATTGTCGATGACATCGAAGCCTCGGAGAGAGTTGCGATTTGGCAAGGCGTTCTTCTCCCCCTTCATGTCTATGGTGTCGTCAAGAAGCACGGACCCTTCGCAGCCCTAACATCGATCATGTAGTATCATTTAGTGTCTTAGAGATACTATAGCCCTTGAGTCCGGTGACATGGTTAACCATGTCACAGTATCAAGTAGCAATGCAAATGCAAAACAAATGTTGTGAAGACTTTTCCTGGTAAAAACATGACAGAAATGTCTCTGCCAAGTCGCCAAACCAAAAAGAAGCAACAAAACTCAAAAATTTGCAATGAGCAGCCATCTTGACGACAGTGGGATCGAATTACTTACATCGACAATGCAGTCATGAAAGTGTAACCGAAGAAGAGAGGCAGCAATCCTCGTATCTTTCTTGAAGGCTACCAAAACATTGTATCTGACGATCATTTCCAAGCGAGGGCAGGACCTGTCGTAATAATACGGAGAGAGCTGGCCCATCCGGCTATAATCAGGAAAGGAAGAGACTACTAAGTTCAAGCTAATCAATGTGATTTGGAATAGCCAAAAGTGCTTGGAAGCCATAGCTTGCTCGACTTGACTGTGTGTGACAAGTGAAAGAAGGGAGGTGGGCTAATTTATAAGCAACATTAAGTGAGCTTAAACGAAGTTTTATTGGCTGAAGATTAGCAGTGGTGACTCCACTATAGTTGCTAAAACCCAGTGGCCACATCCACAACTTGAGTTTAATCAGCAGCATTAGCAGCCATGATGACGAGAAACTTCACCTTAAAGGCGATAAACCCGAGTTCCCTAAATATCTTACATCATGCGTTGTTATCCTTTTAATGCAGGCCTTGACTTCTGAATCGTGGTGGGTTATTGTACTCTGCTTCGATTATCGTTGGAACGGCTCTTAATTGAAACAAGAGCCGAATTTTGGGCGAGCAAACCGAACACGAGATGGCTGCACTTGTTCTTCACTTCATGAGCTGGAAAAGTCTGTTGCGGTAGATGTAGATCCGAATTCAGCTGAGCAATTGGAAGATTCTTTTCTTTCTTATTCAAAAAGAGTTGGGAAAATGCAATCCACGTGCTTGAGTGGGTGTTTTTCTTTTCGGTACGTCTCGTGCTTGTTCGATGATGTTTGTTTATACGAAGTGGAAGGTTAACTCAGCCATCACATTGCCTGGTTCGGCACTACAGATTTCATTATCATTAAGCGGAGGATGACATATGAGGAATTTTCATGCCTTGTATTTTGATCTAATTTCCTTGGAGAATTCATCAAAGGCTTTTTCTTTTCTTGTCTTCTATCATTCTCCTTTCTTCTTCTTCTTGCTGGAAAATTTCATTCAAAGGTTGAAAGAGTGACCAGCTGAACTTGAACAAGCACCTCAACGTTGAGCACATATCCCCTTCATTTTTTTTTATCTGATTAAGGTCGGGGAAATTACCAAAAAAGTCATGAATTTATTGCACTTGTGCCAATTCAGTTTTAAATCTTTCAATTTGGCCAATTTAGTCCCAAACCTTTTAATAATTTACCAATTGAGTCGTTTCGGCCAATTTTGGTGGGAAATCACCGGCGTGGACGTCGATCGTCTTGCGTGGCGCGACTAGTGTTGAACGTGAACAATTTTTGGCATTTTTTAAATAAAATTTTGATTTTTAAAATTTTTAATTTTCTTTTTCTTTTCATTTTTCACTTTACTTTTTTTTTTCATTGTGCCGACAAGGGCCATTGGCAACCCTTGTTGGTTGTGAAGGCCCTTGCCAAATCTGGGCTAGGCCGCAATAGCCTCGCTAACGGGTCAATGGCTAGCAAGGGTCGCCGGCCACAAAGAAAATAAAAAATAAAGAATTACAAAAATTGTTGACATCAATATTGATCATGCCACGTATGACAATCAGTGTCCACATTAGTGATTGTAGGTCAAAATTGGCCGAAATGACTAAATTGACAAATTGTCAAAATGTTTATGACTAAATTGGTAAATTATTAAAAGGTTTACGACTAAATTGACATAAATACATTAGATTTAGGACTTTTTTTTGGGTGATTTTCCCTATTAAGACCCGAATAGAGAAAAACAAAATTCGACCCATCTAATTAACCGACCCGATCTGTTTATTCTTTTCACAATCAAAGAAAAACAAGAGATTCCTTATTCGTTCCATTTTGGGGGTGGGGAAGAGATATAGGAGATTCCTCAGTTGATGCTATGTACGATGATGGCAAATCGATTTGGAAAGGGAGTGTGGAAACATTAAACAAAGCGCACGTGCCAAAAGGCTTGTGTTAATTAGGTCTTATTTGGAGAGGGTCGGACTCTAATGACATCTTAAACAAAATAAAGTCAATTAGAGAAGATAAGGGAGGAGGAGGGGAAGTGATTATGGTGATGTGATTCTAGTTCTTATCATGTTAATACCAATGGAAGTACAGATGTCCACTTTCCTTTGCATTGTTTCTTTAAAGTTAATTAGCACTCAATTTGTCTACTGGATTGATTAATTGGAAAAGGTTAAAGGAGAAGTGCACCACTTCAATACGGGTGCTTAATTCAATATTGCTTTATCAAGTTCCTTTTCACTTAAAAAAAAGGAAGTGATAAGAATACAAAAGACACTTTTTTGGCCGATAGTTGTTTTGGCATGTTAGGATAGTGCTTGGACGAGATGAGATTAGATTTTTGTTCTTTTGAAAGTTTGCCCACTTTTCGGTTTTTTCTTCCTTTTTTTTTTTTTTCCTTTTTCTCCTTGAAGTTTGAGGCTCGTGGATTCTATTTTCATACATTTACTAGAAACACACCAGTGCATTGCACTGTCCTGAATTTATTTTCATTCGTGTGTACTCGGAATGTGAACTTATTTTAGATAATTTTTTCTGTAAATTGCATGCTGCTTCGCATGAATCTTCCTCTTTTGGATAAAATCATAAAGGCGGAATTCTAAATTTATACTATATATCGATGTGAAAAATAGGGACTCAATAATAGTTAGAAAATTTCTAATTGTCGTTGTTATGTAATACAAGGAAATTTCATATACACTCAACAAATTATTGTAATATTGAGAGAAAATAAAAAAAATATCTTTCAAGGAAATGCTTTATAGTAAGAGTTACAAAAACTGTTAAATTTTCGGTCAATAGTTTGCAATATTAAAGCTCATTAAAACCATTTTTATAACAAAACTCATGGTGTTTAATGAGGCAAGTACAGATTCTCGATGAAATCAAAATGAGTGAAAAATGTCAAAAAAAAAGTAACCATTGCAAGGAGAATGATCAATTCCTCACGAATTAGAAAACTAGAAAACTATATGTCGCGTGAGCAGTATCTAGCTCCTCCCCTTACTAAAAAATAACTGTTCATAGATTTCTTTACTTGGGTTATATTCCTCATTGACATTTCTGTAACTTTTAACTTCATAACGCCTTGTCAAGGTTCATCATACAGGACTGATTTGGAGCCAAACTTCTTTCAAATGTTTCTTGTCCACACCCTCAGCCTGGATACATTGAAATTCATAGCTTAGGCTGTCCGGATTCTGAATGGGGAGATGGATGAAGGCTCCAAAAACTAGTGGGTTGACTTGAAATGGGCTTTTCCGTAGTGCTAAAACGTGGCCACTTATGGTTGACCCCTCTCATTCGCCACCTCTTGACGAATTTCTAGCGTCCACGCATAAAGCTCCATCCATTAGTTTCTTCTTCCTCTCCTGAGGTTGAACATGATAGTGTCTATCTATCTAAAATATTGGGTATCGTCCAAAAAGGAAATATGGTTACTTGAGGTTCAATGACAAGGATCCTCTACCGCGTTCAGAATTCCCGTTGATGCGTCGGATGCATTAATAATAAACATCATAACACCCTTATAGGCATGGATCGATAGTTTTGATGAACAAGACCCCCGACGAAAAAACACGAACGGGCTAGAGGATCTCATCCTTAGATTCATATAGTTTCGGGGAGGAAGATTCCTAGACGATCACTGAGAATGATACACTGTCTCGCACGGTAACTAAATAAAGACAGATATGCTAGGAGCAGTGGAATTTAGGTCAATGCATAAGGAAGGCAGAATTACCATAATGGAGTCAGGAAGCTAGTAGCTGTAGTGGAGACCTCATCGTCCATTCAATCCAATGAGCAACAAACTGCAAGGTCACCGGTAAACTAATCTGGAAAAATGTTAACCATACCAAGAAACTCAATCAAGGCCTCAATGCTCCTATACACTTAAATACCAAGAAATGTATACAAGTATGCGGTCAGAATAAGATTGCCAAGATAAGCAGAAGAAAGGCAAACTAATAATTAAAAATTTCTGAGGGAGGAGAACTGATCCTGCAAAAATTGAGAGCCTCTGATCCAACCTTGTACAGAAGTATGTATCTCTGACATGTGATGAACTGTGTAATATGTTATTGTGATTTGCTCCTTTATGTATACCTTTTCTTTTTATCTGAAGAACTTTTGCTGTAAGAGTAGGATAACTCATTTCTCAAGCTTATAGATATTGCCCTTCGAGCTATGGATCTCACGGCTCTCAATCTTCTTCCATGCAGTCGCTGGCAGTGTGGGAGGTCAACCCGGGATTTCCCGCAATATGAAGTGGACTCTGAGGAGGAGGAGATTGGGGACCGCTCATCTTCAAGGAGTCACCAGAAATATCTCTTGCCATCTGGAGATCCTGCAAAACGCTCAATTTTTGTGCTGGGGAAGCTTTAATAGGAAGTCTTTGATTATGAAGCCTATACTTCTGCAATGAGACAAACAAAGGATTGAGCTTGAAAGATTTATTTTAAAGAACAAACGAGTCATTCATTGGTTGTTCATTCATAAAGATATTTTCATTCTCCCAAAATGTCAACGAAAGGCAAATAGAAGAGATGGGAGTTTCACAAACCCACTTGCAGATGACTTTTAACTTCGTCATTAGTGAGGCCATCGACCTGCATCAGTTCTCTAATCTGCTTTGGAGTTGCAACTGCAGAAATTAAGCGTACATTATTAGCTGCTTACAAAGGAAGCGATTAACGAGTCGAGCACCTTATTGTAGTTATTTCACAACATTGAGTTTCAAGGAAAAAGAACAGATTGAATTGAACGTCTATATTACTAGAACTAGCATATATCTCAACATCTTTCCATTGTTATGATGCGAACAGATATGACAACAAATTTTACTAGTCTTCTTGAAAGGATGTACCATTCCCTAGAAAACTCAACGTTTGTGAAAGTGGCAATTGGAAGTAGACTAAGGATAAATTTGGAAAAGGAATTAGTTTTCTTGAAATTTCAATTCGGAACAAGAAAAAGCACTTGCTAATCTCAAGGCAATCAAATTGCATCCTCATATGTGAGTTGGTGTGGTTATAAAGTGGAAAACTTTGAAAAGGTTTCCTTGCTAATCAACAAGCTCAAAATAGATAAAAAGATGTTTTTTGTTCCGGTAAAGAATTGATAAAGGATGTTGCAAGCCTGAGGACAACATACACTTATTAGTATCCATGACCCACAAGTTTGGATTGAAGTAGACCCCAATCATGCAATTAGGTTTGGCTACTCAGCCTCCTCTTAGACAGGAATGAGGTCATGGTCAAAGTGACAAAAGCTGTTTAGCACCACAAATTCCTAACCTTGTGCACCACCTAGTTGCTGCAAGGCATCGACGAAGCGCAGATGCAGCTCGGGAGACCAGGACCGCCTCCTCTTCTTGGCAGTCTGTCGGCTTCCGCCCCTCGAACTCGTTTGTGCAGTGCAGTCAACCGAGGAAATCGTCCTACTGCGACCACTTATGGTACCGGTAGAAGAAGACGATTCTTCGCTGGGATTCTTCATCCCCACACCGAGGGATAAAAACCCATGCAACGGAATTTCCGCCGGTTCACTCGAAGCCATAGCTGATGGGAACAAAGAGCGTGATTTTCTTGTGTCCACACTCCTCCTGCTTTTGCAAGTCTGAAATTGCGATTGATCTTCGCAGGCAGCCAGCTTCTGCTCTTCAATAATCTATTGCAGCACAACATAAATCAGACACTCTCTAACCTCGATTCACCCATAAGCATAATTTGTACAAGGCACGTTTTTTGGCACTTAAAATACCTCAGTTTGTAGTTCCGCTTTAGGGTTTTCGTTCAAATCGAAGGAGGAGGAGGAGAAGTTCTCCTCAGTGTCCAACAGCTGAAGTGAGCTCGTCGTCCATCTCCTCTCGTCCTTCGGCTTCTCTCCAGCCCCTTCGCTCCCACCAGAATCATTCTTCGACGGGATGAGTAGTTCCAGAACCGGTCGAGCGCTCGGTGCACTCGGTCGCATTGACCCGTTCTTGAGAGCTTCAATCGCTGCAAGAAAAAAACAAACGAAACACCAGGAATCCCATCAATTATTCCCTTATCAAAAACTGCGCACGTCAATGACTTCGTTCGAGCCAACCCAACTCACCCTCGCTTAACAGGAGCATGCAAAGAGGGAGCTCGCGCTTGAAGGCATCGATCTTGCCGAGCTCGTCCTGCAACCTCCCCACGAAGTCCTCCAGCTTGGAGGATCCGTCAGCGACGTCGGCGATCTCCGTGAGGAAATGGGCGATGGTCCTGGGCACGAAAGGCGGCGGACGACTGGAGGAGTCGGAAGCCGAACACATTCCGGAGCGCCGCGTCGATCGCCCTCGACCCCGCCACCGCCGGGAGCGACTCGGTCAGATCTTGAAGGCCGTGTTTTTCGACGGAGAGAGAGAGAGAGAGAGAGATGCCGGGGGGGATGGGAAGATTCTTGATTCTTTCGGGCAGGGAGGAAGAAGACGAAGGACAGAGCCGTGTTTTTCTTTTGCTACGGAAAAAATTCCTGCACGGGTCGTCGCGTCCTATCCACCCAAATTTGCCTCCCCCTCTCCTCGGCTGCCTCCTAATATATGTTTCAACTGGCCCGTTACCTTTATTGCCGAAAGTACATTGTATGTTTGTTACTTTCTATAATTAATATTATATTATATTATATTATATTATATTGTTCTCTCGTTATTCTTTGATCGGACAAAACTTTACCAATTATCGATTCTGCCTTTTTCTCCTTCTTCTTCCTCTTTTCTCTTTTCTCTTTTTGGGTTTCTGGTCTTCAAGCATGAAAGCAAGCCAATTTAGAATGCATATTTTCCAACGGAAAATTAATCATTTGAATTTTTTCTTAAAATAATCGGTTAATAGAAATTATTATGAATATTTTTATTCATGAAAAAAAATTTTGCAAGCCATATAAGCGATTGAGTATATCATTGATTTTTCATGAAATAAATACTCTTAATAAATTGAGGTAATTTATTTTCACGTTTTCACTCACTTTTATTCCTTTGCATTTCCCGATCACCGCAACATCATAATTCGTAAGGCGAATCGATTTGATCCCTATTCCATTCCGTTCATACCGGCGGCATTGACATGTTCTTGGCTTGTCCAAAATTTCAGAACCTGCATAGTATACTATTCCGCGTTTCACACTCGCATCTTTCTTTTCCTTCTTTTGTAAGTCAATGCATATCTTGCTCTGGTAACAGCAAGATTCGACCTAAGTTCCTTAGATTCCAAGAGAAAAGATCTTCCTACATAGAAAATTGCTCCTGTCGTGATCTTTCTGTCCACCCTAAGAGGAAATCCGACCCTTTGAGGCCCCCATGAATCACAACGGAATAATTCAAAATGGCTCTGTTGACTCCATCCTCGATTCCGAAAATCCAGCTCTTATCTCCACCCGACGGTGCACATGCCGACAAGGCAACAACGTGTACGGTTCGTCGTTCCTAAACTCAATGAGTTGAACAAAAAGCTCTGCCTAAATTTCGGCAATGTTAATGTTACCAGTTGCTTGAAATTTGCATACCTCGTAGCGAAACAGCTGTTTTGGAGTGCGCATAAAAGGGCAGTTTGTTTCGACAATTTTAACCTAACAAATAACTTCGTGATAAAATTATTCGCTCTGAAAACTTATGAAAACAGCTATATCCGACCGCATGTAAATATTCGTATATTCTGAATGGTTCAAAATATTTCACGATAACTAAAAGCTCGAAACATTCAAGAAAAGATAACAAGTGCTAGACCCTAAGGCAAGAGGAGTTCAGCATCCGAATGACCTCTATAAGTGCAGAGGAGCCCCTTCTTTCACCCAAATCTGTGGAAGCTCTCCCAATTAACCTAGGTGAATGGACTATGTAAAGATATCACCTCTAACCAGACAAAGAAAGTTTGTAATGGACCTGAAGATCCAAATAACCCAATATAGTTTAGGATAAACAACATACGCCAGATCCTCCGGAAAGAATGGAAATCCACCTTTTAAAGCTAATTTCGCAGCAAAATTGACGAAAGAGTAACCATACATATCACCGTATCGTTCCCAAACTCAGGGAAACAAAGTGATTCCTGACACTTCTGCCGCAATGTCTATGAAAATCAGATGAAAAAAGGCGTTGGTAGAGGTCGAGGAATAGGACAACAAAATCCCAAGTACCATATATATTGTCAGTGAGGAAAATACAAGCTACTAGACTACAATGATAAATTTGTTGCTAAACAAAATTGCCCACTTCTCGCGGGCTTCAAATATGTACATTTCAAGTAGCCTTAGTCACCTGCCTTTGACAAAATGCGCCGTGAGAAGCTTTGAGACTGAGAACCCGGTGAAAGAATCCACCTCAAAAAGTTCCCTCAGTTTCTCGTCACATATGACTCTCCTCTTATCCGATGGATCCTTCGAAAGCAAAGAAAGCTTTGTCAGAGTCAAAAATCAAAAATAATTTCTTCAAATTAATGTCAGATAACAATATGTTAACAATTGAGAATAATAAACACCAACTAAAACACGAACTGGACGAGTCATGAACCACCCCCATTAAGTTGTGGTTCATCACATGATGAATGTCATCTGATAGGCAATATCAGTGGAGTTACGAAATCAAATACAAAAGACTACGACATTTAATAGCCACCACATACCTGCAAATCATTTTGTTTTATATAATCCCACATTCGCTTCACGACGTCAGCTCGAGATAATGCACTTTCACCTGTGCCAATGAACTTCACTAAAGCATCTGAGAGGGGTAGTGGTGCAGTAAAACCAGAACCTCTTTTCTTCTGCTTTTCATCTTTCTGCTCTTCTTCATCTGGACCGAGTAAATAAAAATATAACTTTTCTAAATGACTAGTATTAGGCTGTTTCTCCTGTAGGGGGATTGCACAATTCAATAATACATGGAACCCAAGGGTGATGAATAAACCACTAATCAAATGATCATCTCAAATGGTAAACCTTTTCACCTCACCTTCATCTCTTGTTGAATCACATGTCTCCTCCTTCAGAGAATTCTTCTCAGGCGCTGGCAATCAGAAGTAATGAAGGAACCATCTTGTTACCATGAGATCAAGAAAGTAAAAGATGGCATTGCTATAGAGAAAGGCCACACGATTTCGATGAATTTGTAAAAGAAAATTCAAGAAAACCATCATTATTTTCCACTTCAATTTCATTTTGTATCCATTACTTTTCACAACCATCATTTTGCGCCCTGAACTTTGTAAATAGATTTCAAATTGAATCTAACATCAGATAACATAATTGCCATATTTCTTTCAAAAGTACTGGTCACTTTCTAAGCCCACCCACAAAGAAAACCCCAACCAAAACCGTAACTGTACACCACCAACTACTCTACTGCCTCTACTTTGGGACACCTTGTCGCTGCTGGACACCTTGTCGCCTCTGACAATGGCGACACACTGGCAGCCTCTTTTCATCAGCCCCCACAGCAGAGCCGCCACGTACATGTGTCTCTTTCATAACTCAGCTCGTCTCTCTCTCTCCACCCTCTTGAGCCTTCTCCGCAACTTTATCACCTTGGATAGAAGGCTATTGACCATTGCCATTCTCAAATCAGAGGGTGAATGATAGCCAGGATGTCAAGTACAGTCCAGAGATCGTTTAACCTATCAGCAAGATTCAAGGTCGCACAGAACTTGCGAGCAGATAAAGGTCAGAGAGAAAGGGGCAGGGGAAGCATATGAAGGTCGTCAAGGCAACAGCTGCTCTTCGAGAGAGACCGAGAGAGAGAGAGAATAGCTTCAATGAGGCTGACGACAGTGGAGGTGCTGGCAACTAGGTTACAGTTAGGGTGTTAGCGGTGGTTGTTATTTGGGGACTTTAAGTTTGTTTTCCCTATTTCTAATCAAAATTGATGAAGAATCTAGTGGACCCATAGAACAAAATGAAAATAACAGATATTAAAGCCATTCAAACTGTGTCTGTCAGATACCTGAAGTTAGAAATCAATAGAATCATCTCACATTATTATCTTCTCTTTAGCTTGGTATCTCATGCCATTTTTAAAGCTCATACCAAATTTATAAACAAAATGATTCCAAATTAATAGCATCATCTTTTCAAATTTCACTGGCTAATGGTTTCTCTATTTTACCACCACCAAACAGCCTGGTCAGACATACAAGTAGCAGAAACATGTTTACTCAGGTTGATAAGCACTTTTTTCAGACAGACAAAGGACAAAGGCAACAAAACATAAATGAAATGTCATGTGAACATCTCCTTCAGTTGTTGCATACTATAATGAGAACAAGTTAAGAAATTACCTTCTCCATCATTTAATGGCCAAATATGCTTGGAAAGGGCTTTATTCATTTGAAACATGTTAATAGAATCCACACAAAAGAGGGACCGTAGGGATTCATCACAAATAATAGTTTGCTTATTCTTTGGATCTTGCAAACTATTCGCCCGGATGTATGCCCAAAGCCTCTTCACAACCTAGAACAAAAAATCATAATGTTAATGCAACTTATTTTGACCCCTCCATTACTTTCCTTGGGTCAAAGGATGTTTCATAATGAGATGGAGGGGATGTTCAGGCAAAAAGCCTATTGCAAGAATTTGGAGATTTATCAAAAAGTACTAACATTACCTCTGTTCTAGCCAGCTCAGGCACCCCAGTGATCACTTGAAGTTGGGGAGAGAGGCTGGACAATTTATTAAACCCACCACCTCTTTTCTTAACTCCTTTATCCTCTTTAGTAGACCTAACAGGTAAGAACACAAAGCTGTGAAGTAAAAACACCACTAACCATTCTAAAGTTACCTATCAGCACAATGACATCACCTATCCATAAGTACAAAATTCAAGTCATCCTATAAAAAAAACCACAGATGTCTCCACTCAAAGAACAAACTAGGACACATATGTTAAGCTTGACTATAAACAGGCCTCGGACTATAAATTCTAGCAGCCCAGCATATATCACAAAATCCTGCAATATCTTTTTAAGTTAAATTGCATGAATCAGTCATGAGATAAGAAGCACCTTTTAGCGTTCGTATAAAATACAAGAGGGCCTACTTGCACAGGTCCCGTATCTCCACTCTCAGTATAATATTGGAGTTGGAGGACTCTTCTGGACAAACAAAAAGTACGGAACAATGGGCAAAGTTGTTGCTTTGAATGAGGGGGCTTAATGCCAAGTAAGCATAATAACTACCCTCTGAAGCACCTCCGTACCTCAAACAATCAAATAAAAGAAAGGACCCATGAGGAAGGATCTCCAACTAATTGCTATCTGCGATGAGGAGATAGCAACTCACTGACACCGCACTGCGAGTGAATTCTACCACTTGCAAAAGTCTTGTTGTTGTCAATAGAGTTAAATCTCGTGCAGGATGCATCTAGGAATCATTAAAAAAACTTAAGGTGAAAAAAAAGAAGCAGTTTCTCACCCAAAATCCACATTCTTTTTATGTATAAAGCTGAATTACTTAAGAAACTGATTACAAGAATTTGGAAAACTCATTTATCTCACAACCATGCCTCTGAACCAGATCAAAGAATCAGCACAGATAATAATAATGGAACGAATATCTCCAAAGCAGATACGACACACCACATTGCCCAGCTAATCAGGCTACTTGAACCCAAAGGTACTTGTATCAGTCCACCCAGTAGAATGCTAGAGCCTTGTTGCTTTTATTTTCAAATGGGTAACCCATTATTATTCGGACCCCAAACAACAGATGAAGGTCCAGAAGTAGAAAAAATTTGGGTCCAAAATAACTGAACCGCCAGCACAATCCCCTGCTGAAATCCAATTCAGTAAATTTTTACCTAAAGGTAATCCATGGCAAGATTCAAACCAGAATGAAGCCTGTGATGGGACTATCAATATAAGACAGTCCCCAACTAAAAAACGGTGTGACCATAGTTCCCCTTAGAGAAATCTACAATATAATCCGATTTAAAGACGGATAAATGATAAAACCATCCAAAACACTTCTTGTGGCAATTGCAGGCATATCTTCACGTGATAAAAAACTAAAAGACCAGTCTGCAAAGAAAGAACGGAAAAGTAAAAAGCCTCACCGTCCTTTCTTGCTTCTCCGTCCATTCATCTCTTCCCCTTCCTCATTTTCATTTCGTTCATCATCTTCAGCTTCTTCGATAGCATTGCTGACTTCTCCATCTGACTGAGAGTCAACGGACTCCTCATTCTTTGTCTGCTTTATTGCATTTTCTGGGTTTCACATCAATTATTTAGCACATAAATCGAGTCATAATAAAAGTGTCCCTTACAGGAGGTATAAAAGGCATATGAGAAGCAAATTCCTCCGCTTTGTGTTACCATAAATATGACTGTGGAAGAACATACAAAACTAAAGGCCACAAAGGTGCCTTGATGGCATCAATTGTTAAATTCGTATTCTGTTTGCTATAAGAGATCATAGCTAGAGAAGAATGACGAAGACCATGTTGCACAGAAGAGAACGAACAATGGCTAAGCATCAAGAAGAAGGCATTTTGCCTGGCTTCACTATTTCAAACTGCCAACCAAAGGACACTATAACTGGAAGTTTCTAACTGATTTGTTTAGAATTTCCCAACTTGATATGAATTTTTTTAAGTTAGGAGCTGCTATTTTTTTCAATGGTTTAGTGCAATTGAACCTATCTTCACATGACCCCTGCAGATTTGACCCTATTACTCCAAAAAACCAATCAACTACTCCTTCGTCATGCGTTTTTAAGGGGTTCCGTGAACCAGAACACAGACAGCTTCAAAGTTGGATTCAACTTGTAGCTCTTCTCAAGTCTCACCTCAGGAAATGGCTAAGCTTTCATCAAGGCCTTCACCCTGAAACTAAAGTAATGCCCATTCCCTCAGAATCCATTCAATCTGAATCTGGCCGGGACTGGGAGGTGGTGGTGCAAGGACTGCTCGGAAGCCAATATGGCGAAAGAAAAAATTCCTCAGTTCCTCAGGTGCTTGACAAGACTAAGTCCTTCCCACACCACAAAATGGGAAACTTCAACACGAAATTACCAGATAAGACCTGAGCCCCTTAGGGAACGGTGCTTCTTTATTGAAGAAAGAGGATGTGAACAAAGGACACAGTCTCCTTACCAAAAAAAAACAAAGGACACAGTCAGAGGCATGCCACTGATACCTCAAAGAATGATCATTTATATGTCAAAGTATGACTACTCTGCTAGCATAATGACTATACATATGACACCTGTACAACTTAAACTATATCACTGATGACTACTTCCAATCAGCAAGTTCTGTGTGTCCAGTCTACCACAATGATGAAACATTCAGAACCCCCAGAAAGAAACTCTCAACTAACAAACATTGTAGACTCTATTATCTTAATTGATTCAGCTTTGACAGCCATAGAGGTGACACAGACCTAATCTTTCTTTCTATAATCTAGAAGTAAAAAACAGGCAGGAAAGAGTCCCTCATTTTATGTTTGATACCTCATTAAAAGGAACTAAGAGCGAAATAGAAGAGATCAACCAAAATCAAAAGGAAGCATGGTGGTTTATGTACGAAAAGCAAGAACCACTCATGTTATACAATAAAGATAAAAACTAAAGCAATACCTAGCCTCAAAGCCAATGTTCAGTAGTAACTCATAAAAGGATCAAGGAAGTACCATCGTCGGCTTCTAATGGCCATATATGCTTGGCAAGGGCTTTATTCATCTGAAACATGTCAATAGAGTTGACATTGAAAAGCTTATGCAGTGATTCATCGCACAATATTTTACGCCTATTGCTCGGATCTTGCAAATTTTTCTGTCGGATATGGCACCAGATTCTCTTCACAACCTAAATTAAGAAAGGAGAGAGTGATGATGTGTGTTATACTCTTCCGATAATTCAAAATCCTTTTCTTTCTGGATTTACCTCTGTTCTGGCCAATGTAGACTCTCCAACAAAACTTTGAAGCTGAGGAGAGAGGCTACACAGCTTATTAAATCCTCCTCTCCTCTTGATTACCTTTTCCTTACTTGCCGCACTAGAGAAATAACAGTCACAGGATCGACCCATCAGAATCATAGGCTAGAAGCAATGCTCTGAGACTGTAAGATCAGTGCCAGTGATATCCATCCAAATAAGATAAACAGGCATCTAAAGGATTAGCAACTTACTTCACAAAACCCCCACAAAAGAAAATCCACGAGTCCATTTAGACTTGAAATCAATAAGTACAAATAAGAGACTTTGCAAACTCTTACCTGATAATCCATTTTCACACCCGAATTTTTGAATGTTAACTTCAATTTCAAGCAAGTGGTAACGTATTTAAATGTTTCTAATGTTTTGGTAGCTTCATAAGCAACTGGATGATGTCATCAGATGAATGGAAAGTTAACAAGCAGTCATTTGAGAAATGGGGAACAAGCCAGCCGAATACTGCTTTCACTGATGTAATTAGCCAAGGAATGATCACCAGCAGGGGTTATGAAACGACTTCCTTCTCATATAATTCAATCTCTAACTAAGAATGATGCACTTCCAATCTGATAGGAAAGCTATTTAATACACGATTTATCGATAGGCACATACCAAGAGTCCAAGAATCTCCAATAACATCTGATTAAAGGGACCATTCATCAGGGTAAATCAGCATGCAACAAGGGAACGTTAGCATTGCAAGTTTAGGATGTTTAAAGCTGACCCCTAAATCCCAACATAAACAGAGTGATCTCTACTCGACCATTAGCTCCAACAAAAGATACTAAATGTAAAAAGCAGCACGCCGCGGAAGTCTTGGCTGCAATAAGGACCCCCAAATATCCATCCTACTTTCCAACGGTCCTTGAAGAACAACAAAATCTCCAATTCACCCACACATGCGACAACAACATTCTAACGGAAAGACCATGTTTCGATTTTGCTCACTTTCCCTGTCCGAACTCCCAAATAACTCGTAATTAAAGAACTACAGAGAATAACCAGAAAGCATGCGGCATATTCTAGACAAAGGAAAGCGCAATACGGAATAAACACAAATATCGCTCTGATTAAGTTTGACCTTCACAGCACCGGAATCGGCAATGATCGCCTCCCTCAACCACACCCAAAGCTACGCCCACTATCTCAACTTAAAATGAAAAGGCGAACACTTGGAAGGTAAAGAAAAAAAAAGGAGCCTTTTTCTCAACAACCAACCGTCGCCGAAATGATACGCCATTCCAAAAACAAAAATGGTCGAAAGAACCCGAAATCTTACCGCCTCTTTTTACTTTTCTTCTCCTCCTCCCCTTCCTCCTCCTCCTCCTCCTCTTCCTCCTCTTCCTCCACCTCCTCCTCCTCTTCTCGCGCGACGTCGGAACCGCCGCATTGGCCGCCCTCATTGGCATCTCCCCCCGGATTCCCCATGGATTGGAGATAAGCGTCGATTTGTTCCCTGATGAACGTTTTGCGGTCGGACAAATCGACGCCGAAATCCGCCTCCAGCTGCCGGCGGACGGAGCCGGCGGTGGCCCGGTCGAGGTCCGAATTGCTCAGGATTTCCCGGAGCCGGCTCGCGAGGTCCGATTCCGACACCATTTCTCACCTTCTTCCTCGCGGGGGCCGACGGCGGCGGCGGCGACTGTTTCCGATGAAGAAGAGAGATTCTTTCGGAGCTGGCGTCTCATGCAGAGTGAGAGAGAGAGAGGAATTGAATCCAATTTGGGGGCTTAAAAAGGCGACCGTGAGAAGAGGGCCGAGGGAGCGTACTAGGGGACGAGGGCATTTGTGGCATTGCGGGCAACAAAAACCAGATTGGCCAGCTCTTCCACCTGAAGTTGTTCTTTAGAGTCGGACCGGTTTCGGCGATTGGTTTGACCGGTTCGACAGGATTGAGGTTTGGTAGGAGAGCAAAATGGAAATTGGGATTCGAAATTTCTTTAATCGGTTGCAGGAGAAAGAACGAATAACGTGGGAAAAGGAAGGAAAGTCGTGGCAAAATTGGGTAAGTAAAGTATATCCTTATCGTTAAGTGCACACTTAAATACTTATGCGCGAAAGGCTGAAGTTTTGAGAGATAATGATTGGTTTTGTTATCAAATTAAGCATTATTTATAATAACCAAACATTCCATTTATGAAAATCAAATATATGAAAAGAAATGACAATGACGGGTGTGTTGTGAAAGAAAGAGATTTATTTCCCTTTATAGATAGGAAATGTACTAAACATAATTATCCAATATCCATTCACTGCATCCGATTAATATTCAGTTTCTGAATAATCATTATATTCATAAATGACCACCCATTCATATACCGTCGTTTCTTTTCTCGTATAATTTGCCCCTTGAAATTCTTATTAGTCAACTAATAAGAATTTCCCGAACAAAAACAAAAACTGTCCCTATTTTCTGACAAAAAAGGAAAAAACTCTGTCCCTATTCGTTTGAGAAATATTAGTAATCATTTATTTCACGAGTTACCCAACCGGCTACTCCGGAACCGATGATGAAGAACAAATGGCGCAGGAATGACACGTGGACCGTATGGACTGAAATGCCCCCTTGATTGTGCTTTTGTGGGGGCCCTGGAGACAAGGCACCTGGACCGAACTTTTGGGCCGGTCACGTGAGGCCCAAAATGCAGGGATCATGGGCTCAATCGAACATTGCGAATCTGTGGAGCAGAGATTTGAACATTGGCCCATTTAAACCAGAACTCAATTGCTTTTATAGTAAGATTTCTACATTACCTTAGTAACATATTATATGCTCGATACCATCCATTACATGTGCATTTTGCACACTAATGAAACATAGAACGTCATTTCACCGGCTAATAAAATAGTCCCTCGTGATTTCGTTAGTGTATTAAATGGCAAGATAGAGTGATTTTCTTTCTTCACCGCTTTTCTTCAGGATATTAATACAACTTAGGCTGCGTTTGTTTCACCGAAAATTTCATAATAAAGAAAATTATTTTCCATGAAATTTTTTTTTTGAGAAAAATGGTTATTTTTCCATTTGTTTGGTATTTAAGGAAAAGTGATTTCCTTCATTTTCCTCAATTTTAAATTTGTTGTTTTCAGGTTCATAGAAAATGTTTTCCATCACTCGAGTGGATTCATCTCGAAATGTGAAAAGGGTGAAAAGGGTTCGCTCGATCACGTGATTTATAAGCGATCAATGTTATCACCCGCGATTTCTTTTCCTCCGAAGCATCCGCACGGCGATCTCTCTCGGACCACAAAAGGAGAGAGGGACGTGTTAAGACTTTGACCCAAACTACTTCAAATTACTCTCATTCGAACACCAGACAAAAATGTGTGGCCCAGATTGAATAAACTTAAGAAATGAGGGGGCGAAAATGGAAAAAGAAAAAAGTAAAAAAAAGAGCCCATTGATTGGGGTGACTACGTGATAAAATGTGGGGCGGTCGTTGCTATTTTCTCAAGAAGTTGTTTCGAGTACAACTCGACGTTGGCAGTAGATAAATGAAGCTTTAAGATAAAGCCTTAGCTCGTCAGAATTGCCAGGTATATGCTTTGCTTGATTTTCACGACCAGAATACTAAACAAAAATATTTGGAAAATGATCAGTTTAACTGGCAGCAGCACGCCCCCATTGCACTTGCAGCAGCTTGTTGAAGTATAACATGTTCTTTTGCCCATTGTGTTTTAAACTGGGATTTCTCTGTCTTCAATATTTTTTTTCATTTTTTTTCTATCTCAAAATACGGAAAATCACGTTAGTTTAGTCAGTTCAGTACCACGAAAGCACGGCATATAAGATTCTTTTTACTAGATCGTATTGTCTTGATCTTTTCAAACAGCCACGTCTTGTTGTTTGCACTTGATGGAAGATCTCATTTACCAAAACGAGGTCTTCGAGTGTAATCACACAAGCGAGAAAGTTTATTTATATAAATTTTTAACTAATGCCCTCGAGGTAGTCTTATCGTTAACCATATTGAACAATGAAGAAAATATAAATTATACATTAGAAATGATCATTCTTCCCTATTTAGATATTTAACAAGTGCCCTATAGACATTTATCGATAAAATTATATCTACGTACATGTAACGATACGACTAATTTCTGGCACTTTTTTATATTCATCAATGGTAAAAAAAATCAACTCTTTAGTAATGAATCATTCCCGTTATGCAAGTGTGTATACATTGATTTGCCGCAATTATCTAGAATTGTAAATTAACATTAAAAAGAAAGAAGAAGAAGAAAAAATGGAACTGATATTTTGTTTCGGGTGTCGGAAAACAACGGGAAGCAACAGTGCTGTCCTGTCCAGCTGTTCTTGGGCAGTTGCGGGCTTTTTTTGGTGTCCAGAGGAGGAAACGAGCCACGAAAAAGGGTCACCTCGTAACCCGTGAATCCTTATCCGTTTGCCCCCCATCCAGTCAAATAGACCTTCAATGCCCCTCCCCACCTTTTCTTCTAAAAAGGCCTCATCATCATCATCTCTTGTTGAAAAAAATGCTAGAAATGATCTTGAAATTTATCTAAATATGTAATGTAATTTTTAAACTTTTTATTTGATTAATATAATTTTTAAATTTTAGTTTAATATTTAATATGATTCATGAACTTTTACTTTATTTAATGTGATTTTTGAACTTTTGGTACATATTCAATATTATCCCTGAATTGGAATTAATGGAAAGACCACGTTAAATAAAGTAAAATTTCAGGAACCACATTAAATATCAAGCTAAAGTTTAGAGATCATATTTCAAGAACTGTAAGCGTCATTATCTCTTCGTTACTTTCATGAAAAAGATCCTCCGTTCTTGGGACCTCTCCTCCCATGTCCGTTGGTCCAATTGAACAAGGCCTCGGCACAAATTCGGATCTCTCTCTCACTCGCTCGCCCCTCGATCTCTGTAAATTCGAACTCGTTTGTAGCATCGAGTGCGGGATAACTCGGGGCATGATTTCATCCCGTGTTAGGGGGTGCGGGGTAGTGCCGGGCTCGATCGAAATGAACGGTGATTTTGCCCGAACTGGACATACCCACGTGAGTGAGAGCTGCCAAATTCCGATAAACGCCTCGGTGATCGGCACATCCTGGTGGCCCATTCCCAAAAGCTTTTTCAATGATAGAAAAAAAAAAAGTGCTCCATTATTTGGCGAAGGAGGAGAAAGGCGCACCACCGCTCGGCTCCATTACCCCAAAATTTTTTTTTGTCCATCTCCGACCCTTTCCGCCAAAAGCCAAGGGCATTTTCGTCAACTCAACCGCCCCTCCGAACTTCACTGACTCCAAAGCGGATCAGCTACAGTCCCCCCCTCTCTCTCTCTCTCCTTGCTCTCCGCCCACCCTATTAATTTTTTCTTTTTGTTAAATTAATTATCTCGCTAAAAATAAATAATTTAATTTTTTTAAAACATAATTATTTATATCAATTAAAATAATTAGTTAAAAAAAATATTTTCAAAGTCATTCACTTTCTGTGAAACAGAAAAAACTCAAGCATCAAATTCAGGTTATGATTTTACGTGTTGTGGTAAAAGAAAACACCATTTGTTGTCGAAACGATAAGGTAAATTAAGTTTGAGTCTATTTGTACCAATTTATCAATGTGCTTTCCTAATCGTCTGATGGGCGTAGTTGGTTGGAACGCCGAGAGATGGGTAAGGGCTACCCACATGGGCCAAAATGCAGGACTTAACCGACTCAGAAAAATCGCACGGCGTTTCATAAATTTCTAGACAGCCGGATCTCCATGTCTAAGTCCATAGATTTAAGTTACAAACATATATATAAATGCGTATAATCATACCCAGTTCTTGAAAAAAAAATGTTTATCAGCCTCTGGCTTAATTATCCACTGTAAATTTTAATTTCACGCCCGTGATCCATAAATACAATTAGTGTTGGGATAAGTGAGACAAAAATGGAAGTGGGGGAAAAAGCGATAAGATAGAAGAGAGTCAATCTTTTGTTTTGTTTTTTTTTTGGGGTCGGAATAGGAAGTCAAATATGCGAAGGACCAAAAAAAAAACAAAAAAGGGTCTTGATTTTTTTCTCTCTCCTCCTCCCCCGTGATGTTGAAGTTCTCTGGATAAGACACGCATTATAAATAAAAAAATAAAAATGGAAACTGCTGCTGCTGCTCATGCTCACCTAGAGAGAGAAAAATCGAGGCCTCCCCTCATAAAAACACCAGCAGAGCTTCTAGAGAGAGAGAGAGAGAGAGAGAGAGAGAGAGTGACGCCATATCATTCACGAGCTTT